AGCTCATGAATTTCACAAGGCAACAAGCAAAGAGGGTGGCACTTGGGATGTCATTAGCGGGTTCACTGCAAGTTTGGTTCTCCTCAAGTGGATCAAGGTTCCTGGGCGCATTTGGACAGAGGACAGGAGGTGTGGAGTTATGGATTGGGGAATGGTGGTGGTAAGGGAGATGATTAATGTTTGGGATGCTAGTGATGGAAGTAGGGACGTGGGAGAAATTGCTAGCATCGTCCTCGGTGGGAAATTCACATATATGGGAGTTGCTTGTGTTAAGAGTCGGGTTCGAGTGTTGGAACTCAATTGGAAGAAAAGGAAGCGCAAGAAGTGGAGGAGACAATGCGCGATCTACACGGGAGATAGGTTGAAGAAATGGGTCGAGTCGGTCAACCTTGAGGACAAGGTTGGTTTGAAGGGGGAGAGGATGATAGAAACCCAATTTCCGGGTTTATTCATAATTATCATAATTACTATAATTAGGATATTATTAGATATGGTAGTAGTCATTGAGTCATATTAGGATACTCTATTAGGTTTTTCCAGTCTTTCGTTATAAATATGTACTTTGCGTTTTATTCAGAGGCAGTCAAGAAGAATATTAAGAAAACCCTCCTAAACCCTATTCTCTCAATCCTCTCAATTCTCGTTCCCAATCCCTCTAAAGGCCTAGGCCGATTCTCTATCTATCTTTCTCAAATCCCTAATTCTGTTCTCTAATCCCTAAATCCCCAATTCCCGATAGAACCCTAATCCCAGGTTCTATCAGTTTGCAATAACCTATGCCGTTGGGACTGTGGCTTCCTGGCGCACCCTGGCGTTGCTTGGTAACCAAGATTATCAATTTGTTTCACCATATGTACTCCATTTTTTTGGGTTCTTTCATTAACTAAGGCTATTTGTAATCTCCTATTCTGCTTCTGGACTCAGCTATTATTCCTGGAATCGTGCAACTGATCGGGCTGTTCTTCATCCCCGAGTCCCCAAGATGGCTAGTGAGTTTCTGAACAACCTCAATACTACGTATTACAAGCTAATACTTAGCTCGATCTTGCACTCATCTCCTTTCTCGTCGATCTCCTTGGGCAGGCGAACGCTGGAAGGGTGAAGGAGTTTCGAGCAGCATTGCAGTACTTGCGGGGCAAGGATGCAGATATTTCAGCAGAAGAAGAAGAAATCCAGGTAAAAAACATACCCATTTCCCAATTAACTTCAAGGCTTCAACTTTCCTGATAAGCTATCAAAATATATACATTCACATTCAATCGTTCCAACTGCTAGCTAGACCATAATTTCTTGCTTGATCTAGCTAGGCCTCTGTGGATGACATGAACAATGGTCCAAAAGCAAGAATGGTGGACATTTTCCAGAGAAAATATGCTTATGCACTCACTGTACGTGATCCAAGAGCAAATCTCATTGTTAATCCATCCATCTTGTTACCCACGAAAAAAATTGTGTATTGATGATCATCATTAATCTCATTATATGAATGTTAATGAATCAGGTTGGACTAGGCCTAATGTTCCTCCAACAACTGGGAGGAAACTCTGGAGTTGCATACTATGGTAGCAGCATCATTGAGAAATCAGGTAATCCTTTTTTTTTTCTTCGAGCTTTTGATTATCGAATATGTATTTCGTACTAAGCTATAGTGTGTGGGTCGATCCAACATCATCAGGTGATGCAGAAACATTTTTGCATCAATTCTTCTGCCAGCAAACCTTGTAGACAGTGACATCAATTGTTTCACTTTTAATCTGCTCAACCCATTTTTGAATGTCTATATGGCTGCAGGGTTCCCAATCAACATTGGAACTATAGTGATGTCTCTGATTCAGGTACACCTACTGAATTAGCTGTGCTTAGTGATGATAATAATTATCATGCAACAACTAACGTCCGTACTGGTGGTATCAATAATTAATTTTCTGGCATGGTGTAATTATGCTCCAGATTCCAATCTCAGCTGTTGGCGTAGCGTTAATGGATATCAGCGGAAGAAGAGCTCTCCTCATGGTGATTAATTAGGAGCCAGAGCTAGTTTCGATTCCATGGATTTCAATCTGATCATGTTAAAGTACGTACTTAATCACTAACCAGTGTTTATGAAAATGCATATATATATATGTGGCAGGTTTCTGCAGGTGGGATGGGCATATCTGCCTTCCTTGTGGGATTATCTTTCGTATTACAGGGGCTCAACCTTTTCAAAAAGGTCACTCCAATTCTGACTGTAATTAGCATCACTGTAAGTGCAGTTTTCATTGCTATGCTACCCAAGTTTGTTTTATGTTTTGTTTGGCCTCTTGCTCTAAAATGGAAGTTCAAATTCTTTTGCAGGGACATATAGGATCATTTGCGATTGGGATGGGAGGAATCCCATGGATCATCATGTCTGAGGTGAGATCTTAACGAATCATCTTAATCGTAGACAATGACTACTCGATGAAATGAAACCGATCGATGAATCATATGTTCTTCGAAACAGATATTCCCCATGAGTGTGAAGGCTCTGGCTGGCACTCTGGTCACATTAGTCAATTGGTCGTCGTCCTGGATGGTAACCTACTCTTTCAATTTCATGATGCAATGGAGCCCTGCAGGTATTGTATTATACAACAAAATCCCATTTTATTTGAGTTACCCAATTGTAATTAGCTTTCTAATTTGACATGTTTCACATTTTGAATTTTTTTTAACAGCCACTTTCTTCATTTTTGCGACTGGGAGTGCTGCAACAGTTGCGTTCACCTGGAAGCTAGTTCCAGAGACCAAGGGAAGAACATTGGAAGAGATTCAAGCGTCGATGACAACTCTTCGCTAAGAACTACTTCACCGCAAAAAAAAAATCCTCCTCCCTACAAGTTCTCGGATAAGGAGTAGAAACGTATTTATATATTTAATTGGATTAGTTAATGGTCATACCAGTCTTTGTACTATGCAAAGATAACAAATGACCCTGTACTAATTTTCATATGGAAAAGCCCTTGTAATAATATATAAGTTAAATAACAAATGAGTTATTTCGTTAATTTGAACTCGAAATGCTCAATATGCCCTTAGAATCTGATCTCTCCAATGCCCATACTTCTCCTAAGTGATAATGAATGTCAAACAAAGTATAATATGTTTATCTTTTAGCTTGGGATGTGTAAGATGGTTGATGAGACATGAGCATAAGCCTTTGTTCATGAGGATGGGAAGCGCGCTCTTTGACCCTGCAAAAGAGGTATGTGGTCGATTGCATATGACACTCTCTGATGTTTAAGTTAGAGAAAAAAAATAGAAATGAGGGATAGGATTAGTGATAGAAAAGTAGCTGAGTTACAATCAATGCTTATATAGGGGTATTTATATTTGGTTGGGTGGAGTTTAGGGAATTAAATGTTGTCATTGCTGTGTCGATCGCTCTAAGCACGTCCCATATGTTAGGACTTAGGAGGCCATCTATGGCGAGTAATTAATGCTCAGTCATACTTATTTCTAGGTGAGTGTCTTTCCAGATCTTTTATCTCTTGTCACCCATTAATACTTTATGTCAGTCGGCCTAACATGTGTCCATATGGGGGATGATCGCCTTCAACAATAATTAATACTGTGTCAATCCCATAGGCTGTCCCCAGCAATGCTGTTCCCGGAGCCTAATTGTGCTTAGCATTCCCAGAGCCTAATTGGGCTTAGCAGGCTTTGTTTTGTTCTTGGGCCTCTAGAATCCTAGTTTTTCTTTTTTCTATAAACGTGCGATCTTCTGATTATGTCTTGACTGCGCTCTCTGCACTATCTTTGTTCATTCTCAATCAGCTGGAGAACTCTTTGTCTACAATTTTTGTCATAGCCATAATTTCGAAATGTATGTGGATTTGTGAAAAGTGATGGTAAAGTTATTTCCAAACCCCTTATATCAAAAAATAATTTGGAATATCTAAAGAGATTGGAGTCGAGGGGCTCTGCAGATTCAAAATATACTAATATCCCAGAAAGCAAGGACAAAGATATCATGAGCACTGACCCACTTCCTGTCGTATATCGGGTCAGTGGAAAAACATACTCGCAAATCGACCCACCCCTCCCGTATATATCGGTAGAATGAAGATTTTGAGTTGGATGAGGGTTTTCTTTTGTACTATCCGCTTCTTTTGGGTTGAGTTTGGATTTTGGATTACACAACCCATAGAACCCGACCCAACCCGTGTTCCAACTATTAGTATGAGTTCGTATCTAAAAAATATTTTATGTCGTATATAGCCGTACTTTTGAAAAAATCAAGATATTTCGCTGTGTTTTTCTATCATGGTCTCCCTAATCTAATGCATTCTTCAACTTAAAGTTTAGACATAAATTGAATATAGTTATGATTCACGTAATCTTTTTTTCTTGTGAACAATTTTAATAGAATAACATAGTATGGATGCATTTGTTTATAACCTTTTCAGCCTATTTCAACAAATATCGTGAAAAAAAAAACTAGACATATGTTGAAGTAAATCACATTTTATTAAAACTCAAACAACATTTGTGAATTCTGATACCTTTCACCTCGGTTTATTTGTTTGAAATTTTAATTAATTATAAAATATTTTAATGATGTATAATAATTATATATTTTTATGTTGGGTTGGGTTTTTACTTAAAAATATCGCCAACCCTACCCAACCCAACCCAATTAGAAACAAACCGTTAAGGTTCAAAAAAATTTAGATGGGTTTGGATTTGATAATTCTCAAACCGTAGTTTATGGGTCGAATGATTAAAAATACTTAAACCCAAACCAACCTACCCACGTACACCCCCTAATTGCCATGCCATCTTGTTCTAAGCGACCACAAGTTTGGGTGACAGTCACAACATGCGGGACATGGTGACTTGAAGATGATGAATTAACAGCGCGCGACCGAGAATCAACGATCAAATCCGACACAATATATAATTCTTAAAACGAATCAAAGATGTGAAGATTTGTCCAACTCAAACACAAATCTCAAATCCCCCCACCCATTTTTGCTTCACTTCACTCCACCCCCGGCGGCGGGGTTTTGCTTCTTCGCGTACTTGCTCTTATAATCCCTCCACGCCACCTCCACTTCCTTCCCCAACACCTCCCCAAAATACCCATCGCCATAACCAACCTTCATCCTCCGGTTCATCTCCGCCACGAACCCCTTCCTCACACCTTCACAATACTCCACGAACCTCGCCGTCACGTCAAACCCTTGGTCCCACCTCTCCCCGCCGCCGGGCCCCACCCAGTACTCCGGCGCCAGGCCAGCCTTCAACCTCACGTACCCCGCGATCCCTTCCACCAGCCCAGACGGCGCCTTCCCGCCGCCGTTCCACTGCCACACGTGCGCCATCTCCCTGTACAGCAGCCCCGAGAATTCCCTCTTGAGGTCCGGGCCCGAGTAGGCCCCGATGAAGTCGGCGCTGAAGTAGATCTCGTTCGCGCCCGTGTACGCCACGTGGGACGCCGGGTCGAACCTGTTGACGAAGAGCTTGACCTGCTGGTACCCTCGCCGGTCGGTGGCGTTGTGCTGGAGGAAGACGTGGTTGAGGACGAAGTCCGCGGCGGAGGACAGTTGGGAACGGGCGTAGTCGACGCCGATTTCGTCCGTGAACCGGCCTCCGCCGGGGGTGTCGGGGGCGTTGTTGACGACCACGTAGTCGAGCTCGCTTAGGACGACGACGTGGAAGAAGGCGGCGGCGGCGGAGAGGAGGACGAGGAGATGATGAGCGCGGGAAGACATGGTTGATGAATGATGATGCTGTGGTGTGGTTATAGGGTTTGGTTTTTATATGTGGTGCAATGGGATTCGGTTTTGCGTTGGTTCGTCCATTGTTATTCTCATTTTGGAGGAGACGTGGGTGGAAAGTGGCGACACGAGGGAGAATAGTGGAATAGGTTAAGTGATTGATTTTTTATTTTGTCTCGTTTATTAGCCGTATGATAAAATGCGGGTTTTGGGTTTTACTTGGGACAACCAAACACATTGTTTGTCATTTTTGTAGAGGTGGCAAATGGATTGGATTCATGGGTTGGTGGATTGGATTGGTGGATCCATGAATCAAATGGATTGATGGATTCATGGATTGGATTCAATGGATTGGTGGATTGATCCATGAATCCAAATGACATTCAAGGTTTGGACCATAATGTAAATTTTGAAAAGGTTAGGTACTAAAATGTCATAATAAAAAATTTAGGTACTAAAATATAATTTTCCAATTATATTTTTCGTATAAAAAATAAAATTTAGGTACCAAATTGTAAAGTATAAAAAATATATGTACTGAATAATAATTTACCATTTGGATTCATGGATTGTTCCATTAATCCACCAATCCAATTGGATTTGGATCAAATGGATTGGATTTAAATGGATTGGATTAGATGAATAATTTGATGGATGGATTGGATTAGATTCATGGATTTGGATCCTACTTGCCACCTCTACTTCTCTATATATATCCACGTAAAATAATCATTCCATTTGATGTCCTCATTTTGAACTTGCCAAAGGTGTATTCATCACCTTGATCCATTGGCTTTCACTAGGGCTGCAAATGAGCCGAGCCGAGCCGAGTCGAGTTTTACCCCAGCTTGAGCTCGGCTCGTTTATAAACGAGTCGAGCTCGAGCTCAGCTTGTTTATTAACGAGCCGAATCGAGCTCGAGCTAGCCTGTTTACTAAAATCTTGACTTTTATTTGGCACTTCATTTTGTATATCATGGTACATATCTATTATTTTATTAGCTAATCTCATATTATACTTTGTTGGTATCATATATCATTTAGTTAATAATTTTTAACTACTCCATATCATGTTATTTCATAGTATCGAAGCTAACTATGATACATAATTTCTTTTTAAAGTATAAAATAAGATATATTTGCTCACATACTCAACGTGTGAACCTTTATATACGATGAGATAGATAATTTAACAACCATATGAATTAAAATCATAAGATATAGATTGATTCGTCCACAAGTCGGTAATCGAGTTGGCTCTCTAGCCACATGTTGAGACATATCATGAACTCTAAACGAGCCAGCTCACGAGTTTAGCTCAACAAGCCACCGAGTCGAGCCAGCTCGCGAGCTTCACGAGTTGAACAAAGCTTAGCTCATGTTCGGCTCGTTTATTAACGAGCTGAGTTTCGAACGAGCTTTTCTCGAGTCGAACGCTCATTTGCAGCCCACACCTTCTCCTAAGAAACAAGGTGGACACGCCACGCCGATGACCCTCCTCTCAAAAAATCAGGTAAAGCTGCATGACGTAGGAAGGAATAGCATTAAGAACAAAGAGAGTTAAAATGACCCATCCTGCTATAAATATTGATTTAGCTTTTCATCCTGCCAATTTTTTTTTATCTATCATGTCCACCACATATTTATATCTCTATTTGGTTACTTATCATTTGAAAACTAACGACCAATGACTAACGGTAAAACGATTCGTAAAATTAATGACGAATAAAAAAGAAATGCATCCAAACACCAAAAGTTCCGTTCATCATCACGGGTTGGTGCAGACGGGTCCCCTTCGTCCCCCGCCAGTTCTTGTTATTTGTTTCCCGAGAAGCCTGTGGATTCCTTAATTTACACTTTCACTCAACCGCTCGTCAGTCATCACAGCTTGTGCGCTCTCTCCAAGAAGAAAGTAGCTTTTGTTTCCTCTCGGCTCCGCGTATGAAGAGCAGCCAGCTTCCGGCAGGAAGGATCTTCGTTTCCTCACTTCTTCAGCAATGGTGATTCCCACTTGCCGTCTGGTCGACACCTTGATGACCTGCGGTGTAGCCTCCAGTGGATTAACTCGGCAGCCGTGGCGGACTGCGAACCAGGCTCCTTTGAGAGCGGCTTCCGTTCGTGGCTCCCCACTGAGCTCGCTGTCACAATCGAACTGCTCGTTTGGTTTGAATCTCAATGGCGATCGTTCCCCGTTTGCTGCTGGACCCCGGAAGTCTACCGTCGTGATTGGCTGCGGGAAGACGATCGAAGATGATCCATCCGTCAGCGAGACTGGGGACGACACCGAGGACCAGAAGGTATCGGCGCCATCTACGATAATTTCTCTTTGTTGCACATTTTGAATAGGAATTCTATTTTAGAATAGGGTTTGGAATTGGAAGGTCGAATCTAATCCCTGATCTGCCTGAAGAAAGTGGGGATGGAGTGATGAAATAAACCATGGATTTTGAAGGAATGTTCTGCTTTGGCCTTCTTGGTAGGTTTCGAGGGTTCGTCCAAAAGTGCCCGAGCGTGACTTTACAGGCACGGCCTATGTGCCTGTGTACGTGATGTTACCAGTGAGTATGCTTTCTTTCCTCATGGTGGTTCTTTGTAAGCTACTTATTCTTTTTTTCTTCTTTATGTGCTTGTGATAATTTACTAGTAGATGCCTTGTTCATATATGATTTCGTCGGGTAACATTCTGTGTCTTATGATTTCTGGGTCGGGTGTGTGGCATTGGCAGCTCAATGTCATAGACATGAATTGCCAGTTGGTGGATCCTCAAGGTCTTACCAACGATATGAAGATCTTGAAATCAGCTGGTGTTGATGGAGTTATGGTGGACTGCTGGTGGGGAATAGTGGAAGCTGAAGCTCCACAGGCGTATAACTGGAGTGGCTATAAGGAACTTTTCAAGATTGTGCGTGATCTCAATCTTAAACTTCAGGTGAGCACCAGATAGATCACCTGGCATGGTTACTAATTTTGCACTTGGATGGGTTTATACTATCTTCTCTATATTTAACATTTAAGGTTCATTTACATAGACGAGAAAAGGGGAAATGGATTTAGTGCAAATACTCACTGTAATGTCAATTTACTGATCGTTTCTTGAGATGAATATGCATTGCTGTAAATGATCCTTCAAAGGTCAACAAAGGGGTTACCTACTTATCTGTTTCTTATGCTACTGTATCAGGTTGTTATGTCGTTTCATGAATGCGGGGGTAATGTCGGGGATGATGTTTTTATTCCTCTTCCTCGTTGGATCATACAAATCGGCGAAACCAATCCTCATATATATTTCACTGATAGAGAAGGCAGGCGCAATAGTGAGTGCCTCACATGGGGTATTGATAAGGAGCGGGTTTTAAAAAGCAGAACTGCTCTCGAGGTATTGCATCAAGCCATAATAAACTTGCATAATCTCATGTAGGCTATACCCAAGTACCTCAAGGGTTTGTCTTTGTTAATGTTTCGATATTCTGCGTAGTTGACTTCACAAATGAATTTACTAAAACCCAGTTTATATACAAATTATGAAACCAAGGTTCTTTTGGACCAAATCCTAGTTCAGCCAGATACCTCAACTTATGTTCTGTATATATATAGATTATAGAGTAAAGAACTCCTGATTCCAGAGTTGTTATTAGCAGTTTATGAGCCTTCATCACTAAGTTACTTACCCAATAAGTGCAGGTTTATTTCGACTACATGAGGAGCTTCAGAGTAGAGTGTGATGAATTTTTCCAGGATGGAGTCATCTCTGAAATTGAAGTGGGACTGGGTCCATGTGGAGAGTTACGGTATCCTTCATATCCAGCAAAGCATGGTTGGACATATCCTGGCATTGGTGAATTCCAGGTACATTATTTTCTTCTTTGTATCTGGATGACTGTTCTGTAAGGGAGGATACTGTGCTTCTTCAAATGTAATAAGAGGTAAAAAAATCAATTCTAATAGGACAGATAATTCTTCACATACAGCAATATTCTGGTTAATAAATAAGATTTTCTGAACTCTCTGTATTGTAAATATGAAGGAACTGTTGGCGCCATATATCCTTATTTGATGTTCTCTCCCTATTCTATGGTTGTGATTTCAATTAGTATCACTGCTTATTGGAGAAGTACCATTGTAAGTGGTATCTTCCATATTGACACAACATGTTTCAGTTCAGTGTTATGATAAGTACTTGATGAAGAGTCTGGCCAAAGCAGCAGAAATCCGGGGACATTCGTTTTGGGCAAGAGCTCCAGACAATGCAGGCTCTTATACATCTGGACCCCATGAGGCTGGGTTTTTCCGTGACGGTGGTGACTTCGATAGTCACTATGGTAGATTCTTCTTGAATTGGTATTCTCGATTATTGATTGATCATGGTGACCGTGTACTTTCTCTCGCTAATTTGGCTTTTGAAGGCACTAACATTGCAGCAAAGGTAGTCAGTTTCTTCTTGATGCTACTCTTTGGTCCTTGTAGCAGGAGCTTTCATTTCATCAGCCAAGATATTGGTCTCTTTCTGTGTGTTTTCCAATAATGACATCTTGTTATGTGGTTTGATGAGTAGTTGTCAGGGATCCATTGGTGGTACAAAACTGCTAGTCACGCAGCTGAATTAACTGCTGGATTCTACAATCCTTCAAACCGTGATGGGTATGCTCCCATTGCAGCAATGTTGAAGAAGCATGGAGTGACTCTTAACTTCACTTGTTTTGAGATGCGCACACTGGATCAATATGAGGGATTTCCCGAGGCATTGGCAGATCCTGAGGGGTTAGTGTGGCAGGTACGTGAGCCTGCTCCTTTTAGTCTGCCCTTCAATCTGGGTACATGGCGTCATGGTATACACGTCGCTGTTTTGCTTCTAAATTCAATTGGTTCTTCTTTTGGTGCCTCCAGTTAATCTAATACCAACTTCTTAATCGAACTTCAAACTTTTCCCTTGAAACTTAAAAAATCTTTTTCTATTTCAATTCTACCTCTTTTTCTTCTATAAAATCCCATAGTTTGTGAGACCATATTTAAATTATTTCATCTAGCCTATAAGAGTTAATTAATTGTGTCACTCTTGAACATCTTGCAATCACTCGCATAGCTTAATAATTTTTTTAACAAACACTTCGAATTGTACGATTTGCTTGCTGTTGCTGACAACTTCTCTAGTAGACCTCTCAAACTGAACAGGACATAAAAATGGGCTCCTTCTAAACTTGCATCATGACATATATCTTCTGAATCTCTGTTCCCATAAAAGCTTAGATTGCAATCATCCATCTAACCCAAGCCCGATACAACTCGGGTTTGCTTTGCATCTATGTTCTACTTCATCATCTGCATAATTTTCCAGGTACTGAATGCTGCATGGGATGTTTCTTTGCCAGTAGCCAGCGAGAACGCTCTTCCTTGCTACGACAGAGAAGGCTACAACAAGATTTTAGAAAATGCAAAACCACTGCACGATCCAGACGGTAGGCACTTATCCGCCTTCACTTATCTCAGGCACAGTGCAGTCCTTATGCAGAGGCATAACTTCGAAGAGTTTGGCAGATTCGTCAAGAGAATGCATGGTATTGTTCCTTCTCTTTTCCTTATTGCTTGCACCAGATAGATTTTCCTTCTGCCTTGCCAACCATTCGTTTAACATCGCTCCTTTCTGATTTCAGGACAACCGCTTTGATCTTCCAAGCTTACTTGAAATGGAGCTATTCAAAATATTGGCGGAGGAATGAATGGTCTTATCATCTCGAGAAAATTTGGACCCTAATTTGTAATATAATAAGTGAATAGGAAAAATTTGCATAACCGCACCATCATTTATGAATGGTCTCTAACTTTTTCTTCTATATATTTTAAGGTGTTATATCTCTTTTGTAATTTATTTATTTTTTTTTACAAATAAATTAGATTAATTATGCTTTTCAAAATGATATTCACTTTAATTTATTTTTGAAAAAAAAATTGAGATATTTAGTATCAGTCTTGGTGGTAATACTTAATATTATATATAAGATCATACAACATGAAAATGTATCATGGTGCTATAAAAAAAAAATCACAGTGTAGGATGGTTGAATGCATGATAATAGATAAATAAAAAATGTCATTTACCACGTTTATTATTGTTTACCATCAGTTACCTCCAATATTCTACTACGATGGTATGAGGCAAAAATTTGTAAATCCAATATATCATGAAGAAATCGTCCATTGTGAGCAAAAAATTTCAAAATTCGAGTACAACCGAAGGTGGTACAAGATGGTACTAAGGTGACGTGAGTGGTATGAAATTTTTTTTTTCAAAATATATTTAAAATAGATCTCATTTTATAAGTCACACCAAGCAAGTTCATTTATGCAACAAAATTTGAATCCAAGTAAAAAAAAGAAAGAAGAAGATAAGAATCAATCAAAATAATAGAGAAAATAAAAAGTCAGTAATTTTCACCCCTTTAGATCTAACTCATCTAAGCCATCTAGCCTCACTCAAAACTAATGGTCTTGATTTGGTTAAGGTATATGCACGCTATCTTAGAACTCCTCGACCCATCATATTAACAAGTTTATAAATGAGTAAGCTGGGTACAATTGGAAAAGGATAACCGGGTTTATTGGGATTTCCCCTAATAATAAATGGTTTTCTTTTATTCTAGCAGCATATTCACGCATCGCAACATGTGTATGCACCACAACTTGTTAAGATTTAAGAATATTTACAAAATGTATTCAATTTGAATATTCGAACAACTATTAAGAAAATAATCACAACCCTTGTTAAACGTATTCAATATGAATACAGAAAAACGTATTGTATGAATATGTAAAATGTATTGTAAGAAAATGCAACGTGGTGTGTGTGACTACTTTTGTCCACTTGGTGACGATAGTAGCCTACTTATGAAAAATATACTAAAATGGTTATTTTTAGTGTATTTTTCATAAGTTGATTATTATGGTCACAAAGTGGATAGTTATAACTATTCAAGTGTATTTTGCTTAATTTTTTTCATATATGAAATTTTGAGAGCAAATGCATCATTAAAATTTAAAATTCAAGAAGCATTTATAAAAATAAAGAAATTCCTAGAAGCAAAACTGTAACCTCCCGAACATTATCCCGACCAAAATATTGTTTGTTTTAGATACAGACCCTCACGATTTTCGTTTTGGGATGAATATCAAGGTGACTTCTCGAGAAGTCACCAATCCTTGTATTGCTCCATAATAAGCATGTTTAACTTCACAAATTCTTATATATAAACTCTTTTATTTCACCCAAAAAGCATTTTGTCAAATTAAATTCAGCTATTACTTCTTTCTCCTACTTAGTCGATGAGAATTGCCTATGTTACAAAAACCTCCTATTACATTTTCACTCTATTCGCCGATACCTTGAAATTACAGACGCACGCGCCGCCTGTGCCAACTCCTCGCAGCTCTCACACACACACACCAAACACGTTCGAGCCTCTCACACACGAGCGAAACCCTAACCCTCGCACGCAGACCGCAATCTCACACGCGTCTGCTTCCGGCTGGTCGTCGGAACCCAGCTCTGGCCCCCCTCTCCTCGCCGGAGCAGCTCCGGTTTATCCTGGCCTCTCCATCGCTGACACCACCGGAAATCCGTCCAGTTGAGAGGTCGAATTCTGGTTCCTGAGAGGAGATAATGCTCCGGAGAGTTGCTTATCCGAGCTGACGAGGCCTAGGTTCGTGGAGGATAATGGAGAAGGCGATGAAACTGAAGGTTTAGTCTCTGTGACAAAAAATTCTCCCAAGAGTTCAGTTGTTTCGAGCAATTGAAGCGCTAGCAGGCCTGATTTGACAAGGTAACCGATGCTTATGACTTGGTTTTCCTTTCTTGTTCTTTCATAAGCTCAGCCGGTTATCTGTGCCAAAAGAAGCGAGTCTCCGGCTCAATTGAGCTACTAATCTATTGTTTCTCAGTTGGCTCTTTTCATGAAATGTTCTTTGTTCTCACTTTTTGCGTACGCACGATGATAATTTTCAAGTATCAAGAAGAGAAATGGTTAGAGAAAATGGAGGTTAGTTGGATAAATGTTGAACGGAAGTTTGGGTTAGCTGCTTTTGAGAAAGGATTGTTGCTCAAAGGATCGGTGGGAAATATTTTTCCTTCTTTTCCTTGGTCTTCTTTTGCGTTTCTACCATGGTCATCTTCCTTGACGTTTTAAATTATTGCCAGGAAATCCAGCATTGGCCCGGGTGCAGTTGTAGCATTGTTATGCCAAATGCATTTGTCTTGGGACGATACGGTATGACTCAGTTTGACCGAGTTAAGGGAATTTGATTGATGGCAACAGATATGCAAAAGCTGATTGTAACTAGCGAGGAAGATGATGAAGAAGGAGACGGAACAGATATGGACGTCAAAGAGGAAGACGGTGATAGTGAAAACAGGGCAAAACACATTGCTGATCAAGCAATGGTAGGGGTTGAAGCGGGAATGCTATCTGATAGTTTTGACGATCAGTTTCAGTATCATCATGAAGTTCAAGACCAGGTGAGTACCCCAGGAGGAGGAAGTGGTGGTCGGAAGTGTAGGCCACTTGAAGAGAAAGAGAGGACCAAGCTGAGAGAGAGGCACCGAAGGGCGATCACTGCAAGGATCCTAGCCGGGTTAAGAAGACACGGAAACTATAATCTTAGAGTTAGAGCAGATATCAACGATGTAATTGCTGCCTTGGCCAGGGAAGCTGGATGGGTTGTTCTCCCAGATGGAACTACCTTTCCCTCAAGATCTCAGGTACTAGGTTACATTTTTTCAGTTTCTATATTTGACACAATCCTGAAATTTTGAGGGTTTATGAGCCAGAGTTTTGATGTACTGTTATCTTACCCAATCTACAAATTTCAGGGCTCAAGGTCTGTGGGAGGTCCTTCTGCAGCAGCTACACAGACGTCTTCCCATCAAAGCCCACAACAGGAACCTCCTCCTTCCCTCAAAGGAATTTCCCCTGGTTATCCGACTTCGGTGGAATATAATTCAGGTCAAATGAAAGGTCTACTTGTGCCCTCTCCATCACCTTATGATTTATCTGCAGGCGCTCATCCACAAACTTCAGTGATGATGGGCGATGGTGTAGACACACCACGGATCCAGCCTCTCACTGCTGGTACTGTAGATACCATCAATGTTAAGCAGGTATTTTGAACATATTGTTTTTGTTGAGATTTCAGACAATAGAATTGTTTTCTAAGAATCTATTGTAGCCTTCTGTCAACCTATATAATTTTTAATGAGCCGAATAACCTGTTACAATAGCAGAAATTGTTGGTTGCTTCACGTGCAGAATCACTTTCTGCACTGTTCAAAGAATGTTTGGTTTAACATATAACCTTTTCTTTTCCGTGTTTTGTAGATTGTTGATGTATATCCAAAGCTCTCAGAGCGAGAGTTTGCGGGCTCTGCTTATGTACCAGTTTATGTGATGCTACCAGTGAGTTGATCCTAGACCTGGTTATCAAGGTTTTGAAGTATAAAACTCATAACATTAGCATCTGTGATTTCAGTGGTGAGGTGGAAAGTACCGTTCCATCCACACTCTATGGCCTACCATTAAGTTGGAAGGACAAGGATGTTATATTTGTTATATAGAAAAGCCATTTCAGGTTCAGGTGAAGAACACACTTGCAATATATTTGAAACACTCTAACATGTTTTATTGTCTTTTATATTCTGTTCTTGACAGCTGGGTGTCATGAATATGAAATGTGAGCTAGCTGATCCAGATGGTCTATTACAGCAGCTGAGGGCACTAAAATCAGCTGATGTTGATGGTGTCAAGGTTGACTGCTGGTGGGGAATAGTGGAGGCTCACGCCCCGCAGGAGTATAACTGGCATGGTTACAAGAAGCTTTGTCAGATAGTGCGTCAACTTAAGCTCAAGTTACAGGTGATTAGCTTTCTTTTTATTTTTCTCTCTTCAACTGGGTCTTGTGTCTTAACTATTAAGTACTTTTCTTGGATTTATTGGGATGAATTCTCGTCTCATGTTATTGTAACTACTGATGGTCTACAGCAGTTAGTGGGTTCGGGCAATTATCTTCCTGATTTTTTTCTCAGGTCATCATGTCATTTCATGAATGTGGAGGCAATGTTGGTGATGATGTTTGTATTCCATTGCCACATTGGGTGGCAGAAATAGGTCGGAGTAACCCTGACATATTTTTCACTGACAAAGAAGGAAGACGCAACCCTGAATGTCTCTCCTGGGGAATCGACAAGGAAAGGGTACTAAGAGGCCGAACTGCTGTTGAGGTATATCTTCTGCAGTTGTCAGCACCAGTGAATTCACTTATTTCGCATCTATATAGAGTTGATAATCGTTTTTTCTAACGGTTGCCGTAATTTCTGCTTGTGTGTCCACTTACGAAGATCTGAAAACTATGAAAAATATATATAGTGTATGTAGTGGCTAGACTTCTCTCTAAAGAATTAGCACAGCTTTGTCTATTTTATCATTTCTTAGCTGAAACTAGTAACTTCTGGTGTGCCTGTTACCTAATTTATTGTCCTCGTGTAGGTATACTTTGACTACATGAGAAGTTTCCGGGTACACTTTGATGAATTCTTTGACGAAGGTGTCATCTCCATGGTTGAAATTGGGCTTGGGCCCTGTGGTGAACTCCGATACCCTTCTAATCCTGTAAAGAATGGTTGGAGATATCCTGGGATTGGTGAATTTCAGGTAACTTTCGTCTTGATTCAGGGAAAACAATATGTTCTGCTTGATCTTACCTAATGTAGTTTCCAGTTCTGTTAATTCTATGCAGGAGTAAGTATGTTCAAGTTTCATACTGCAATCTTCCTTTCTTTTTATCGATAAGAATACATGTTTTCTGCATCTGTGGCTTCAGGTCTTCTTTTCTGTTGGGTCATGCTCTAAGAACTCGTTTTCAGCTAGCATACATTCTTTGAAGTTTGTATTAAAGCTAGCATCTTCACTGGAAACGTATTGTTATCTGAGTGATAGTCAACCTTGAGGAAGCTTCTCGAAGTACCATACATATATGAAGTATGGTGTTTACGATTATTACAGATCCAGGTTGGGAGTGTTCCTTGGTCTTATGCAAGCATAGTGAGATGTTGGATCAATGGTAGTTCTTCTCTTATCATGCCCATGTTGAAAGTGTGGTAATGGTTAATGAGTTCGTTAGTTTTGCCAGGAACTCAACATAGGCCAGACAGTTTTTCATATTCATTCTTTATTGCAATTCACCACTTGAATAACTCGCTCCATCTTCTAACAAACTGAATGATTATAAGTCTGAGGCCTTATATATGTTCGTCCAAAAGCTTCCATTTATCGGAAGTATGTTATTGTTATGTCGAGGCTTGTTTTGTAAACCTCTTACGATGGTTGTAACAAAATACTTTTTACCTGCAGTGTTATGATCAGTATTTGATGCGAAGTCTGAGGAAGGCAGCTGAAGCAAGGGGACACCCATTTTGGTCTAGAGTGCCAGATAATTGTGGTTCTTATAACTCGCAGCCGCATGAAACAGGCTTTTTCTGTGATGGTGGAGACTATGATGGCTATCATGGGAGGTTCTTCCTTAATTGGTACTCCCAGATTTTAGTTGATCATGGTGATCTAGTGCTTTCGCTGTCCAAATTGGCTTTTGAAGGCACCTGCACTGCGGCAAAGGTGCGTTTGTCCTTCAGAACCTTGATCCTTTTTCTTAGAGGGGGAGATATCAACCCAGCCAATTTGTTACATGTAATGCGCATCTAATCAAAATTTCAAGAGAACACCAACAGCCAACCAACCCATAAACGCATGGTCCCGGTCACCCCACTCCTTTGCCAACCTATATCTTTCTACCCTCATTTCAGCTTCTGAATACTATTAATGCCCGGCAGTATTTTGCACTAATCCTAGCAGTTAATAGTAACTAGTTTTAGCTTTTCCTATATCGTTTATGATAAAATAATTTGCTATATGTTGATCCGATCTCATTGGTTGTTGGCAGCTACCAAGTATTCATTGGTGGTACAAGACAGCTAGCCATGCTGCAGAGTTAACTGCCGGATTCTACAACTCTTGCAATCGTGATGGCTATGCTGCAATTGTCGCAATGCTGAAGAAGCACGGGGCTACTCTAAATTTCTGTTTCTCTGATCTGGGGGTGTTAAATCAACAACCTATGGATTTCGCTGATGGATATGTCGATTCTGATGGATTATTTTGGCAAGTAAGGCATCTTCCTTCCATCCAAACATAGTCTCTTGCTCTCAAATTACAGTTGTCGCGGCCTAATGGTAACTTGATATTGAGTGTCCCTTTTCCCAGGTTTTGAATGCTGCCTGGGACGTTTCCATACAGATAGTCAGCGAGAGTGTGTTCCCTTGTCATGATCGACTAGCCTACAACAAGATACTGGATAATGTGAAACCATTGAACGATCCAGATGGAAGACATCCTCTGTCATTTACGTACCACAGACTCAATTCAGTTCTGATGGATAGATACAATTTTCTGGAATTCCAACGTTTCGTCAAAAGAATACATGGTAAGCTGCTGTCGAGATGGCAAATGGATTGCGTTCGCGTTCGTTGGTTCACAAGTTGGGTTTAAAGTTGCAGGAAGTAAGAATGTTGGGAAGAGGAAAGACCAGTTCTTGGTGTCATTGACTCCGACGTTTCTTTTTGGTCGCAGGAGAAGCAGTTGTGGAAATGCAGGTACAAGTGTAAATTAGCCGTGACAGTGGCACTGAAATGTGTGGCCAGACTCCCATCAGGAGAATTGAATTGGTTTGGCTAGAAGGCCCATCTATGTAATGTAGCACAAGAATATAGTAGCTGTGTAAAAATGTAAATGACGTAGCAAAGTGCAAGGAAGCACCAAAAACACTTGCACTTTTGACCTTAAATTTACTCTTATTGATTGATGGCTAGATAATATTATTTGGTTGAATACAGTTTGTTTATATATAACTCCACACGTGCTCAACTTGTATTGTGATAATTGGGAAGGATCACAATCGAAACCGAAGAATCACGGTCGTGAACATCAAATTTTTTGGTTATCAAGGTCGACTTTGTAGCTGTGGAACTAGTCATTTATAACAGCCATTCTCCGTGATCCTCATTGTAATCTTGGACTCATAGGTACGAAAAATTCAATTCGCAAACCTTTCGATCATACGTCCCCACGAGATAATTAAGGGTTTCTTTTTTTAGGATGAATGATTTCGAATTTCCGACCCACTTCGTGGTCATTGACATAGAAGATAAAAGAGAGGGCCCTCGTATCCTTGGCACTCCATTCCTGGCCATGGTTAGTGCTGTAATAGATGGGGCTGAGTGGACCATCATTTTGAGGTTTGGTGAGGAATCAATCAAGAATTCAAGAATCAATGCGGTTGAACTTTTTGCTAGAAACTTTGAAGCGACCAAAGAAATGCATGATAGTGATTTTGATACCTTTATCAACGGGACCCATGTCTCCATTTCACTCCTCTAGCTCCTCTAGTGCATCCTAGATATAAGTAAAAATATCCTATGAATCGTCTTCAAAATTGGTTAATTTTAGGTGACAAAGGGAGATTATTTCAAAGTACGACTATTAGTTTAGCGGGAGAAAACTTATATTCTACTCCCTGTGGGCTGTGTAAGCAGCAATATATCATTCACACAATTATCACGAGTATGAATCCAATTCGATTATTTATTTATTTAATTTAATTTTATTAAAAATCTCAATACTAATATCATTCTTATCCTAACTCTTTGCAGGATGCCATAACAGATCCACACAACGTTGATTCAATCATAACATAGTTGTTAATTCAAACAATGTTGTACCAAATATAAATTTTTTTGCAAACTTTGGTTTGCTTGTGCGGGGACACCGATCATTTCACAATTGTTGTCCACTTCGGTCGAAATTGGTAGGTAAATTTCTTGGGAGGGTAAGACACATTACGAGAAAGAGGCTTTTTTTTTTTTTTACCTGAAGCTGTAGTGTTAAGAAAAACGAAAGATTGATATTGGGCAAGGTAAGACTAGGGTTGTGCCAAGCTACTCACAGGCAGTTCGGTGTTCGACACTCAGCTCATTTATTAATGAGTCGAGGTCGAGTTACACCTTGCTCAAATTATAAGGTTCGTGAGCTAGTTTGATTCAATGGCTTGTTGAACACACCAAAATAAAGATTGGGTAGAATAAAACGAAGCCAGGCAAAGTAGTTTTACTTTACTAGTTTATTTACGGGACAGACTTCTTAAACACCATGTGACCAAATTCATCTACATCGAACATACGATCGACAAAGCTATCAAGCCTCTCCCTCATTTTCCCGAAAGACCAGGACGACGAAGTTGCAGCAGCAGCTGCAGCAGTCCCTGATGAGCTGCCCCCAGAGGTTTCTCCTTCTTCTGCGTCGAGAAATGTCCCGTACGATGCCTGTGCATGAGGGATGTCCAAAGCAACGGCTCTCTGAAGAGCTGCTTCATACTCCTCGGAATGTTCTCGTGCCAGAGACTCCTTTCTCTCCATCCGCTGCTCCCCTGGAATCTCCATCATCCTGTCATTCGCCAGCATTAGCTGCAAGACGAAACAGAGATAACATATTTCAGCAGCTCTCTCTCGATGGTTACGGTTGCGTTGCTTAAAAGATAAGAACTTTCTTCTGCTCCAAGTTTGTTATTATTTTTTATCCACAGCAGAACACCCAAGGCTAGGACTTGGGAACTTACATCAAAAGCTCTCTGAGATTCCCTCTCTATCCAGATAATGGCATGGTCGGCAGTTGCATTACAGGACAGAACCATGTGCTCAAACCTCCCATCCACCGGGACTGCTGTCCGGACAATTGGAGGAAATCTTCCTATCCTACAACAGATATAAAATAAGTAGGATTTATGTCAGTAGGTTGCTCCATTTGAAATCTGAAATACCAAATGATATAAAATAGTTTGAGAAATTTTCAGAGTTGATTCACCTGAGGGGTCTTCTCTCAACAATGTGATACAGGCGACCGGGTGCATATAGCCTCCTTGGATCTTTAAGCACCTTCTCTTCAAGAGTGCAAGTGTCCTTCAAGCACATTATGCAAAGCAGACAAGGGAAACTGTTCAAATAAACAAACCAAAAAAACAAAAACCAGCTTAGACAATAGATAGTACTTGACATGAGCACAGAGGATATCCCAACCAAAACCACTTGCCACATTGACAGCAATAAACTAAAAGTTCTAGTTAAGGAAGCCAGTACGCATTTCTCCTACAGCAAGCTACATGTACTATATCCATCAAGGCCTGCTCAGATAAATCCGAAGCTACTGGACTCTAAGAAGTTCTCATGCATGCATATTGCAAAGTTAGAAAGGAAATACAGTAGAATGTATTTTCTTAATTATTACACAAATATTGAGGATTTCAGATTTCTGAAACAGCATCCACCAAGATTCAGCTGAATGAAAACATGAACAACTAAGGGCTAGAACCCAGAAGGTGAGACATACTATTGTTTTACCAGATAAGTGACTTGAAGACGTCTTCCAGAGCCATGGTTGTACGAGGTAAGAAATCATCCTGCCGCAATAATAACTAGCATAAGAATGTATGAACAAAATGATTTATAGGTCGTAGCATACAATCATGCTCATATAATTATCAGCAAGTTGTCTGATTGTTCCCCGAATTTGAGCATTCGGTAAGTTTTGCCAACCTAAAAAGTATGTCACAGGCTCACATCCCAAACAAACAGTTTTAATCCGGAAAACAATTAACCAGAGTGGCACTAGATCCAACTGCGTATGCTCGTTATTCTCCTGGAGGTAAAACTTCATCCACTTAACAAATGCTGTTTGCCACAAATTGTTTTGGTTTGTGTCATCCCATCAATCATCCACCAAATCTAAGGTAATTCGTTCCAAAATTAATAACCAACTGAAAATAGTCAGCAAATGTATGAAGGTAAAAGGCAGCACAGAATCCTTACCTGAAGCACAACTGAGTTAATAACATCTGCATATCTGACAGCCAAGTTCAAGGACATGCACCTTGGAGGAGCCACAGCAAAGCATCTGATTCTCTTCCTCTCTATGTTCCCTAATCTACCTCGATTTTGAAGGGCATAAATCGTCATCAATGCAACTATCCCGGCACCTAAGGAATGTCCAGCAAATGTCAACCGGTAATTTGGATTCTTCTCGATCAACTCCCTGAGAACTCCACATTCTGTATCAAAAACCCACTGGGCTGCCTTCAGTAGGCCATTGTGCACATACCCACCACAGAACTTAGTCTGTCCAAGCTTGTTATCGAGCAAAACGGCATAGTCACTCTCAATAGCCAAATTCAGCCCTCTAATGGCCAACACCACATCAGCATTCTTATGATCGATGTAGATCAAGTAAGGACTGGACCTGCCACCCGTGTGTTCATGATTCTTCTTCACCATCATCCAATCAGGATCAAGACCATAACCTCCGGGTGGTTCCCAAATGGGATTATGAAGATCGTCTTCATAATTTGCAAGGATTATGCGACATAGGCGGGGGACAGGGTCAAACTCTTCAGAAGTAGCTAAGCCCCAATTCTCGCTCTCATAGCCAGCAGTGTATATGCACCTTCGCCATGCCCAGCGAACACATGCCAGACAGTAGACACATTCCACTACCGGAATGCAACAGGCGATTGACATAGGAAGCCTATAATTCAATCATGTTAACCAAGTGTCTAGAAACAAAGTTATGGAAAATTGCTGCAACTAATCCGAAGGACGAAATCAAGGGGTATAGAAGTCGAAAGCGGACAACTTCGAGGTAAACCCAGTGAAGTATCGATAACAGATGATCAGAAGCAAGCTCGAGATATGAAGTTACACTGATCAAACGCCATGATAAGAAGAGCTGTCCCCAGGACAACCTATTTCAAGAAGACGACGGAAAAGCTTGCAGCAATCACTGCAATAATCAGGACGCATAGTTCAGGGGATTTGAAAGCTGAAAGGCTGAGAACCCAACTCTGTAGCTTTGCCCTTGAAGAGAAAATACGAAAACCTAAGTGGAAACTGTACAAAGCAGGAAGATATCTGTATATGAGAGGAAGGAGTATGTTCGCAGTGCTGCTCAAGAATTAGGATCGCCGCTGCACTCAAAATTTGAACCTTTTCCTGGGTTTAGGTGTCCGATGGTATAGAAAATTACAGAGGTTAAACTGCAGACGGAAAGCAAAGCACAGAACTATGATTGAGACAGAGGAAACTAGAAGGAAGGAAGGAAGGAAGGAGAAAAGAAAGAAAACGAGGGCTTCTTTTCTTTCTTCTTGAGTTTATTATTGTACCAAACAAATAATATAGCTACGAGTCAAACTGTCAAAACCCATTTCCCGGTCCTCCAAAAGAATCTTTTTCTCTGTATGCTATTATTCCTCTTCCCTTCTCCTATGGCCAACCGCCTCCCTTCTGTCGCCGCCGTCTCCGGCCGTCCCGGTTTCCCAATTCCCACTTCCAGGAGGCGGAGGTGGTGGGTGCACGTCAACTAAAATGGTTGCAAAACTCTTTTTCCCCCAACTTCCTTTCTAGGCTAGAAACCCGGCTTAACCGGTATCGGTTACAAAAATAGGTTGGAATGTCTCTGATATTGACCGATATGACTTCAAACAACATGACGCTAATTTGATGAATTAAATTGATAAAAAATAATTTTTGATTTGTTTCTTCAATTGAAAGTTAAATTTTGTTATTTGTCAGATTCAAATATGTCTTTTTTATAATGGTGAAATTCATTGGGAACAAAAAAATAAAAAATCTAGTAAAGAGGACCACAAGACGTAACCGCTCAGCAACAAGAAACAATAATGAATCCGGTCTAATCGAGTAAGGTAAAACTCAAACTCGGAGGATTTACAGTGGGTACGGGTAAAACCCGAACTCGAATATTGCGAGTAATGGTTAGGCATGGTTTTCGTACTATCCAACCCGAACCTGACCGATTATATACATTCAGTTGTATTTTTTTGAGAAATTATTATTATTATTCTCAATATATTTGATATTTAGCATACATTTATAATATTTTCATGAAATCATGTTGTTTAATTAATTTTCTTCGTTCTAGTGATTTATTATCATACCTTTTCATTTATGTAATACAAGTATACGTGTAAATGGTAACATTTTCGTTGAAGTTATAAAGATAAATTATTATCCATGGATAACCATGGATACCCGAAACCCGAACGGATATGGGCATGGTTTTTATTTTCTACCTGATTCTTATATGAATATGGGTAAAACCCGAACTATTTTGGGTAAGGTAACAGATATGCACTATCCCCCGACTCGACTCTTTGCCATCCCTAAAAAGCAAAAACAACCCTGTTCATCACAGCAGAAGTCAACTACTAAGGGCACCCCAAACAAAGAGAAAGGAAAAACTAACACAGCCAGCACAAAGATGGTACAGAAAGGCTAAGCTATCAGCCTTTCTGTATAAACTTTTGATGTATTCAAGTATAAATTTTTAAGGGTTAATACCCTAGTTTGGTCTGAAGTTTTGCGTAAATGTCAGTTTTAGTCCGAATTTTCCAATAAGACAGTTATGGCAAACTTTTCAAATTTATGGACAAAATTGGCCCGAAATTTTCTTTTATCGTTAATATTGACGTCAAAGACTTATCACTTGTTTGAGTCGTGGTTTGTGCTTTTATGCTTTTCGAATCAATAACCAAACTCTTGTCAGTTTTTTGTTTTGTTTGGTGGCCTGAGCAACTCTCCTCTTCATGAACCGCTCTCCCATCCATCGTTCTTCAATCATTCGGTAACTTCATTCCCCTTTCCTATTTTGTCTCAATTGAGGACAATGGTATGCTTAAGTGTGGTGGTGTTTCATCGTAAATAGGTGTGAATAAATGGTTGGATTAATGCTAAATGCTTGGAGTCTAATCCACACTCCAAATTTTTAAATTTGAGAGTTCCAAACACGTTTGCCTTATTGTGCATGAACATAGTGGATTAGTGGTCACTTTTGAACATAACTTTTGGGGGTCGTTTGGATGCATTGTTTCAATGAGTTATTTTGGACTGTGGTATTTCTAAATATGGTTAATATATTTGTATGGCCTAAACTTTGACCAAAATAGACATTCTGACCAATCTTTTTGATCTATAACATCCTGACCAAAACTATACATCAAAATAACGAAAGTGGCCAAACTCTATGTTTGATCGTTAAATGAGTAACGTGGCGCCAAACTCTATGTTTGATCGTTAAATGAGTTTTACCACTCATTGAACCATATCACTTGCCATTTGCCAAACTAGTTCTACAAAGTACAACCTTGGCGCCAAATATGGTCACTCAACTTAAGACTGCCCGAAATTGTTCCCACCAACTTCACCCGCGCCCAACAACCCGAACCGAACCATTTTCTCTGCCACTCAATTCTCCACTCAACTCTCACAGTTCCTCGTTTTCCTCCCCCTGCTCTGCTGCTGCCCCCCTTATCACAATTCTCAATCCGCACTGTTCTCTTCTCTCGATCGAGTAAGAACCCTAAACACTAATTCATCCCAATCCCATCCTGTTCGTCGTCATCGCCTTCCTCAGCCTAGTAGCTGCCGGATCGCCTTCCTCGCTTCGTGTCTTTTTGGGAGCCCCACTGTAATCGATTCTTTCTTCGCCGCATCGTCTTCCTTGTCGACGTCGCCACTCAACTCGCGTTGGTCCTCGCCGGCCTGCCTCGTCCTCGCCGTCGCCGGCTTATCCTCATCCTTGCCCGTGCTTGTCATTGCTGATCCCGCAGTTAACTCGCACTCTTGCCATTTCTACCAGTCATCCATATACATCTTTCTTAATACGAAATCCCTGCTTCTCCGGGGAAGAGCCGGCTGCCACACGATTTGACGATACCCGATCGCTAAGCCTATTTGAGGCGATCTCTTCCCTTCCTTGCGCAATTCCATGGATATGGAATCAGGTGAGGATGATCTCCTTCTCTTCTCTTCTCCACGAGCTTCTTCTGTTTGGTGTCCCGTTGGCCTTCTCGTAGGCACTCGCCCAGATATTCTCTTTTTCTGTTTCTGACAACAAGCCAATCGATTGGCGTTTGAAAATTCTAGGTTCGAATCCCGCCGATTTTCCATTGCTTCTTTCTGACTGTACTTTGCGTGGTTGAACCTATATTATGCAGTGATGGAGTTTCTAGGCGGCGTGCCTTTGCTGCAGCGGTTGCCCAGTTCTTCGCTCAAGAGAATTGCTCAGCTTGTCACGCCTCGGCACTATGGTGATTAGATTTTGTTATGTTCCTCTCTTCTTTTTTTAGTTTTTACTCTGGGTTTGATCAGTTTGAGTGCAGTGTTGTTGTGGGTTATGGTCTTGAGAATGAAGCTGTTAATGTCATTTTGGGTGTTCTGCAGATAAAGGGCAGTATGTTATTCGTGAGGGCGAAGTCGGAGAAGGAGTCTATTTTATATGGGAAGGGGAGGTTAGATTCTGCATATGTTTATTTAATTTGGTCGTTGTGAAATTTCTTACAGTCTCAACAGCTTCTTTACTTGTTTTTATGTTTCTTCAACGCTTTGGGTTTTAGGCTGAAGTTGATGGATCAGTGCATACCGAGGAAGAAAACCGTCCTGAATTTCAACTGAAACGATTTGATTACTTTGGCAATGGTACTAATGATTCTTTTTTGTTCTCTTTCCTGGAGTGAACTACTACAACAGTTATTAGCTTAATACAGTTTTTTGCTTCATTTCTTCCTTTCCATCCATACCGGTTTACTCTCTCTACAGAAACCTGCAATATTGCCATTTTTCTTTGTTACGGCCAGAGAAATAATTCTACAAAACCTGAATTGTTCACGAACTCACTCTGCAGGTTTGTCCGTCTCAGTCCAGCAAGTAGATGTGATCGCTTTGACCAAGGTACGTGCATCCTTTTCATTGTATGCCACATTCAACACTCCAGCTCCTGAAACATTGGACAAACAGGAGTAGGGCATCAACGGGAAGGACACTGAGTTTTTGGTTTCGTGTCTTTTAACAGCTCACCTGCTTAGTGCTGCCCTACGAACATTGCAGTTTGCTGCAAACAAAATCGATATGGAGAGCAGATGAGACTCATGATTCGTGCTCCCTTGTGGAGCGTATACTGCACTTGGATTCAATAGAAGTATGATCTTCACTTCCCTGGTTATTCTTTTGCTAAGCAATAGGTATCAGATTGTTTACACATTTGTAGTACAAGATAATATATGGCCATTGTTTTTGCCGACTGCATAAAGTTAGTCAATGTCTCTAGGGGATTCTTTAAGTTTTATTTTTTTCAAACACACCCAGACGACCCAAACCCACACATGCACATGTTGATATCTAGTTATCTACTATTGCTTCTTTCTTCCAATCTTCATTATTCTCCCTTTTTCTTTATTTTCTATTTATTTATAATAGGTGAATCTGTTCCAAGGAATAACCTTGCCAGAGGCCCCCAAGTTCGGAAAGGTATTTGGAGGTCAGTTTGTTGGACAGGTACGTACGGATCATATTCTTGCCAACTCCTATAACCTGTGATTTTGTAGGGATGAATGTTCTGTGCGATGAGCTTGATGAACATATGGTGCTACACGCATGCTTTATCTAAATGAAAATAAATATCATGTGTTCCTAACTTACTAAAACACAGTGTGTCATGACGATTGAAATGAAAGTATGGATATGGTCTACATGTGTTTGAAAGCATTATATCTGATGAGCTTTATTGTGAATATCTTGGTTTCCTAAAAGCACTTTTAAACAACATCTTCCAAACTTGAGATGGTTGTAAGATACTACCGAAACTATTTTGCTGTGAACACCAGAATATACCCTATACCTGTAGGCTTTTACCTGTGGCACATGATCACCTAACTACTTTTTCCTTCTTGAATAAAAAGTTTTTGAATTGGTAATTTACCATTGAAAATAGATCTTGATTTTTCTACCATGTTAATGTCCCTTGCAGGCACTAGCAGCAGCGTCGAAAACTGTGGATTGCCTGAAGATTGTACACAGCTTACATTCTTATTTCCTTCTTGTTGGGGATTTTGACAGTAAGTATTTTAACCTCTTTTGTGATATAAGAGTTAGCCACCATATGTCTATATCTAAACTTGAACTGTCTCACATAATAAAAGTTCCTAATGGACATTATAAAATTCACGTGTTAGAATTTTTGAATAAGGAGATTTACTCTTTCTTTTGAGGAGTTCACGTATTTGCTTTTCTGAAAGAACAAGATTGCATGGTGCCCTGTGGCAATGTTTCGCTGTCCTTACATAACAATCTCAAACTAGTGAATTATTCCTTGTCAAAGTAACTGATAGAACCTGAATTAGGGTTCTATCGAGAATTGGGGATTTAGGGATTTAGAACAAAATTAGGGATTTGAGAAAAGAAAGATAGAGAATCGGCCTAGGCCTTTAGAGGGATTGGGAACGAGAATTGAGAGGATTAGGAGAATAGGGTTTAGGAAGGCTTTTCTTAATATTCTTCTTGACTGCCTTTGAATAAAACGGTAAGTACATATTTATAACGAAAGACTCGAAAACCCTAATAGACTATCCTAATATGACTCAATGACTACTACCATATCTAATAATATCCTAATTATAGTAATAATAATTATTATGATAAATCCAGAAAAGTCGGTTTCTATCATTCCTTCCCCCTTGAGACCAACCTTGCCCTCAAGGTTGATCGACTCAACCCACTTCCTCACGTCGTACGTGCAAATCATGCCTTGTCTTCTCCATCTTTTGCGCTTCCTTTTCTTCCAATCACGCGCCAACTCTTCACTTAGCCTTCCTTCTTCGACCTCCTGGTGTAGCTGCAAAGTTATGATCTTCAATTGTGATGGTCCATTCCTCGCCTCATCGAAGTATTCAAACTTCAATACTTCCTCTTTCGCGATCCTGGCCCTCCAGTAACTAGAGTAATCCAAGGATTCGTTCATGCTCAAGAACCCATCCTTGAATACCATTTCATCAAGGCCTTGATAAACCCTTCTTGGAGCAAGCCCATAACTCTGTTTTGTTGCCTCCCTAATTAATTTCCGGCCCTGTTCTCTTGGAAGCCAATCTATTCCCTCATTAGTCCCACCTTTCTTTTCCTCCAAGTCCACCATCTTGAAAAGACAGTTTAAATGTGGTCCAACATTCTTCCAGATACTCGGCCCATATACTAATGTGAAGCGTGCCAAATGCCTCTCTGAGCCCACAAGCTTGCAATATGGCCCTGACTCTGCCCAATTAATCCTAGTCTGCAGCCCGACCAATTGATCAATTTGATCCGAGTTGAGCCCCGCGTTCTCCTCTTTCATTCCCAACCCGAAGCCCTTTACCCCTTCATTCACCACACAATCGATTGCTCTCGGCCCAACCAAGTCCTCTGCCCTACCAATTAAGCCCAACAAGGCTCTGTTGTGATGTGCTACGCCGATCACAGGATGCGACCTAGGGTTTGGGCAAAGAACGGCGTCAACCTCCTCCTTCCTTTCATTCGCTGTCACGCTGCCCGCCGTCGCCGACGATTCCTTCTCCAGCTCTGGCGACGCAGCCAGGCCCGTCGCCGCCTCATCCTGACTAGTCTCCTCCTTCTGTAATGCCTTCATCTCCGTAGCCGCGATAGAAGACTCCCCCAACAACGTCTTCTGCTTCAACTTCCCGTCCGACCTTGCCTTGAACGGATTCTCGTTCGTCGCCGCTGCTAGGAAAGCCATCGTGGGTCGTTGAGCTAATTGCTCGATTCCCGGCGTCGACGTGTCAAACCAGGTGTTCATCTTTTCGGCAGTCGACGCCCAGGCTGGGGCTAGCGTTGATTGCGGCGGTGCTCCTTTCACAGCCGGTGACGAAATATGACGACTCTGCTCTGTTTCTCGTCGTCGAACAACGTTGACTGAGCACTCCTTCCCCGCCGACTTCCTCTTTGGGGAACAGGCCATTGTCACCCGATCGGTTGCTCCCTGTTTTCTGCATCGTCGATCGCTCCCTCCGCGGCACTCTGTCGTCTTCTCCTCTAAACCCCGGCCAGTTTGAATCTCGCCAGTCGGCAAAGCTGGTGGCCCGACGGAAGTCGCCACTTCGGGGCTTGCAACTGGTGACGTGAGAACGGGCAGCACGACGAACGCTAAATCGTTGTCGATCCTCAGTCCCTTCTTTCGGAATCGCCAGTTCTCGATGTGGCTCGGCATTGCTCTCCTCTTAGGCCTTCTTGCCCTGACGTCGGCGGGCGCAGCTGGTGACTTCACAACGCCCATAGCCCCCTTTGTCTCATCATATGCCACCACCGCCTGCTTGCTGACGATGACCCACGACTTCGGCGCACCGGTAGCCTCGACGCCGATGTCCTTTTCAACTGATTGGTATGCGCCGTCGGCAGGGTTGACTAGACCTCTTCCTTCATCGCTAACGTTGGCTTGAGGCACAACAGGAACTGTTTTCCCCGGCTCTTTGGTGGCGGCGACTGGAGTAAACTCCACCACAGCAGGAGCGTCTTCAACGGCGGCTGATGCTAATGATTCCTTCGACGTCGACTCTGACTGGTTGCGGGTCGCGCGACGACGGGCTGCATAGCGCTCGAGTTTGGCTCGAAGTTCTTTCAGGCCTGCTATCATATAGTCGTCGTGAGCTTCCCTCCTAGCTCCACATGCTTCCTTGCTAGCTTCATAGGCTTCCCTACTAGCTTCATATTTTACTAGACTGGCTTGGAGAGCTTCAAACGTGTGACAGAGTTTCTGATAACAATTCCCTGGTGAAAGTTGTGATGAACTCAAATCTGTGACCATGGCTCTGATACCAATTGATAGAACCTGAATTAGGGTTCTATCGAGAATTGGGGATTTAGGGATTTAGAACAAAATTAGGGATTTGAGAAAAGAAAGATAGAGAATCGGCCTAGGCCTTTAGAGGGATTGGGAACGAGAATTGAGAGGATTAGGAGAATAGGGTTTAGGAAGGCTTTTCTTAATATTCTTCTTGACTGCCTTTGAATAAAACGGTAAGTACATATTTATAACGAAAGACTCGAAAACCCTAATAGACTATCCTAATATGACTCAATGACTACTACCATATCTAATAATATCCTAATTATAGTAATAATAATTATTATGATAAATCCAGAAAAGTCGGTTTCTATCAGTAACACTATATGAAGTCCGTATATAGCAGTTCATCCAAAGCATCTTATACGCCAAGGATTGGGCTTTGGTTGGTGTGAAATTGACAATTTCCTACTTGCTGGAGAATCTATGGATTTTCAGGGTGTCCACTGTACTCCTGACTCCAGTACTAGTGGTCAAGTTATAGGCACATAATCATGTGTACTAATGAGAAAGGTTTAAGTTACCATCCTGTTCTTCAATGGTGTCAGTCCATTAGATCTTCCCAGCCTTTGAGGCTACCACATATGATGATCCTTCAAGGTTCAAGGAATTTCGCTTCTGAAATTGTTTGGATCTTAGGTATATAATGCAATGACTGAACAGACATATCATATGTACCAATGGGAATGGTTTAAGGTACCATCCTGTTCTTCAATAGTGTCGGTCCATTGGTTGAAGGGATTTCACTTCTGAAATTGTTGGATCTTAGGTGTATAATGAAACAACTGAACAGACATATCATGAGTTTGGATTAATGATGTCCAGATATCTGTGGCAGATGATTTTTTAATTGTTGAATTTATACCAATTGTTATATGGATACTTTTGTAGTGCCAATTCTGTACCAAGTTCACCGCGTTCGTGATGGGAAAAGCTTTGCTACTCGCAGAGTTGATGCAATACAAAAGGGAAATGTTGTGTTCACGTTACTCGCGTCATTTCAGGTTTTTCAATTCTCTTTTCATGGAAAGTGCCACTTACAGTTATGGTTTTAACTACGCATGGGTTTCAGTTGTCGTTTTCAATGTAAACTCAAATATGTAGTCTATTAGGATATTTTAGTGGGAGCTTTAGGAGTTGTGACATTTTAACAATTATTTAATGTGGAGTTGTGGTGAATTATAGAAAGAAGAAACTGGATTCAAGCACCAGGAAGTTGCAATGCCATCTGTGCCAGATCCAGAGATGGTAAGTGGAATGTGGTTGTGTGCAATCTTTTCTAGCTGGTCTATTTGTGGCAGCTAACTTTGATTTATTGCAGCTCTTGTCATTGGAACAGTTGCGTGATAAGCGTTTAACTGACCCTCGCCTCCCTAGGTATGAGTGAAAGGTTCAATTTGTGGGTTTCTTGTGTTGAAATCATTACCATTATTTCTTAACTGCATTCACTTGATCATTGTTTTCTTCTTTATTTGACTTACTATGTATTTGCATTCTTCTATGATAAGCGTTTAACTGATCCTCGTCTCCCTAGGTGTGGGTGGAAGGTTCAATTTGTGGGTTTCTTATGTTGAAATCATTACCATTATTTCTTAACTGCCTTCACTCAATCATTTTTTTCTTCTTTATTTGGCTTACTACGTATTTGCGTTCTTCTATGATAAGCCTTAAATTTTCATTAGCCAAAATTCCTGTACTTGAGTGTCCTGAATTCAATATAATTTCTGTAGAATTTATGAATGTAGGGAAAACCAGCTGCAAGGTTTTATACTTTTACCTAGTAATTGCAACCACAGAAAAGGAGTTTGACTGACAATTCTTACCCAACAATAGTTATTGCTTTGCTAAAGGTTTTTTAACCGTCAATGTGATGCTATCAATTCTTCAAATATACAATCGTATAATAGTTTGAAGGTTTATTGGCTGTTGCAGAAGCTATAGAAACAAGGTAGCTGCTAAAGAATTTGTCCCTTGGCCAATAGAGATTAGGTTCTGCGAGCCTAGCACCCGTACCAATCAGACTAAGTCTCCTCCAAGGTACCATCACAATTTCCTTACCTTTGATAAGTCTATATTCTGTTCTATGGAGATTATAATCGCCTGACATTTATTGGTAATCATGAAATGCTTGCCCAGCTTGAAGTACTGGTTCAGAGCAAAAGGAAAGCTTTCAGATGATCAAGCTTTGCAAAGGCAAGTTACTCCTTTCAACCTCAACCCGAGCTCAATGAAACCTAGAAACCTTGCTATGTGATGTATAAAGATGATTCATAGACTTAACTAAAGGCTGGGGGGATTGCAGACCTTACGTTCCACTCAAAACTTAGAGTGGTGTAATATTTGCTTAATCTCCAGGTGTGTAGCAGCATTTGCTTCAGATCTCATCTTTCTTCAAGTTAGTTTGAACCCTCATCGCTATAGGGGTTTGAAGGCATCCGCTGTTAGTCTGGATCACTCGTAAGCATCCTTTGCCTGGCCAACAGTATATAACCTATTTTTTTGTTGCAATAGCGTTTCCATTGTGAAACTAAGGTTATTAGTGGAAATTCGTTAATACCTTTTGTCGGTCTTCTTCTTTTTCTTAGGATGTGGTTCCATAGACCTTTCAGAGCCGACGATTGGATATTGTTTGTGGTAAGTGGTCACAGGGTCATCTCAGTTCAGATGGTCCCATGCAACAACCAGAAGTTAACATTTCAAGTGTTTGTCTTGCAGATCAAGAGCCCCGCTGCCTCCAATGCACGCGGCTTTGTGTCAGGAGATATGTTCACTAAAGGGGGAGAGGTATATGATCAATCCAATAATCTATCCTTTCTGTTATCCCCTTATCCAGTCCTTTGCTCTTATTATTTGCAGAGGACTGAACCATTTTGTTTGTTGAATTCGTGAACGCAGCACATTGTGTCGCTAACGCAAGAGGGCCTGCTTCGGAAGTATATGCCACCAAATCCAGCCACGGGCTCAAAGCTTTGAGTTAGAAGTTGTAGCGTGATGATTCAGACGAACTCATATAGAAAGACGAGGCGCCCTATACTGGTGGTTTGGTCATTGTGGGTTTAGCCACAGTTCTCCAGTTTGTCTCAGGGTTGGGAGTGTTGCTATGTAATTTGCCGGTTGAGTTGCCTATACATGTATTATTCTGGGGAATGTTGCATTGCACTCCTTGTGCTTTCTTGTGCCCCAGCCACTGACAGTTTTGAATGACGGTGTCATAAAATATAATAATCTCTCTAGTGTTTGTAATTTAAATTAATGTTTTAGAAAGCTTACCTTACTGTCCGGTTGAAACTGTTTTAGCAGGTGAAACTGTTTAACCATGGTTTTAGTACGAAATATCTTACAACTGAATTTTTTTATGACTTTCAGCACAGTTTCACATCATTGATTTAAACTCACGAAAGAGCTTCTAGCCTCATGGTTCGCCATGCAGCAATTGTACGGCTAGGCCAATTTACCAACAATCACAATTGCAACAATCACAATTGCTGAGGGGCTACTCCAATGTTGGACTACACATCGAAGCAAATCCACAGCTACCGAACTATTTAGAAGTGGTGATTAGTCAACAAGCTCGTTGTTATGATTTTGATGTGATAGGCAGTCTTGTTCTTTGAGATTGACCTCAAATGGTGTCAATTGTCATCACTACGGTATCATTTGCTTGTGGGATTTGACACCCAAATTTCAAACATAAAGGATTTGGAACTAGGGGTGAACAAACACATCCGCAAACCGGCCCACCCGTCCAACCCGACCCAACCCACCCGTATATATCGCTAAAACGAAGGTTTTGGGTAGGGTGAGGGTTTTCTTTTGTACAACCCGCCTCTTTTGGGTTGGGTTTGGATTTTGGATTACACAACCCGTAGAACCCGACCCAACCCGTGTTCCAACTATTAGTATGAGTTCGGATCTAAAAAATATTTATGTAGTATATAGTCATATACTTATGAGAAAATTAAGATATTTCTCCATGTTTTTCTCTCATGGTCTCCCTAATCTAATGCATTCTTCGACTTAAAGTTTAGACATAAATTGAATATAGTTATGATTCACGTAATGATTTTTCTTGTGTACAATTTTAATAGAATAACATATGATGGATGCGTTTATTTATAACATTTTTGGTCCATTTCAACAAATATCGTGAAAAAAACAAGACATATGTTGAAGTAAATCACATTTTATTAAAATTTAAACAACATTTGTGAATTTTCATACCTTTCACCTTGGTTCATTCGTTTGAAATTTTAATTAGTTATAAAATATTTTTATGATGTAGAATAATTATACATTTTATGTTGGGTTGGGTTTTTACTTAAAAATATCGCCAACCCGACCCAACCCAATTAGAAACAAACCGTAGGGTTTAAATTTTTTTGGGTGGGTTTGGGTTTGATATTTCCCAAACCGTAGTGCATGGGTCGGGTGATTAAAATGACTAAACCCGAACCACCCCTATTTGGAACAACACCATTGTTTGCTAAGGGACACAAATTCGTGGGGCCACGGATTTGCAAATCCCACATTTCATTTGGGATTTGATCATGGAAGGCAAAGTTGTGAGACAAATCAATATAAATCCATGATAAAAATTAACCAAACAAACAATGTACTCTTCCAAATCCATAATGCAATAAATCCATCATAAATCCAAAGGTTTTTAAAACTCAAAACCCTCATTTTCAAATCCAGCAAGCAAACGAGCCCGACATTCAAGATTAGTTTTCATTTGAGTTTTAATGTATGGCTGATTTCTTGATTTTAGAATAGTTTTCATTTGATTTTGTGAATTGAGAAAATTGGGGTAAATGCCTCATTTGGTCACTAGGATTACTAAATCATGTCATGTCTAGTCGCTAGAAAAAATTAATATCAATTTTGGTCATTCGAATTACTGAAACATGTCACATTTAGTCACTCTCCGTTAGCCTCCGTCCAACTCCATTTAATGGAGTTGGACGGAGGCTAAATGGAGTTGGACGGAGGCTAACGGAGAGTGACTAAATGTGACATGTTTCAGTAATTTGAGTGACATTCATAAAAAAAAAAGGTAATTCGAGTGGCCGGAGTTGGACGGAGGCTAATGAGAGAGTGACTAAATGTGATATGTTTTAGTAATTCGAGTGATCAAAATTGATATTAATTTTTTCTGGTGACTAAACATGACATGATTTAGTAATCTCAGTGACCAAATGTTACATTTACCGAGAAAATTGATTGGTGGGTCAATTCACTTCTTTCATTTTGATTCCCGATTTCGGGAGTCTTCTACTTTCTATAGAACGGTTCCATCAGGAGCAAACGTGCTGGCGGATGTACGCCGACGCCGTCGTACTTCTCTCTTTATCTCTTCGACGCACTACGCGGTGAGGGCCTTTGATCTTTTGCGGTTTGATTTGCTACTTCCTTCCAAGTCTTCTTTCCCTCTCAACATTTTCCGGCCATTCCCCAATTATCTGTGATTCAACCTGAAACTCTAAACTAGGGTTTTGAGCTATTTATGTTTCTTGACCAGATGCAACGTTTGGTTAGGGTTTGTTGTTACAGTATTCAAAAGTAGGCATTAGAAAACGTTGTTCAGTTCTTGTCGATCTGTTCACTTGACATGTCCTGACACGCATTTCCCTAAGAATCGAAGAAAATGGTTCTTTTGATCTCCATTGGCTGGGCTAATCTGCATATTCATTGAAGTTTTGCCCTTTACCCTACGTACGGCTGTAGAGCATCAAACAGGAACTGAAATCGGTTTCTCGATGTGTAGTAATCAACTCTTGAAACAATTAGTGCACAGACATTTAGGATTTGAACTTTGAGTGGCTGATTCTGTAGTTTGGAGCTTGGCAATGATGGTTAGGATTGGGTTTATGCTGTACCCTGTAATGTGCAGTTACAATAATGATTGAAGCTGTGCGCTGCTAACACTACACTTTTGTTGTTTTTCCTCACTTATAAGTTATATCCTCTAACATCCCAATTTGGGTTTCTCTATCCAGTGAAAAATATGGGAGATGGATGTAGGAGAACCGATCCTCTTGGAGCAGAGGACACAGAACTGCTACGTGGACTTCCTAATGACATCACTCTTTACTGTTTAGCAAGAGTGCCTCGGAAGTACCATACAGTACTGAAGTGTGTTTCCAAGAGATGGAGGGAGTTAGTGTGCAGCGAAGAGTGGCATGATTATCGTAGGAAAAATAATCTTGCCGAGACTTGGATATATGCTCTTTGTCGTGGCACCTTTGACCAGTTGAGGCTTTACGTCCTGGATCCTAATTCTCAGAGGAGGTGTTGGAAACTCATTCCGGTGGTTCCAGACCGCTGTTTGAAGAGAAAAGGTATGGGGTTTGAAGCATTTGGAAAGAAGATTTACTTAATGGGTGGATGCGGTTGGTCAGAAGATACTACTGATGAAGTCTACTGCTACGACGTTCCAAGGAATTCATGGGCAGAAGTTACTTCCTTGTCAACTGCAAGGTACACTTTTACATTCCTTGCATTCTGCCTATTTGTTGGGGCACCCCCTCATAGTCATAACAGAAAGAGACTCTTTGATGTACCTAGGCTGCTGTGAATTTAGTTATCAGAACTAGGGTTGCTGACATTTAGGTAGAAGAACTAGTGCGTTTAGGGTTTGTAGCATGGTTCCATAAGCATAATAGATCACATATTGCAAACCCTTATATTGCAATCTGATGAATCTAACTGATTTACAAGCTCTCTTTATATAGAGAGAGGCTGAGTGCAAAAGAAAGGAACTAGGAAACTGAAAAAAAGTAAGCCTTCTACTAGTACTACTACTAATACTAGGAATTTAGTTACAACTCCTACCTGGAAAAGAAATTAAAGAATAATTTCTCCTAATTCATCAAAGAAGTCCTAAACCAACATGTGCAACATCAATCCTCCGAGTACTTGTTGGATAATTGTTGTATGAATCCTGAAATTCTCTAGCTTCCTTTGTGCTTGACAGCTCTTCAAGGTTGTTCATAATAACTAACAAAAACAAGTTGTTCTTGTCATAGTGAGTGGGCCATAGATTGCATTTCTAGGGTCAATGTAGAGTGTAGCGTCATCTAGATTCCCACCACCTTTGCCTTCTAGATTGTTTTATTCATGCTTTGGTGCTGTTCAGGTGTTATTTTGCTTGTGAAATTCTGGACGGCAAAATCTACGCAATTGGAGGGCTGGGTTCAAATCCGAGTGATCTCCATTCTTGGGACTGCTTTGATCCCCACACAAGTACTTGCGAATCGCACCCTTACACCAACATTTTATCTGAGATTGATGATTCCATGGTGCTGGATGGGAAGATTTACTCTCTATGTGGTCTTTATGGCTACGCATCCCGTGTGTATGGGGTTGTTTATGACCCTTTACATGACACGTGGCAGTACGCAGATGCTGATTTAGTTTCTGGTTGGCGGGGTCCAGCGGTCATCGTTGATGGTGACTTTTATGTGTTGGACCAGAGCTCAGGGACGAAGCTGATGATGTGGGATAAGCAGAAAAGGGAATGGGTTGCAGTTGGAAGGCTGTCAGCATTGCTCACAAGACCACCTTGCAGACTAGCAGCCATTGGGAAGAAGATATTTATTGTGGGCAAGGGACTATGCACCGTTGTCGTTGACATTGGCCAAACTGGGAATAATGTCGAAGGGGTGTTGGTTAGTTCTTCCATTCCTGGTTTAGATTGCCAGGATGAGATTATCAGTTGCACTTGTGTGTCGATTTGAATCCATCTTTGTTCATTGATTGTACACTGAAATATTGTATGAATGTACCAAAAAGATGAGAGATTATAAAAGTGGAGGGCAGCAAGACTTTGAGAGTGAGACTTCTACATGTTACTGTAAAACATATACTTCTGTAATCCTTGCCTGTCGGAATTCTTAGATGGGCGAAAGCATTCAGTTTGTATATTACTGTCACCGGTTGTGAAATCATGGTTTAACCGTGATTTAATCGTTTTATACAGTTAAAACTTGTCTATCAATGCAAGCTCAAGTAGGAGATTTTTCTGATCGGACTGCCGATACAAACACTATTAAAAATATGAGTTGAGTTGTGCAAGTCTTTGCCCCTAACAAATGTGACCTACAAGGGTTTTCTACTACTCAACTATCAAAGCATACAACATAATGCGCATCATCCCTAAGCTTCTGGTTCAAGGAGATATCAAGGAGACTTGGCTTTCACTCGGATGGAATTGGACCTGAAATGCTCTTCAATTCCAGAGACCATGGTCAGCTCGTCCTTTTCTCTCTGAAGGCAGGATGTATCTCTCCATTTGAAGACGACCCTAACATATCGATCTTAGACATACAATCTCTCATCCTCTTTAGAGCGACGGGCATACTTGATGCATTCCGAGCTACTTTATCTTTCAGTAATACCACTTTCTCAGCGGTGTGTTGATCTTCTTCAGTTGGTAATGCCGATGTACTTGCATCTGTACGAATAACACAACATTAGATGGTCTGCATTAAGCTCATTCACATCGGGGAGAAGTTTCGAGTAACATACAAAGGTCCTGACCCGGTGAAGCTCTTACAAATAGAGAAATCACAGAAGAGGAGCAGTTCACAGCCTCCACTGGTTATCAATAAATTGCATTCGGATCATAAAAGTGAATCCAAGGTAACATCAGTGTTGCCTAATTCTAACAGTACACACGCAGTTATCATCTTTTTATTACTAATTTGCAGTAATCATGTTCATCAGGAAACAAAGGCGATGCACATGAATTCTGCTCAAGATTCTTTACAGATCCTTCTGAAATCAGCACACAGTTCAAACCTTCGTATTGGTAAGACAATGGCACTTGCCTCATGTTACCTTAACCGGAATGTTTCATTCTAATTAGACAAGGGTATGCTATCAAACTTGAAAGATCAAAACTTTGTGCAACCTATTTCCACACATCGGCACAACAATGGACTCATCAAAAACCAACTCGACCGATCACCCACCTTAACCGGAATGTTTCGTTCTAATTAGACAAGGGTATGCTATCAAACTGGAAAGATCAAAACTTTGCTCGACCTATTTCCACATATTAGCACAACAATGGACTCGTCAGAAACCAACTCAACCGATCACCCAGTACCTGGACGAAACAAGTATATGCGTAAGAGACTTCAGACCATATGCTTCAGCAGCCATTCAGTACATCATTTTTCTACCTAACAAAACTCTAGCTAGAAACTCAGAAGTAGAGATTTGCAACGGAAATTCAGATGGACCGGATTCTGTTGTTCCTCACAATTTCCCCCTAAATCAAATTAAACCTCAAAGTCAAACCTGGTGCATTAATCACACATCGAGAGATTCAAGCAGAAAGCATATCCACTGCCAATCAAAGCAGAAATGCAACCTAGATTGGGCGTTCAGCTCCCTCCAAGCGGAAAATTCCAGAAACCCTAACCTGGGGCGGGCTTGCCGGAAGGACCAGGATGGGAAGACGAGGATGAATCAAATCCACGCACAAGAGGTCTCTGGGAGGACAGAAGGGAAGCTAGAGCCGTCTTGAGCTGATCGGGGAGAGTAGCTCTGTACTGTCGAATCTTGTTAGCCATCTGCTGAACTTCTTCCGCCAACGCATCCAACTCTTGTTCCTCAATCGGTAACTCTTCGCCTTCGGGTTCGGATCCTTCCGATGCCCGACGAGCACCCACGCCGGACCCTAAGGCTCGCTCCGGCGGTTGGTTCGGTACCATTTTGCTAGGATGACACTCTTCCGCACTGGAAGTAGCTACAAATGGCCGCTGGGAGCTGTCACGACCTTACTCTCGATCGTGCGGCCCTAGCTCTCAAATCCGTTAGAGCGCTAGGCAGCCTTTCTCTCAACTCACTTGAAAGCAAAGAACAAGAACAAGACAGAGGAAGTGGGAGAACTCTCTAGTGTGTATTACTCTCAAAAATGATGGAATGAGTTACAAGTGAGAGAGATGGCTCCTTATATAGGCCTCTCCTCATACAAGGCATCAATGCCCCTCATAATGTCCCTCTACTACATCAATACACCCATTAAGTCCCCCCATTATGCACTCTATAAATACTACCATAATGTAGCTAATAAGTGCACCATTAAGCTCTCTATTAAGGTGGAGAATCCTAGGAGCATCTCTATGCTACTAGTCTTCCATGCATGACACATGTGCAGCCTTGTTGTCACCTTGTTGGCGCCATGTCATCGGCCACATGTGACATCCTCCCCCACCTATTCTCGCGACGCCCTCGTCGCGTCCTCTTGATGAAATGCCTCGATCAAGTCCTTGTTCTTCCAAAGCGTGAGCTCTTTCTCCCAAGTTGCTTCACTTTCCGGAAGGTTGCGCCACTTGACCAAGTACTCCACAAAGCTTGGATGTACGCCACGACGAGGAATGACACGACGCGCCATGACTTCTTCAACTTCATGGTCGTGTGTCTTGGTGATGAGTGTTGGAGCGCGTTGCGACTCTCTTCGCTGCTCATCATCCTTGTCTTCGTGGAAAGGCTTGAGTTGGCTCACATGAAAGACCGGATGGATCTCCAAGTGCGTCGGCAACTCAACCTTGTATGCCACCGCGCCAATCCTCTTCACGATGGGGAATGGCACTTCATAGCGGCGAAGCAGTCCCTTGTGCACGTTCTTGAGATGCTTGAAGCGATGAGGGTAGAACTTGATCATCACCATGTCTCCCTCTTCGAATTCCAAGTGCCGCCTCTTCTTGTCCGCCCATTTCTTCATCTTCTTACTAGCGCGGGCTAAGTAAGACTTGGCCATCTCCATCTTCTCGTGCCAGCCTTTAGCGAACTTGTAGGCCGCCGGACTGTTGCCTCTATATCCCGTTGCCACCGTCGTAGGTGTCAAAGGTTGCTGCCCCGTCGCCAACTCAAATGGACTCGTGTTGGTCGACTCGCTGCGGTGCAAGTTGTAGGAGAATTGTGCCGTATCCATCAACTTCACCCAATCTCGTTGGTTTGCACTCACGTAGTGTCGCAAGTACACCTCCAACAAGGCATTCACCCGCTCCGTCTGTCCGTCGCTTTGAGGATGAAATGCCGTCGAGAAGTTCAAGTCTGAGCCCATGATCTTGAACAACTCTCGCCAAAATCTGCCCGTGAAGCGCCCATCTCTGTCGCTCACGATGTTGCTAGGAACGCCCCAATACTTGACCACGTTCTTAAAGAATAGTCGCGCCGCATCCTCTGCCGTCATGTCTTTTGGGCCGGGGACGAACACTCCATACTTCGAGAACCGGTCCACAACAACCATGATGCAACCGCATCCATCGACTTTGGGAAGTCCGATGATGAAGTCCATGCTTACACTCTCCCATGGTCGTTGAGGTGTGGGCAAGGGCTCTAGCAAGCCTGCCGGGCTTCTCTGCTCCATCTTGTCTTGTTGGCACACAAGACAAGTCTTCACATACATCTCCACGTCGTCTCTCATACGCGGCCAGAAGTATGCTTCTTCGATGAGCGCTTGCGTTCTCTCGATGCCGGGATGGCCCGCCCACTTGGAGTCATGGCACTCCTTCATGATCTCTTTCCTCAAGTTGGCCCACCTTGGCACGAACACTCGCTCTCCCTTGGTCATGATGAGCCCATCCTTCATCCAAAACCGTCGAGTCTTGCCCTGCTCGATGTACTCCGCTACGGTTTTGGCGAAGGGGTCATGGCCAAGGCCTTCAACGATGCGCTCCTTCAAAGGAAACATGGGCTGGCTGATGCTTGCGGCTGCACTCTTGCGGCTAAGAGCATCGGCAACGGAATTCGCCTTGCCTGGGTTGTACTCCATGACGAAGTCGAACTCGGCCAAAAAGTCTTGCCACCTTGCTTGCTTGGGGGTGAGCTTCTTCTGCGTCAGAAAGTAGCTCGTTGCCACGTTGTCCGTCTTCACTACGAACTTTGACCCCAACAAGTAGTGCCTCCATGTGCGCAAGCAATGCACCACGGCCGCCATCTCCTTCTCTTGAACGGTGTATCGCCTCTCCGTCTCGCTAAGCTTCCGACTCTCGAAGGCAATGGGATGCCCATCTTGCATCAACACTCCTCCTATCGCGAAGTCGGACGCATCGGTCTGCACTTCGTAGGCCAACGTCGGGTTGGGGAGCACGAGCACGGGCTCCTTTACCACTGCTTGCTTCAAGGCCTCGAATGCTTCTTGGCACCTTTCCGACCAATCCCACGCCTTGTTCTTCTTCAAGAGATCCGTCAAGGGTGCTGCAATGTTGGAGTAGCCCTTGATAAACCTCCGATAGTAGTTGGCAAGGCCGAGGAATGACCGCAACTCTGGCACCTTCGTCGGCGGCTCCCATTCTTGGATTGCCTGCACCTTCGCTCCATCCATCTTCAACTTGCCTCCACCAATGATGTGCCCCAAGAATGGAACCTCCGTGGCGGCAAATGTGCACTTCTCCCTCTTGACATACAACTCGTTGTCGCGAAGGACTTGGAAGACTTGGCGTAGGTGCTCGGCATGCTCGTCGAGTGTTTTGCTATACACGACGATGTCATCCAAGTAAACCACGACAAACCGGTCCAAGAATGGCTCGAACACTTGATTCATCAAAGTGCAAAACGTGGCTGGTGCGTTGGTGAGACCGAATGGCATCACAAGAAACTCGTAAGAGCCATACCTCGTCACACAAGCTGTCTTTGGCTCGTCGCCCTCTGCTATCCGCACTTGATAGTAGCCCGAGCGAAGATCAAGCTTGGTGAACCACATCGCATCTCCAAGCTGGTCGAACAGATCGCCAATGTTGGGAATCGGCCACTTGTTCTTCACCGTCAACTTGTTGATGGCTCGATAGTCGATGCACATGCGCAACGACCCTTCCTTCTTCTTTTGGAACAGCACCGGTGCTCCAAAAGGTGACTTTGATGGCCGCATGTAGCCTGCGTCCACCAAGTCCTTGAGCTGCCTCCGCAACTCTTCTAGCTCCGGTGGCGACATGCGGTATGGTGTTCGCGAAGGGGGCTTCGCTCCTGGCTCCAACTCGATCTTGTGGTCCACCTCTCTTCTTGGTGGCAGCTTCTTGGGCAACTCCGATGGCATCACGTCATCGAACTCTTCGAGGACGCCTTCGATGATGGGAGTTGTGATTCCCGTTGAGCCTCCTTCTTCCTCCATTTTCAAGGACACAAGAAAGGTTGGTTCATTCTTCTTGAACCCCTTCAACACTTGCATGGCCGATAGAGCACTATGGGGGCCATCTTCTCGCAAGAGATGGATCGTGTGAAACTCCCCCTCCTTCTCCAAGCACATCGTGTTGGAGTTGGGCTTCAAGAGCACTCCCTCCTTGTCGAGGAAGTTGATGCCGAGGATGACTGGGTGATCGTCCATGGTGACGACGGAAAAGTCGATGAGACCTTCCCACTCGCCGAGCCTCATTGGCACGTTGTGAGCAACTCCATGGATTGGGATGGACTCCGAGTTGATCGTCTTGAGCCTCCCTTGCCCCTTCTCGTAAGCAATACCCAGCCGGTTTGCCTCCTCGATGCGAAGGAAGTTGTCCGTGGCACCGGTATCCACCAAGGCTTTTGACTCGCCTTGCATGAATTGCGCCAGAACATAGCACCTCCCACGCTTGCTCTCCTTGACGTCGGTCTTTGCCGCGCCAAGCTTGCGGATTGAGCCAATCTTGGCCTCCGCCGCCTTGGGCTCCTCTTCTTGAGCTTCCATGGCCGCCAATCTCGCCTTCCTTGGGCAATCCCGCACTCGATGTGGTCCGTCGCAAAGGAAGCAAGACATGGGTTTTGGCTCGTACTTACCCCCTTTGCTCGAACCACCTTGGTGTTGAGTGCGGGTGCCCTCCTTGAAAGGCTTCTGCTGTTCTCCACCCTTGTTGGGCTTCGAACTCTTCTCTTTGCCGCTGCTCTCTTGCCTTTTGTACTCAACAAAAGACTCCGCCGTGGCCATGGCAGTTGCAAGGTCTTGCACTCCTCGACGTTGCATCTCCATCTTGGCCCATGGTTGCAGCCCATCAAGAAAGCCGTGCATGGCCTCCTTGTCCGTGATGTCCGGGATCTCTAGAAGCAGCTCCGAGAATTCTTTCACGTATTCTCGAACTCCACCCCTCTGGGTGAGTCTTCTCAACTTCGAACGGGCTTCAAACTCCACGTTCTCCGGGTAGAACTGCCTCTTGATTTCTCTCTTGAAATCTTCCCACGTTACCATCACACAAGTACCTCTTTCGACGTCCGCTTCACGTCGCCTCCACCACACCATTGCAACATCGACCAAGTATAGTGGAGCGGTACGAAGTTTTACCTCATCCTCTTGGATGCCGGATGCCTTGAAGTATTGCTCAAGACTCCAGAGGAAGTTCTCTAACTCCCTCGCGTTCCTTGAACCTCCGAAGTTCTTTGGTCTTGGAACATCAGCACGTGGGACGGATTGCACCGGGGCTGGTCCGTTAGCCATGGCTCTCTTCACGAGAGTGACCTCACTCTTGAGGTCTGCAATCTCCTCCTTCACGCCGACCAGCTCAGCCTGGACTTGCTCTTTCACAACTTCAAGGGCGTTGTTCATGGAGGCGGTGATGGTGTTGTTGATGAGGGCCACAAGCTCTTCCCGCATCCCATCGTGGTTGATCTCCAAGCTTGTCAACCGACCCGCCATTCCTTGAACATCGCCTTGGACTTGGGCGAAGTTACCTCCCAAATCCTCGATGGCGGTGATGTCTTCCGCCAACTTCACTTCCACTCGAGAGACTCGCCTCTCCAGTGCTGCCATAGGATCACGAGTGCTTGACTTGTCACCCTTTGGCTTGGGATGCTTGGTTTGATCCCTTCCGCGCCTCTCCTGCTCGGCGGTAACGCCGCTGTCTGATCCCGACATTTTTGGTGAGGTTCTTCCTTTCCTTCTGGCTCAGGTTCAACTTTGCTAGCACAAAGCCGAACCAGGCTCTGATACCACTTGTCACGACCTTACTCTCGATCGTGCGGCCCTAGCTCTCAAATCCGTTAGAGCGCTAGGCAGCCTTTCTCTCAACTCACTTGAAAGCAAAGAACAAGAACAAGACAGAGGAAGTGGGAGAACTCTCTAGTGTGTATTACTCTAAAAAATGATGGAATGAGTTACAAGTGAGGGAGATGGCTCCTTATATAGGCCTCTCCTCATACAAGGCATCAATGCCCCTCATAATGTCCCTCTACTACATCAATACACCCATTAAGTCCCCCCATTATGCACTCTATAAATACTACCATAATGTAGCTAATAAGTGCACCATTAAGCTCTCTATTAAGGTGGAGAATCCTAGGAGCATCTCTATGCTACTAGTCTTCCATGCATGACACATGTGCAGCCTTGTTGTCACCTTGTTGGCGCCATGTCATCGGCCACATGTGACAGAGCGAGCGAGGTAGTCTACGTGGTACTGAAGATACATGAAGGACATGGAGATTTAGAGGAAAGAACAAATAATAAAGTTGCACGAATAGCTCATATAAAATGTAAATAGACTTAAAAGTAATGAACAGATAGATCAGTTTTTTTTTTTTTTTTGCTGTAAAAAAAACAATTATCTAGGTAAATTTTGACCAACAAAAAAAAATTACCAATAAGAATACGGTTTTTAGAGGTTTTTATCATTTTAGAAACATGAAATATTTAGAATTTATAATTTTAAAATATGTCCAAATGGATTGTCGTTTCAAAATCGATACTCTCGATAGAGATAATTTATAATAAAAATGTTTGTGACAGTACTTTAATTCTCATATATGATCAAGATAATTATCAGTTATAAAAATTAATTAATTCTCTTGCGATGAAAGATCACACAAAATATAAATTATTGAGTTCTCACTTAAAAGATTATAAATTTCCGGCCAACGGGCCGAGTCGTAATATAGTGATATCTAGTGGAGTATGGATGGCGATTTCGCCTAACCTGATTTGTTTTAGACGTATCACGAGTAATATCATTTTCGTAGGTGAGGCGGGTGATCACGACAATCATTTATTTCACATATTCTTATTCATCCTATTCGCGAGTCATTTTGTCTGAATTATATATGAAATTAAAATTTTATGTTTATTACACTACACTTTGTTGTGATAAAATTACATATGTTTTGCTCTAATAAAATTATAAGTAGATGATAGCCTCAACTCGTATAATTTAACTCTATTTATCATATGATAGTTTTTTTCTCGATTTTTAATGAAAATTAATGTGTCAAATGTTGTTTCTTTAAAATACATACTCCTATTGGTCGACTTGTCGGATTCGTGCCCCAAGGTAAAGTGTTGAACTTGTCACGCAACTGGAATGGGTAAGAAAATACCCGTCTCAATCTGTCTAATTGATTTGTCTAAATAGGAATAGCAATTTGAACCTGCCTTGTCGAGTGTTACCCGACGTGGCTCGCATTGGAACAGGTATTACCCGACCTACAACAGCGTTGGGACTTGGCCACTTGGGCGGGACATCGTCACATTGGTTACTACTTCATCAAAAACCCTAGTTATTTATTGACTAATTCGTACCCAAGTCACTCATTATTAAAATTCTGCATCCATACAACCGCTAGCTTCATTTTGGAAATCTGGCACAATAAAAGCCAAGTGTGTCGACCAAACAAATACCAAGGAACATCGAATTCTCATGAGCAATTGACCATATGGGTTTGGACCATAACTTTTGGTAACCCAAGACCTGTAACCTGAGTACCTGACAGACGAAACCAAAGGTAACCTTCTCTGGAAGAAATATAGATATGAGCCTATAAATTTGGACCACACTTCAGCATAAACGTGAATCAAATTGAAGCAATGTCAGTGGTGAAATGTTAACAGAGCAAAACACACATACAGTAACAGTTCAACCAATGGACCTGATTGGAGAAATGACTTCATAAAAACTTTACGTGATACCAGAATATACAATACATCCATCCAACTCTGAGCTAAGAAAGAACTGAACAAACTCAGCTGAACTATATAGCCAACCCTATAGTTCCCCTTGTGCTAGTTCCATTTTTCTCTCCCTTTATTCATTTCTCTCTTTTCTGCTGATACTTTCTAATAAATTACACACAGAGAAAGTTAATCCGTCACTCGTGGCCATTTCGAGGAAGGGATCCAAGTTGTCTGCCATCGACTACTACCCTGACGAGTCTTTCTTCGATCCAACAAAGAACTCTTTCACTGAATTCTCTGCAGATCGTATTGCCTTCTTAACCTGCATATTGCAAAAGGAGATAACAAGTTTAGTCAAGAGAGCCGCCCAGCAAATGAAACTGGAACAAGGGAAACGACGAGAATGGTCAGGAACAGCAAGCGAAAGTTGAACGGATAGATAGGACCGGGACTAATTGCTCCATGTACTGCAGCATGTACAATGGGAAAAACTGTGTGAGAGGGTGGGTAAACCATGGGGAAAAAACATTCTCAATGGAAACGTCACACTGGCAAAACTCTGCTCATTCGATGATCACTGAAAGATGCAAGTAAAGGAAGAAACTAGGATTCTTGCAACAAGAATATGGAAATTCGGACACTCAAAGAGTACAACATTATTTACTGTGAAGTAGAATGGACGACTGAGGTTTACAACTCAATAGAAACACCAAGGACGGCGCCACCAGTACCAAAGTTTAATGAAGACAAACTGGAGGCTTTCCGACTACCCAGCAAAGAGAGACAACCCTAGTCCCATTTGGGGATCTTAAAGCTGGGGGAAAGATTAACCATTACGTGCTACGGACGGGGCATCAAGTAAGTCAGGCTTGTTGTTTTCCTAGTTCAGTATTCCACACAGACATATCGTCGAACACATGGAAGCCAGAAGCAATCATGGTAAATTTCGGCAATCACTTGGATGGAGAACACTTAATTCTGATAAATCGATGAAAGACGCAACTAAAGGATGAAACTTGGATAGAGGGTGCTCCTCATAATTCACTTACCGGATCAAGAACATTGGGCTCGGGGCCGTAGTCAGCAGTTAAGAGGAAATAAGAAGCGACGACGGTGGCCACCATTGTTGTCCTCCTCACTATCTTATCCACTCCAGGATTCATTTCTAACCCCCTAATTACTTTACCGCTCACGAAAGAAAGAACACCACTTCCCGCGATTTATCCTTCAGCGGCCGATCCGATTTAGGGTTCGGAACTGATTTGAGGAACTGATACTGATGCAACCGCAAGACAAGTTAATAGAACACATGAGAAGCTTACATTTTCGAATTTTTAAAATTTTCCGTTTTTCAGTTGGAGAACCCAGACTGGACTGGGCTCGTGCTCGTGCTCGATAATCTAGTATGGGCTTTTATCTCTTTCTGGTTTTCTTACTTGGACAATCCATTCATTAGCCCGATCCGATTCAAGGCAAGGGTTCTCGTTCTGGTTTACCTTAGAATACCATTGTGGTTAGAATCGAATCGGAGTATAAATCGATACAGCAAACAGTTTATATTTTATTTGTCTAACCGATGTTAAACCGATAAAAGTACGTTAATGAACTGATGATCCATAAACAAAATTATTATAAGTAGACACATATAATAACTCATCTGATACGAACACGGATCCGACACTTGTAGTTATCAAAGTAACGCAGCTTCAAGATCAAGAATTTTTAGGATTTTTATTTGGGATAAAATAGAATTGAAAGTATAATCACAAAGATGGGAGAAGGCTCTATAAAGGATAAGAATCTCTACCACAATCAAGGGGAAATTTTGATTGATACAGAAAACAATTCACAAGTCTAAAGCTCAATAAACTAAGATAAAAATCAATATTCTTCAAAACTAACTAAAATGTGTGTCTTTAGCCCTTATATAGTCTAGTCCAAGGCAAATAAAATAACCAAAACAAACAAGGAAAATGTATCTTTCATCCGCCCAGGACCGATCCCAGGTCGGACGTCATATTCGCCGGTCGGCACTCTCCCTCCCTCTAAGCGGGGATTCCCCTTCTCGCTATCCCGTTGTCTCTCTCTTGCTCGGTCAGCCGGAATTGCATCAGTTCCTTCCTGTTGAATAAGATGAGTTCTACTCTCGTCCTCCGACTTTGAGCCACTTGTATTTTCTTTCTCCTTCACCAAGTCGTTGATCTTCGCGAACTTTAGCGGGCGACAACTGTTTCAGCAGGAGCTTTTGTTTGCATTGTTGGAACCGATAGCTATTTTTCCTTCCGTCGTGAGTAACTCCAATATCATATTGCCACAGACGGCCCAATAATAGATGAGTTGTATTGGAGCAACATCACACCAGACTTCATTTGCATACTCACCAATATGAAATCGAGCCTTGGCCATCTTGTTAACCTTGATGGCTCCATAATCTTTCAACCAATGAAGGTTGTAAGGCTGTGGATGCTTAACAGTACTCAATCTCAGCTTCTTAACTACATCAAAACTCACTATATTGGTGGAGCTACCACCATCGAGCATCATAGACAACAACTTTCCGTCCATCATGCAACCTATAAATAAAATGACGTTGTTTTAGTAAATTTAATTAATAAAAAATTATTAATTTCATTAATTTAAAAGTTGAATATTGATATTATTTTACTAGATTTCATATTAAATTTTCGGTGTTAACACTAAATATTTTACTTAAATATTAATATATATGGTAAGTAAATACTTTTCAAATATATTTTGTATATGCTTACAATTATTTATTGTTAATAATTTTTTATATATTATACGTTTTATGAAATCGAGACTAGCCGGTACAAATAAATTATACCACTAATTGAATCATAACACTTGCTAAACCTTCAACTCAAAAAAAAAAAACACTTGCTAAACCTTTACTGTAATATAAATCGGTTTGACAATCTTCAAAATTAGAGAAGATAACGTAAAAGGACAAAAGAGTAACTTTGATGTTCTTAGACGATATATAACAATTTTCAGAGCAGTTAAAGCAACACCCTCTCCTTTTCCACCTCGACTAGTCCACCGGAACTCGCTCCGATCTCGCTCGCGTGGCCGAAAAGCAAAGAGAGAGAGAGAGAGAGAGAGAGAGAGAGGACAATCAATCACCGTTTGAAAATCTAAATCCATGGAAGGAACATCAGCAGATCAGGAAACCGCACCCCGAATCCCGAATTTCGGTGTCACCGCCCCAACTCCAATCCCATTTGACGCCGCCGTTCCTCCTCCTCCTCCGCCGCAGTCAATGACCGCTCCACCGCCGCCTATTCTTCCTCACCGTCATCAACAAACTCCACCTCAAACAGCAGGCCCGCCGCCGCCGACGACTTTCAGCAGGAAAAGGGGACCTGAGAGTGATGGCGGAAGCTACTTCAAGATTCGGGCCGTGATCAAAGATATTCGTCCCCATTTACTCGAGGTACAGTTCTTGGTGGTCCACTAACTGTGCGGGACAAAAATTCCGTCTTTCTTGATGATTAGTTTCTGGGTTTGTTGAAATGGTGGGAAACTAGAACCCCACCATTGGCAATTAGGGTTGAATTGGGTTGACTTGGGTTAGTTGAAAGCAGTAGGAATTCGTGTTGAGAGAAGAGAGAGATATCAGTACTGAATTTTCTGCTATGTTGTCTTGAAGGTTATTCGAACGGCTGATTTTCGGAGCTGCAAAGGAGCTCATCAGATTCAAGAAAGTAAGGATGGCAGCAGTTCCCCATTTCTTGAATTCGTGAACTCAATTGATAGTTAGTCTGGTAGTAGCGTTTCTCCCTGGTTGGGCTGATTTGTGGGTTGCTGCAGAGCTGAAGCTGCTGATGGAATTATGCAAGCAGATGACAGCAGAGACCGGAGGGAACTATGGCAAGTCTAGATTTGCAGCTCAAAATGGGGGCGCCCAAGACATCTTTGCAAAACCATCTGACGACAGAATCTTCAACAAGGTTGTAGTCACCGAAAGGCCCGAGAACTACCAGAATCAACTTGTTGGGTCCTCGGCTTTCGGCTGGAACTTCATTACTTACCCTGGTTGCAGCGAACCGGTCTACTACGGAAGAACGAAAGAATCATTTCGAGCTGCTCGGTTAGCAGCAGCTGCTGCTGCACCATGATCCGATCCAACTCATGTGCAGTGTATACTCGCGCGATGGACAGATGGAGTGTTTGCTAACGGATCCGAATGACCCATTGTTGTTCTTTTGTATGGTTGAAAATGGCTCCTTAGAGATCTCTTGGCACATTGTAAAATTTTGTGATTCGTCTGTAGTGTATTGTTGTAGTTAGCTTTACATGACTAACTTGGAATCTCAGAGGGTTTGAAATCTTTCAATAGTCAAATCCCTTTTACTATTCTTGTGTGTGGGCTACGGAATTACAACCTTCTCATACAAACCTGCAGCTCTTTAATTTCGTGTTTGTTGCTGTTTCCATTTCCCACTTTCTTACCAAAAAATAAGATAAACAAATAACATATTTCTCTCTGAAATTCAATACAAAGAACACACAATGGACCAGATAAAACAGCAGGAAAGAACAAGGCAGCTCGAACAAATAACTTCAGTGGAACCTGCAGTACGGGCCTTCCATATTTTCAGACTTGCCTTGAGAAGAAAGCAAGAGTTGAGAAGATACATTAGATCACACAAACCACACCATGAGCTTTCATCACTTCTGTTCAGAATTTTGAACTCTTAAAGCTTCAAGACTTGTGCCCTCTTTCAGTGCCATCTGAGCTTCATTTTCTCTTCCAAGCGCATCAAGTGCGATGCCTTGAAGATAGGAGGCAACATGCCATACAGGAGAAATGATTTGGGCTTGTATGGCATCGCCTAGAGCTTCTTGAGGCCTGTCGGTCATGAGATAACACAGGCTACGCCTTGCATACAAAGTTGGAGAAACCATGGTTCCAGCATCAACAAACTGCAAGTCCTCAAGCAGAAGAAGTATTGTTCAAAAGCTAAGTTTCAGTTACATTTCAGAGTCAAAGAAACAAATATCATGGTGGAGGAGACAAAAACCTGTGTATAACAGTCGATTGCTTCCTTGAAAACTTTCTGCTTAAAAGCTGCATCGCCCTTCTTCTTTGTGTTTAAAGTTTCTTGCATTTCATCAGTCCAAAGATGGAAAGAGAGCTGCACCACAACCAAAAGGAAGGAAAAGAGACAGGGGGCTTCTATTTAAGCTGGCTGCTTTCATGTTGAGTGTAATGATGCGGCAGAATGTAAGCCAAGCTAAGTTTAAAGAAAATAGAGAACCTCGTTAGTCACTCCTTCGTCATCTTTGTAGCCAAGCTTATCGAAGATCTCATGAACAGCTGTCAGGTCTTTTCTAGAGCAAGCATCACCAAATGAGGATAACGGAGACACTGATTCACTGCTTGGCATACCCATCAAGACATGAGAAGGAACCTGCAACCAAGAACAAAAACAGACGTTTGAGAACTGCAGCAACCAAAAAATTGCAAGCTTTTCTCAGCCACGTTCCAGGCAAAACCTTAGTCTTGACTTTGTTTCTCTGTAGATTGTTTCCATATTGCAGCTGGATTTCGATCCGGGAACCTATCAAAAGTTCTGCTTTGAAATCCACCAAAATACTTTGAGAGAATCATGACTCACATCTGTTTCCTTCTGGAGACGAATCAAAGCAGGGACTAATACTTTGAGGCTGGGTCGTTCTCGGAGTTCAGATTGTAGACATCGAGAAGCCAAACGCACCAACTCTGTGCCATCGTCGTTGGAGAATTGCCCTTCCAAGCAAGAATCAGTTAACATTTGAAGATTCCTGTCGCGTATTAAGTCCAGAGCCTGAAGCATATTAATTGACCATTAGTTCATAGACAAGCTTGCAATGCAAGTTGTTTTTCGTACTCCTAGTATTTTTCTTATTACTCGAAAAGAAATATCAAGCACGAGATACATAACTGTGCAATTTGGATAATGAAAATCCAAATGTCGGTCCACAAAGAACAATATGTACTTCAGCCTAACATTTTAGTTTCCAAAGGCTTACATGGCTTGGGGGAATATGCTTTCCGCTGAGAAGGTCAAGCAAAAGAGTGCCAAAGCTATATATGACACTCTCTGGCATAATCCTCCCTGCGTATGACAACGAGAAACATCAAACAGTGTTTTGCCAGATTTGTTCTTACAGAACAGTAGTGGTTTGCATAATATCTATTTGACGACCAGAAAGTGATGCAGTACCCATTTAATGGCGATTTTTGAACCATGCAGAAATATGACTTAAGGGACATTTCCTCTCTATAAGTAGATTAGAAACAATGCCGACAGCCACATTTAGCACAATTGGTATCCTATCATGTGCTGTACACCCATCAATGCAAGTCAGCCAAAACCAGCCTCCTCATTTGAAATGAGGGAAATTAACTCCTTATGTAACGCCTTAAATGAAGACAAAGACAAAACTATTCCATTTCAACAAAGAGGGGAGAATAGCTCCAACGATTCACACACACCAGTCTAAACATTCGGTTTTGGGCAAACATCCAAAGTACCCAATGGAGACCAGACGAGAAAGCCGTCAACTTTGACATTAAACAAAGTGGGGTCTGCTGCATTTGAATAAGAAATGTAAACCCTAGCAGATCTACAAAGAATGGGAGAATGAAATTGGAACATTTATTGTTCAAGAACCACCTACCTGTTCTCAGATATTCAGGGGGTGTAAATGCCAGGTTAGTACTGTAACTTTTGCCATCCCGGCTGTTCTTCATCAAACCAAAGGTTGATAGCCTTGGATTAGCATCCTGTATAACCCCAAAAGTGGTTAAAATTCTGGATACACCATGAGGAAATGGCTTCACGTCACACACACATGCAGCAAAAGAAAACGTAAACAGGAAATACCCCATCAAACAAAATTCTGTAGGCGTTAAGATCGTGATAAAGCGTACGCCCTTTGCTTGTGCAATACTCTAGAGCTTCTGCAAGGTGGAGAACAACCCTCAACCGCATTGCCCACTTCATAGGCTGTGCTTCCCCTGGTTCAGAACATCCATCAACCTTGTCAACATACTCAAATGCATCACACAAGGAAGTAAGTTAGGTTGTAGCAAAGAAGAATCCCTCACAATGGAAAAGATGCTTTGCTAGTGTATCGTTTGGCATGAATTCTGCAACGAGTATCCTTTCATCACCTTCACAACAGTAACCAACCAAATTCGCCAGTCTATGGCTGCGGAGCTGCCCAACAGATCTTGCCTCTTCCTGTTATCATTATCAAAACATGGAAAAGCGAAATTTGATGGAAGAAAGAAGGGTATATCCGGATGGATTCCGGCCAAGCTAGCAACCCATGAAAGTTTTGGGAAAAAGAGCAAATCTATCCTACCCCCGATATACCAAGAAGTTTGTGATCTGAGAATAAAGAAAGTGGGAGCGAAAAAGCAAGTCAATTGTTACCACAAATTGGCGAGCATCAGCCCAGGCCATCCTGTTGAAGCGCTTGATAGCAATTTTGGTCTGGTTTTCAAGCTTCCCTTTGTAGACAACGTTTGGAGCCTTCTCTCCATGCTCAGATACGATGTTTTCTCCCGCGAAGCCGGAGGAGGCGTTCTTGAGTTGCTCGAATGTGAACTCCCTAAAAGCAGGCCAGTAATCAGCTCCATTCTCCTCTACATTCCCTGCCTCCCCCAGAAATCCCAAACAAGCACATACACACAGACATCCAAACACACAAGTTGGAAACGGGAAACAAATCAAACAACAAGAGGCAGCCAAAACACAGAATACGATGGAAAATTGAATTGGGTTATGAGTAAAACAGCGCACCAGCATCAGCAACTTCAAGAACCGCTGCTTTGGACTGTGACTCACTGCAACACGGCGGGAGAAGCGTGGAACACTGGCTGCCCATCTCAGTAGCAAAAGTAAAGGAGGATCGAGAAATTGGGCAACTCTCTTTTTCTCGCTCTCCTGCTTTCTTCTCTCTGTCAATCGTTACAGTACACTGACTGAAAGCTTCTTGTGAAGCTAAAAAGAGCAGCAAAAGTTGCTGGAGGGATCCCAGATCAAAAGGGTATATGTGTATACAAAGAGGGAGGAGCCTTTTTTTCCCCTTTTCCAGTGGATCAAATCATCAGTAGTGTGGCCATGGAAGGGAGATGCACGTTCTGTTCTGTTCTGTCGCTCTACCTCCCCTTCCCTTTCGCCGCGCAATAAACTAATGGAACCCAGACAAACTGGGGGAAAAAGAAGATGGACGAAAACAAAATAGAGCGGAACGTGGAGCAGGGCATCAATTGGATATTTGATTATAGATAGATAGATAGATATAATAAAAAGATGGAAGGAAGACGATCGGAGCTAGCCGTTAAGATCTCTATGTCTGTGGGAAATGAGAAGTCAAGCAAAGAAGAAGAAAAAAAAAAGAGATTGCAGAATAAGACTCAAGAATGTCAATTTTTCTCTTTTGGCAGGAAGACTTTCTGTAGAAGAAGTTGCAACAGAGGAACATGTAGTTATGGAAATGCACTGTGACTGGTTGCAAGCTTTGAAGGGTGGTGCGCCGCTGGAAGGTTTGGCGCGACGCGGGTTGGGATGGAATAGAAACTTGGCTTCGTTCATGGAACCATTAGGAGAGAAAAGAAAGGGAGGGAGTTTGAGTTGACAGCAAGAAAGCGGGGCCAATATTGCAAAAGCCACAAATTTCGTAAAGATTATTGATATGTACAGGCTGATAGGTATATGTTAGAAACACGATTTTTCTATATTATTATTATAATCTTTATTAGGATAATTCTTATTAGGGTTAGTAGTCTTCTAGTAGAATTAGGTTTATTTTTAGGGTTTTCTAGTATTTACTTAGGGGTCGTTTGGATGGAACATTTATAAAACGAGTCAATTTGGGACAAATGCTTCATTTTAGAAAATGATGCAATTATATGAGAAATTTGTCCCAAATTGCCTTGTTTGGCTTGTAATATGAGATGGGGATATTAGGATGAGACAATTGCAGAAAATACACTTTTGCCCTTGGAAAATCCATACAGTAAAGATCAACCACTTCTTGAGTTCTTTCCAGAAACCAATCAAACAACAGGATTTCCCGTGAATCAATCAACCAAAATCCCCTTAAAGCATTTATCCATAATTAGCGATGATTGTCGATTGACCAGAAGTGAACAAAAGAACGGGAGACGAAGAAGAGATTGAGACGGGCAACACAGAGGGGCGGGCAGGAAGGGAGTCTTGAACGACGAAGGGAGAGCATCAACTAAATGAAATCGAGCGCCGAACTAGATGAGTCAACCATCGTCACTCCGGGATCTGGTTCTTTGAGCGGATCTCTCCTCCCGACATCTGTTCCTTTTCTTTCTTCTTGGACGAATCGAGAACCCAGTCTCCCATGCATCGCCTCTCTCTCGATCCGACGAAACCCACAATGAATCAATGATGGCGACCGAGGTAGATGAAATCGACCATCAACGCTTCCCTCGCCAACCGTCGTGCTCAAATTGGTGTTTCCCCCGATGCGGACGGAGGCTGCCATCGGGTGCGAGAAGATGAACAAAGAAAATTGAGGTTCAAGGTCGGTTGAGACCTAGGAGGAGAGAGGGAAGAAATATAGCTCGTCAGCCGTCACCTGCTGCATTTGTTATCATCGAGGAACTCGACGAAGAATAGGATTCTCAGGCTTGAAGTCTGCCGGTGGATCGTCCTTCGACAGGAGAGAAAGAGAGGAAAGAGAGGAGAGAAGATGTATCGACAGCGAGAGAGGAAAAGGAAAAAATAAAAAAGGACACAATTGGAATAAAAGAGGAAAACCGAGTCTTTTCTCTTTACCTGCCCCCTATCCAGGTATTTGAGATTCACCCCTAACGGATCAATTCCAATTGACCTGTCCCAAATTGCTCCATTCTGCTTTTTTATTGCCAAACAAGACAATTTGTTTCAATTGTCTCATTTTGAGGCAATTCTGTTCAATTGATCCATTGCATAGATCCATCCAAACGACCCCTTATATATATATGTACTTTGAGTCATTCGTCAGATTAAGCAGAAGTTAATAAAAGAATTATCTTCCTAAATTCCTATCTCAATCCTCTCAATTCTTAACCTCAATCCCTCTAAAGGCTTAGGCCGATTCTCTTCTATTCTTCCCCAATTCTTCTCCCAAATCCCTAATTCTATCTTCTCAATACCTAAATTCCCAAATATCACCCAATCCAAATCCCGTTAGAAACTTTGTTTCTAACAGTATAATATGTTCTATTGTTTATCAAACATGTTTTTCTATTATGTTTTCATCAAATATGGTATTGTACTATAAAATATTATATATCAGCAAATGTGTCATTCTGTTAAAATCTTCGTGTGAAATTGTTAATTATGGTCAGATCACGATTTAAGAGACTTGATGAACGGTTGAAAGGTCCAAATCACCCCTCATTGTAATTGTATTCTTCGCTTTGTTATTCTCCGCATTAGTGCCTTTACAGGGAAACTCTTCGGCCCCCGCTTACCCCATCTCACCCTCCATCGAATTCCATTGTCGCCATCCCTCATTGTCGTCGTCGGATCGCTGACAGTAGATCCAACAACTCCCATTTTCAGCATCTACTTTTCCTTCCCCTTTCTCGTTCCCCCATATTCACGAGAAATTACAATTTCTCGCGAATCTGAGGGAACGCAAACCCTATGACAATGGTTTTGATGCGAAAACCTGGAAGTCTTAGATTTGTCTCATTACATCAAACTGCTTATAAAGCTAGAATTTTGTGGTTACATAGGACCAATTAAGCTTTACCGTTCAAGGGAAGAAGATATACTTGGACTAGAAGAAAGTACAGGATGAAAATAGAATAAGGAACGAATTAAAAACTTAAGATATGTTATGATAGTTTTCCAGAAACAACATCACTCCAACTTCCACGACTTGTTGTAGGCGCAACATTCACTTTCTCTTATAGTCAGGGGTTCGAATTGTGCTAGCAGAGATTCCATACACTGAGCTTGGAGAGAAGATGGGAGAAGGTCGTCGGAGGCAATGGCTTGGTAAATGTAGCTGCTAGCTGGTGGAAGTTGGAGACATGAAGTATCTAAATTGTCTGGGATTGAAGCTTCTCTCAAACGAAGTAATAGTCGAGCTCAATATGCTAGGTGCCCTTGTGGAAAGTTGGTTCTCGACAATGTAGATGGTTGATTGGTTGTCGTAATAAAAGACTGTTGGTTGTGGATGACTGATTTGGAGACCTTGAGTAGGTAAAAGAGCCATTGCATTTCACAAGTTGCGTAGGCTAATGCCCAATATTATGATTCACAACGGGAGATTGTTGTTCGCTTTTTGCTCTTCTAGAAAAATAGGGGAATCACCATTCACCAAAGTAAACACAGTAGTCAGTGATTGAGCGACGAGTGTCAACACAAGCAACCCAGTCTGAGTCATTGAAGGCTTTCAAATGTAAGGAGGAGATTGAAGAGAAGAATATGCCATTTGAAGGTGTTGTCTTCAGGTATCTCAAATCCGAAGTACAACCTTGTAGTGAGATATACTAGGATTATTCATGTACTGACTTACCTGTTGAGTAGCATAATTGATGTCATGCCTCATTGTAGTGCGGTAGACTAGGATATAAATTCTGCTTGCATCTTGATTTTTTTAAAATAAGAATACCGATACTACCAAGTAAATTAAAAATTATTATTGCAGTAACAACGCCCTACAACCCACAATTCTACTTAATTTTCCTTTAATTTTGGGTAACCAAATCGTTCCTTCTTTGTAGGGGTGTACATGGATCGGATGGTCCGGAATTAGCTATTTTAATCACACGAGCCTTGCACTACGGTTTTGAAAAACACTAAATCCAAACCCATCCAAAAAATTAGAACTCTACGTTTTGGTTATAATTGGGTTGGGCCGGTGGCCGATACTTTTAAGTTAAAACCCAACCCAACACAAAAAAGTAATTATTCTACACCATAAAAATATTATATAACTACTTAAAATTTCAAACGAATAAACCGAGTTGAAAAGTCATATGCCTAGATTTTCTCACAAACATGGGTCGAAATAAGCTAAAGAGGTTATAAATGAATGCATCCATAATATGTTATTCTTTTAAAATTTTACACAAGACAAAAATTATGTGAATCATATCGTATTTAAAATCTATATCTAAATTTTAAGTCAAAGATTCATTAGGTTAGGGAGACCACGAAAATATATGGCAAAATATCTTAATTTTCTCATAAATTTGCTTATATATGACATAAGTATGTTTTGGATACGAACACTCATGCATAGTCTGCCTTATTTGGTTTTGATGATAGTTTTTTTTTGCATTCAAAAAGTTGTATTCCTTTTTATACGAAAATATCACTTTTACATTTATTTTTATGGGTTATCACTAAAAACAAAATTGAATTCACTAGTTTGTAGTAATTCAGTGTATAACAGTAACACACACAAAATTGATGAACACCGCTTTTCAATGAAGTCAATTTCTACCCCTCTTTAAGCAATGGAGATAGCCACATGTATTCTACTTGAGGATACATACACTAATTGCATATGCTAGACCAGTGACGGGACTAAGGAGGCTATATCAATGATGAAATATTGAAGGGAGAGAGCGTGTTAAATTGAGCGGGTAGTAGATACATCCACGAAAAAAGTGGATGGAACTAAGCATAGATGTTCTTAGGGGAAAAAAAAATGAGAGAGGAATAAGATAAATAACTAGAGATATAATTGAAACAAAAAAGAATCAACAAATCCTCACTAAATCATCTCAACAATCTCAAAATTTACTTGAGATATTAATATCAGTCATTTTTAGTAATTCTTTCCATCACAATTAATGCATTGTTGAAGAAAAAAATCCAAAAAATAATGCTTTGTTAAATGCACACATCATAATACTCTCACTTATACTATCACCAAAACCAAACGACTCCTTAGCGATAAATTAGGGTGGATTGAGTCGGCTTGATCGAGTGAGTCGGTTTTCTGGTGTTTTTGTTCACCCCCAAAGCCCCAACTTCTTTATCTGCGATTGGGCCATGGTCCTCCCCGACTCCTCTGGATCCATCCCATGTGGGCTGCTTGAAGTTCAAATATTGGGAGTGGGCCCTTGTCAACAAATAAAATAGAAAAAACAAAACTGCGGTGGCCCGTTTGGTGAAATTTCATCGATTCGGCCGAGCGGAGAAGAATCAAATCAATAAACTCTCTCGTATCTATTCTAGGGTTAGGGATTTTCTGCGCCAAGAGCATAGATTAGAACCACAGCAGGGTATCGAGAAATGTCGAAGAAGAACAATTTGTCCAAGAGAAAGAAACAGTATGAGTTCGAGCTGCAGAGTGAGTTTCTCTCTTCTTCCTCTTTCTTTGTTGCCCAATCCTAATTCAATTTCCGCCGTTCCCTTTCGGTTATTAGTTGCTGTATGTAGTTTGCGGTTATTGATCTGGGTTAGAATCGTTATTTGTTTAGGAGAAAAGGAGGAGAGGGAGAAGCAGAAGAAGAAGCTCCAAGCAAAGAAGAACAAGATGAAAGTAAGCTCCGCTATTTTTTGCCCTTGTCGAAGGTTTTTGTTTTGTTTCGTTTCGTTTTGTATTTCGCTTGTTGGTTAGCTTTATGGGATATATTCTGAATTACAGTGTGGTAAAGCTAGTAATTGGGTGGTTTTCTTTCTGTTGCAGGTTGATGGTAGTGGGAAGACGAAGAAGAAGAAAGGTAGTAGCGGGTTTCAGGTTGGGAAGAAGAAGAAGAAGTTGAAGACCAAATTGACTGCAACTGCAAAAGCCAAAGCTGCTCAGGCCATGGAGCTTGACAAGTAGGAAGAGAAAGAAAAAAAAACGAACTTTATGTACTGTGAGGTTTGTTCTCTGTTCTGATTCTAACTAGTTATTTAGGAGAATGCTTCCCTTGCCTGTTCTGTGTGTGTGCCTTGTGGAAATGGACGTTTTGAGAGGTAGTTCGAAGTTCAATGAGGATGGTGCATTCTTCTTTTCGTTCTTTCTCTGCAAGTCGCGTTGTAGTTTGTTGTACGTTGTCGTGTGTTGTTTGGTTGAAACAAACTCCTTCCAAATCGAACTACGAGCATACTGGGTAATAGTATACAACGTCTGGAAAATTTATCTCTGCTTTCTTTTCTTGTTGGTTCATCTTGCCCTTTTTTTCAGGCTGAAGGCCAACAAGCTAAGGTTCATCATCATCTATGTTTGTTGCGGCTTGGTTTATATTCGGAATATCAGGTTGCAATTCCCAAACGAGCTAGCTACTGCGTAAGATTGTTAGTCAAAGTTCAGGATTTCCGTGTTTTCAAAACTTGCAATTCTTAGCTAGGTTCTGGTTTCTCAGTTGAGCTTGGTAGTGCTTCCCTTCTCCTTCATGACAGAACCCTAGAAACATTGCATTTTCCCTCGCAACAGTGCGATTGCGAGATTTAGCAAATCTCATTGCAGTTTTTCATCCAGATATGCAGCGATTGTAATCCAGGGTCTGAGATTGTTAGTCGTTCTTTTAGAATTTTGTTGATTTACTACTCCCAATTCCGAGGGGTTGGAAGTTGAGTTGTGCACGAGGTCGTTCTACTCTTTCTCCTTGCTGACAGTCGAGTCGACAGATAATAAGTCCTCCCCTGGATACAAGTTACCTGCATACATAGTTGATACTCCTAGACCATGGTGAGAGTGTGTCAGTGTGTTTAGGTTAAGAAACAAGTCCAACAAGGGAACTTGTTTGCCCTCATGGCTGGCTTGGCAAGACGAAGGTGCTTAAAAACTCGACTGCCATGCTTAAGAGCAAAAGAGCACTTGTAATTTCCCACGTCACAAACGTGAAACATTGGCTGGGAATGGATGAGTAAAATAACAACCTCGTGCGCTCTCACCGCAGGTGTTCAAGCAAGTGCCAAGTAATGCTCGAGAATTTGATTCAAACATTAGTGCCGTGTGTTGTGTTTCGTTATTGCTTTCGTATTCTTACTTTATCGTTACTCCTATTTCCTTATCCGCAGAGAAACGGTCGTGACACCGATGAAGTTAGATTGTTCTTTCCCGTCGTCGAAGGGGAGGAAGAGAGATTGAAGTCTTTGCATATGCGGATTATAATGGTTGTCTAGATACGAGGAGATCCACGTCAGGATGGTTGTCTGGATATGCGGATTATAATGATCGAATTTCCTCGAACTAAAACAACTTAATCAACACTTAAAATCGTTTCGAATAAAATTGATTTTGACCCTATCCTGATTTTTAGATCCAAATTATCCATTTTCTGGATTTCGATTTCATACTGTTCCCACGTAGGAATGTGGATGATGGAGGAGATGAAGCTGGTGGGGCAACGTGATGGCTACTTCAAGTCAATTGTTTTGCTATAACGGATAACAATTAAAGATATTTCGATAATCGATTTGTTGTACATGTCATTAAATTCTAAAATATTACGAAGTATATAATGTAATTAGAGGCAACAGCTAAAATTACCTAAAGTGCAGAAGGCGCGTCCACATATATTGTCATATTTATTATTTGTTTTTTCGGGATTATTATTACTATTCCCTTCCGATTGGATTTCGAAAAAAAAAAATAATATAAAGAAGAAATAAAAAGATTTGAAAAGAAATCTACCTCAGCGAATATAAACAATAAAAAAAGTAAGTAGGAACGGACAAAAAAGAGAAAATAATCGTCACAGTATGAAACTGAAACTGGAAAACAGAGGGGAAAAGGGAATAAAATAAAAAGAAAAATAGAAACGGAAGAGGCAGATAAAGAGAAAAAGAGGAAAACAGTGAAAATTTTGGATTTTAATTTATATAGAAATACATGCGTTGCGATAAGGACCAGTGTCAATGAGCAATTTACTTCACACCTAAGACCTTCTTCTCTCTCTGTCTATCCATCTCTTGGTCTTTGGATGACACCCGCTCGTCTTCTTCTTCCTTCTCTCTTGCCTTTTTCTTTTTCTTCATCTTCTTCTTCCTGTACGTTCACTTCTTCTCCTGCTGCTGCTTCCCACTGTCTCTTCGCCTTAATTGCGAGCGCCATTTGAGGGAGTGAGAGAGACAAATAAAAAAAAGAGCAGAGCTGTTTTACTGCAGGAAAGTGTTTGCCTTTTGAACTTCTCTCTCTCCTCACTCTGGTCTTCTCTTTGGCCATTGTTCATCACAACCACTCTACCAGCTCCCTCCCTTTCCTTTCTCTTTCCCCCCCTTTTTTTTCTCTTCGTTTTTGAGATCTGAGTTTCTGGGTTTCGAGAAGGAAGACAGAGGTAAACCACATTGGCCGTAAAGTTTGAAACCTTTTGGGGGGAAGAAGAGAGAGAAGCTTGATGTTGAAGATTATATGATGATGGCGGTGGTGGTAGAGTGATTCATGAGTGAAAATGGGTTGGTTGGTTTGCCTCTGAGATAGACTGTTGTGGAGTCACACTTCTCTTTACCTTCGAACTGAAGCCTTTTCTCCCCATCTTTCCCTTTCTCAGTAGCTTTCTTCTTCCTACTCTCTTTTTTTTGCATTTTTGTTTCTTCTTCCTCGCCCTATCGCCTTTGGGTTTTGGTAACCTGTAGAAATTAACTTGCATTTTTGTCTCTGTCCCCTTTTTTTTCCTCTGTAACTTTCCCTCCTTCCTCTGCTTTCTCCGCCTTCCTAGATCCACACCCCACTCCAATTTCAACTGCATTTTGGGGTCAGTAAATGAATGGATCGCTCCGGGCCAGCTTCATTCTATATGCAGCAGAGAGGGATTGGCGGTTCGGGTCCAACCGGGCCACAGTCGGGTCTCAATGTCTCCCCTTCCGGCGCCATGAACCCTCTTTCCAACCCGGCCGTGCAGTTCCAGTCCAACATGGGTGGTGGTGGTGGTGGCAGCTCAATTGGGTCAGCAATGCCAATGGAGCAGCAGCAGCAGCAGCAGCAAGCTTCAATGTCGCCGCTTAACGTCGGCCCAACTTCGGCGGTGGCCCCAATTGGGGAGCCGGTGGTGAAGAGGAAAAGAGGGAGGCCGAGGAAATATGGTCCCGATGGGACTGCTTCACTGGCATTGTCGCCTTCACTCTCCACTCATCCTGGCACCATAACCCCAGCCACCACTACCCAGAGGCGAGGCAGAGGCCGGCCCCCTGGCAGCGGCAAGAAGCAGCAACAGTTGGCTTCTGCTGCTGCTCCTTCTCTTGGTATATGATTCATTCTCCCCCCATTGTCTCCAAATCTGTTCTTCACTGTGGGTATTTGACTTGGAATAATGATGCTAATGGTTTGTTTGTTTTGTGGAATAGGCGACTGGATATCAGGCTCGGCTGGGATTGGTTTCACTCCACACATAATCACCGTGGCAATGGGAGAAGTAAGCCCATCATTCACTCTCTAACTCGTTTCTGCAGCTTGTTGTCTTCTTGATCCTATCTATAGTGGTTATCTGAATGGAGTAAAAGATTCACATTGGCGAATCATGTCGAAATGATATCATTTGTTCTTGACCATTTGGTTAACTTGCATTGCTTGTATCAGATTGGCTTCAATGTAATGTATGTTTTAACGATTGAATGCGCCCCATATGAACCATCTGTTTGCAGGACATTGCGACGAAGATCATGTCCTTCTCGCAGCAAGGGCCGCGAGCAATATGCATCTTGTCAGCAAACGGGGCAGTCTCGACTGTCACTCTTACTCAGCCGTCAACTTCTGGAGGCACTGTCACATACGAGGTTTAATATATATATATAGCAAACCAACAAACCAATAATCAGTGCTGTGATCATATATTTGTATAAATTATTCATGGATGTCAGATGCTTAGCTTTGGGAATGTTCTTCTATGTTGCTTGTGTCCATGTTTTTATTTCTTTATTCAAATACAAACGTGCAGGAAGCAGGCTTTAAAATAATCAGTTGTCTGATACCAAGATTAGGATGTGTGCGTGTGACATCAGCCTGGTATTATTTAATTGCATGTGTATAGTGGTCTTTGTCTTTATGGCTGTTGACTTGATTAGTAGGCTAAAGGGCTCAATTCATTTCATGTTTGTTCCCCCCCAAATGATTAAGTGGTCCTGAATCCTAATGAAACTTCGAGCTTGCTCTAACATGGCTTGGTTGCCAATAAGCTTTCTAGTTTGCCTGCTCTTCTATTACTGCAATGATGAAATCATAAACCAAGGCTCCTCCCTCAGTTTCTTAAACCAAGTTTTGTGCTATTGGTTAGGGGCGGTTCGAGATCTTATGCCTCTCGGGCTCTTACTTGCTAACGGATATCACTGGCTCGCGCAATAGAACCGGTGGCCTGAGTGTCTCTCTCGCCAGTCCTGATGGTCGCGTCTTTGGAGGTGGGGTTGGAGGGATGCTCATTGCAGCAAGCCCTGTTCAGGTAACCAATCCATTTGTTTAAATACGATGATATTGACATGGCTAAGTAGAGATTGTGATCAACCAACTGCTTAGGGCCATGAAATGCTTAAGAGTTTGCTTGCTTCCCAATCTTTTGTTTCACATTATTATCACACCTCTATTTGTTCTTTAGTTATAATACTAGAACTTGTTATGCTTAAAAGATTTGATCTCCATCGATTGCTTGTTCCATACTTTAACTAGTTCACTTCTTCTGCAGGTCATCGTGGGAAGCTTCATATGGGGCGGTCCAAAGACGAAGAACAAGAAAAGGGAAGAAGGGTCTGAACTAGGCGGTAGAGAATCCGAGCAGCTGGCGATTGAGAATCCGGTGAGTCCAACTAGTGTCCCACCTAGCCATCATCAGAACCTTGGCGGACCAGCTTCTCCACAATCGATGTGGCCAGGTTCGAGGTCACTTGACATGCACGGCCACCATGACATCGATTTGATGCGCGGATGAAGGGGATGGAGTTGTTCGATCTTTACTCTGATTCTGAACGCGCAAGGCTTGGCTCTCCTGTTGATTTTTCGCCCATGAGGGGGCGTGGTTTGTATCTCATTATTTTGTAGCTGATGAATTTAACACAGCAGCCAGTGTAGTGTAAAATTGGTAGGGGGTGGGATCTATCCAGATCTGGAACGAATTGAACTCATTTGGTTGTTTGGAGGTTCTTGCAAAGTTTCTAACCGCTAGTTAATGGCTAATGCACAGCTTATTGTTGATCATTGATCTCTGTTGTTGCTTGTCCTTTCCCTATGCTGCATTGCTTTGTCCTGCTTTAAATTCCTTTGTTTATGTTTTAGGGAAGCAAAATGTATGCTGGATAATGTTCGAACTCTGGATAATTAGTTCCATACAAAATTAAAACATTCTGCGTGATCCAGGATTTACTCTCAAGAAGAATGATAGGGGTAGGCATGCAACAAGATAGACTAATATTACTTGGGGTTGTTTGATGAGATTCAAATAGCAACAACTAATATAGAGGATAAGAGAATGTTTCTTAGAGTTGGTTCTAACTACATTCCCAATCAAAGGCCTAATGGAATCTTCAAGGTAGTATAGAGCAAGTATTTTTCAAAGGGTAATGTCTATTTTTTATCCAAATCTTTTTCAAAATTTTTTTATATTATCCAAACATATTAAAATGTTATTAATTAACCAAATCTTTCGTAATGCATCAAAATATTAGCCATTTTTTTATCATTAATAATTTTGTAATATTTTCTTAGTTAAAATACTATTTTTTGGAATTTTGACCTTCATGTGTCTCTTTCAAGTCAGTATCATGTTGTCAAGTCAATATTACTAACAAAATTGTTAACTGAAAGTTAATATTTGGTTAATTCTTAGTATTTCGATATGTTTGGATAATATAAAAGAATATGAAAAAGTGTTTGGATAAAAAATAGATATTACCTTTTTTCAAATTATCAAACCCGAGTGGTTTATGTATCCTTACTTCGTTTCTAGTGATAAAAACGTTGTTTAAGCTAACACTAACAAACATGCAAGTAAAACAAGGTTGAATTCAGTGGAGAAAAGCTTCACTAGGATGATTATCCCCCTAGTTCCATGCTGAGTCAAAGACGTGATACTCTAGTGTCATTTACATCTAGTATATACTGTTAGGATATTGAAACTAGTTAGGAATCCCTATTTGAGTGGTCCTAACCTGCCTAGTTGCTCTAACGGGAGAGGCGTACCAAACTACCAGATTAGTCAATTAGGGCAACCAAATCTACTCCCACGGACGATGACCTAGAACAGTGTAAAGAAATGAATCACCCTCGTTCATGTCCCCCTTACGATGATTGAATAATGCCATAAATTACCCTAAGGAGATATTCTCTCACCTAGGTTAATTGACCCCAAAATAGAGAGAATTGATCAAGGAACTTCAATTTCATGATAAATACCCAATCATGCTAATCACAACATAGAATTCAAAATCACAAAATTACAACATCCTAGACTAGGGGTACACGATGATAGATTATATTAATTAAAATAACAACAATTGATATAATTATTTAGTCGAAATTCCAACTAATATCTCTCTCGAATGAATGAACTTGAAGTGAAAAAACAATAGAAGATTAGTGGTAGATTGTTTATCTAACTACTATTGTCTTTGATGTTGTTGTATAATGCTTATAGAATTACTCGTCATAGTCTTCAACTTTTCTTCGGCAAGTTTCAACTATTATGGCTTTTCTAAAACAAATTTTTAAAAAATTAGAGTAGAAATGAAAAGATATATTCCGCTGACTTTGCAAAAAAATTGAAAAGATCCTTAACTATAGCTCATTAGCTCCTTAGATCCATGCAAGCTGTAACTAAAGGAGGTTATGCGCCAAAATCCCATCCCTTTTTCTTGGTTGTTTGAAGATCAAACTAGTTCATTGTTTTGACAATTAGATGATTTTACATGGTAAATATTTTTCTTTCAGGTATATATATAGAATTAATAAATAGAGTATTCAATGATAGTATACTTAAACATGTATATAGCATAACAAGATTACATGTTGATGCCAAAGGAAGTTTTTATTATAATTATCATTGCACTAATATAATTCCCCCACTAATATTTTATCCAAACCAAACAAGATGAAAGTTATGAAAAAAAGAAAGCAAACAGAGGAGCAGCTTCGGTAGTAAAAGATCACTTAATTTTCTCTGTCCCTTTCTTTCTTTTGGCCGCTCATTTTTTCCTCCGCCTAAGATTTAGACAGGATCGATTGAGCTAATTGGCCCAATATTATACTTCAAAAATATAATGCTGTCATTACCACTCCATATAAAAACCGACAAAATTATAAGATAGAAAACAAACACAAAAAAAGTCACATAGATAGATCACTTATTCCGGTCCGGTCAAAACACTCTCGCTTTGCTGCTTTTTCGTATTATCACTAGATCAAATCCTTTTATTCGTCGTGTCGTTGTTACGTACTTAGCACATCTTCCAAGTAACGGACGTCTCGCCGTACTCGCCCTTGCCGTGGTGGAACCCGAGGGCCTCCCACACGGCCCTCGACCCGTCCACGATGTCGTGCTTGCACCCGCCGGACGTGTCGCACTCGTCGACGACGATGGCCGTCGTTGTCTCGCCGGTTTCTTTGGCCGTAATCTCGATGCACTCGTGGCACAGCTTCCCGTTCTGGTACCAGTTGGAGGACAGCGCCACCACCTTCTTGTCGTCGCTGTGGTAGCGGCCGTCGCACTCGGACGCGCCGCCGCCGTCCTCGCCTTTCTGGAAGCCGTTGAGTGTTAGGGTGGCGTGTTTGCCCTGGATCTCCGCCGTGACGTTGGACGACGAGTAGTGTCGTCTTGCCGCTGCTGCTGGCTGTGGGGATAAGGAGAGGAGGAAGACATTAGTAACGATTAGGATGATGAGTATGTCGACCTTCATGGTTGTGAGGATGATGTCTTTGTGTTTGTTTGGTAATTGGTTTTTCTTGATGGTTCAGTGTTTGAGGATGTTTGTATGTATTTATAGTTTGGATGACAATTGGGTTTGGGGGAAATAATGCGGACAGAATTTCAACGAAATTAAGAAAGAAAGAAAGAAGGAGGGACAAAACTGTGGGATTCGTGTTTTTATACTTTGGTATTCCTTAAGAAAGACACAAAACGTGTTTCTTTTGTTGTCTGATACTCACTCGAGAAGGTAGCACAGAGGGAACCTTCATCAAGCTAAAGTCGGCAATCAGTTCTAGGCGCTTGTAGCCAAAGATGACTTGGATTTCGATCCTTGCACCTCGAAGTAGTGCAAGCTTGTCTTAAACTCTCATTCAAATCGATAAATAATAGAGGAAATCAAACATCACTCATATGAAAATAAAACAATCGTGTTAAACCAAATTATCGAGTTTACATGGTTAGAACCACTAGAGTTCACATACCTACGCAAATAAGGAACTTTTTAGCTAGCCATGATGAGAGGTTTGTGGGTGTTCATCGACGGAAACAAAGATATAAGGAGACTCATTGGTATTGGTGCTTGGAACGAGAGATAACAGACCCTAGAGCCATTTTGGGTGCCGATTTTCCCTCGTTTGGGTGGTCTAGTTCTAAGTTAGGAGGGTTGCTCAAAAAGTGGATATTATTGTCACAAAGTTGATAGTTGTGGATCTGCTGGTGAATTTTGCCATTTTTTGTAAATTTATCTTCTTGGCAATTAGGGGTGGGTAATGGGCATGCATGTTAGGTGGATTTTGGTCTCAAATTGACTCACCCGCTTACTAGCAAGTTGATATAGTTGTGACCAACTATCCACCCACATTCTTCTTTCGATTGGGTTGGGATGGATTAACCAGCGTCAACAATTCTCTAACTAGCCATTAGAACGTTGACTAACATTTATAACAAGTTCCTCACAAATTAGTAAGACTGTATTGCTTTAAACACTTCCCACTTTGTCTCCTATAGATCCATGTAGTATTTGCATAAAATTTTAATTACACTATCAACCAATTGTGTCGAGTAGAAGACGACACATTTTACGACTTTGATACAAGTAATAGTTTATATTTTCCGTTTCAATATCTAATGGACATTACACAACATAGTAATCAATAATAGTAGTCCAAAAACATTCTTTCCTCTCTCCCTTTAGAAGTCGATGGTCAGTGTGTAGCGTGGTTAGGAAATAAGATGACTGTTCAATAGTATAAACACGAGACAATGTTTTGTCATGCCAAATATGGTGTGAGTCATTTGGGTGACCGACAATCCACCAACCACCCACCTGAATAAGTGCGGGTAGGACATTTATCAATTCCCAATCCACCCGTATCAATCACCCACTCACTACGATTCAGATTATTTACGAGGGGATTAATGTTTTTCTGCAGATTAACCACCCACGAGCCACGTGCCCACCCTTATTGACAACGGTGGAACACCAAGATTAAAAAGGATAATAATTGTTTATTGTTGTGGCAGACATTAGCAGTTTTTTCTTGTCATTAACAATATATTGAATGAACAAATTGTTAGGATTAACGAATCAGGCCAAAGGTATCCACTATTTAAAAATTTGATTATTTCTATTGTTTTTCTGAATTTTGGGTGCGTAAGTTTGTTCTTTTATACAAAGTTAGGACAAAAATAGACTGTTAACCCCCATTAAGCTATATATAAAATACAGTTTCAAAGAACTTGGTCTATTTCATTTTGGACATAGTCATAGATGCGGATAGCCTTCCTGTCTTGCTGAACTACATTATACATATAATGAAATGAAAAATACAAATAGAGGGATCCTTCGTTATTAAAGTCGGCAATTTTTTAGTTCTAGGCTTCTAGCCAAAGATGGAAAGGAGGGCAGAGATCGAAAAGATAGAATTTGGGGTGCGTACGCTAGATAATAATATGGCCATCCATGATAAAGGAAAATAAAAAAAAAAATTCCTCTACATTTCCATACCGACAAACATACGTTTAATTTAATTTATAGCAAGGTGGTAAATTTGAGAGTCTGAAATTTGAATTGAAGGATACAAATGTGTAAGACACCGGTAAAACAAAAACAGTTAGTAATAGAATTGTAGTTCAGGATCGACTAATCGAATATCTCCTCCCTGCTCGCTGTGGATAGGGTCAATAATATTCCTATTGTGTATAATTTTGCATAATTAAATTTGGGCTCTTTATTTTGTGAGTTGCGAGGAACTCTTATATGTAACCAGGCTCTATTATTGCCGATGGGAATACGATCGTCGCAACATGATAGGGTAGGAGAGAGTTGACAGTTTTAGAGACTTTAAGAGACAAAATTAGGGTTTTGAAGAAGAAATTGAGGAGAAGAAGAAGAGAATGGTCGACAGTCTTTAAGGACGAGAGAAACGAAATATAGAGAAGATTAGGGTGAGAATATGATAATTCTTCTATAATCTATCATTTACTGATGATTTCGCCTACGTAGTTACAAAATATATAGAAACTTGTAATTCTCTTAAACTACTCCTATTTTGCATAGTTAACGAAACTACCATGTAACTCCCTAAATCCCATCAAAGTACCAAAAATCTACATTGTCAAATTGTAACGATATGCATTCTCAAGTTTTGTGATATAGATCCAATGGTTTTTTATATTGATATTGTGATTCCCAATGTGTACTAATCACTGGTATGCATCATATATTTTTAGCTAAAAAATAATAACCCTTGTTTCTAAATTCTACCCACAAAAATCTCTTCTTCATTCCCTGCCTTTCTTTCAGTTTGCCATTCCTTTCAAAATCTCCCCATCAAAACTACATGTTCTCCTCCTTTCTTCTTTTCCATTTTTCATTTTAGAAAAAAAAAAAAATATCCTTCATCTTTCTCTCTTATCTCTTATCCTATTTTTCATCCTTCTTCATTTTCCCTTTTGTTCTTGAAATAATTTCATCGTCGTCTCTGCTCCGTTTGGTGCCAACATGGTATGTTGATCGATATGATTTAAGAGATTATGTTAATTCATACTTTTCAAATCTATTTAATTTGAGATGGTAATCATGAACTCGTTGCATGACTAGATTCTCTGTCAATTGATTTCATATTCTAAAGTGCTTGAAAGTTGAAACACATATAAATGTGAGGGATATATGTCTTTGTGATGCTTCGAAAAGGCGCGATTAATCTTTAAGTTTAGACACGCCTAAGCGCTTGGCAATACCAAAAACACCTCATCTAGGGTTTCCTGATGAGCTAGGTACGTATCCGGAACACGTTGATGGACTAAAGCGAACACCTACGCATAACTAGATGGATCTAGAGAAAATCTAACATCAAATTGAAAAAATCAACATCATCTACAAACTCAATCTTCTATTATTTCAATCTTTTTGAGTCACTCAAGAACTCGTGTAAAGCTGCCGAGCTGTAATCCTAAAAACTTGCGACCTATTTTCCTGTTGTTAAGTGTTGCGTAAGTCACTCATCATATGAGCTGAAGTGAGAAAGTACCAGTGTAATTTTTTTTTGTTTCATTGCATCATATCGTACAAATTGCTGTCTTTTTTTCTTCTTCTACCGCCTAGGCGGTGCCTAGACGAGTTAGGCGCTAGACAATGCCCCAATGCCGACGCTCCTAGCACCTTCTTGAACCTTGGTTTTTTTTTTTCTTCTTGTGTGCGTGGATACGTATTGCAGGCGAATTCAGCGTCCGGGATGGCGGTGCACGACGACTGCAAGCTCAAGTTCTTGGAGCTGAAAGCCAAGAGGAACCACCGGTTCATCGTGTTCAAGATCGACGAGAAGATCCAGCAGGTGGCGGTGGAGAAGATCGGCTCCCCGACCTCGACGTACCAGGAGTTCACCAACTCCCTCCCGGCCAACGAGTGCCGCTACGCCGTGTTCGACTTCGACTTCACCACCGACGAGAACTGCCAGAAGTCCAAGATCTTCTTCATCGCCTGGGCGCCGGACACGTCCAGGGTGAGGAGCAAGATGTTGTACGCCAGCTCCAAGGACAGGTTCAAGCGGGAGCTGGATGGGATCCAAGTGGAGTTGCAGGCCACCGATCCCAGCGAGATGAGCCTTGATATCGTCAAAGGTCGAGCCCTCTAATAATGGAATTTAAGGGCTTTTCAACAACAAAGAAGAACATGTCAAATTAATTTTATATATATGTATGTACTTGCTCAAATTAAAATGTGGGTTTAACAGTGTTTGTGACTAGGTGATCTCATCACCTCCTTCTCATCATGGGTCCCTTATTATGTAGGGGAAAATATATATATTTGTTGTGTTTTGTTGTTCTTTTAAGTTTGTTCGTGAGTGTTCATGATGTATATCAGTTACCAAACCAAATGGTTACGTTGTTCTTTTGTTAATTTCCGCAAGGTTGTTTATAAGCTGATGTTCGCTTTAGATGCCATATTTTGCAACCAATATGTGCTACCTAGTCGGAACTTCCATGTATCTATACTCACCATGCACATAGAATACATGACATTAGGATTTAGGAAGAGTTGTTGTGATGTATAGTAGGCTTCCGATCATCTGCTTGTATTCGGTGGCATTGATCATATTTCCATCTCATGCCTTCGTTATCTGTGTATTTTGGTTTGTAGTACTTCAACTCCCGAGATATACCTTATTCTTCCCCCGGACCTATCGTCAAATTAATCACCGTCCATTGAACACTTGAACTCTTTAATCATCTCAAGATCATTGCTTGCATATACCACATCATCAACATATATACATGTTCATCAACAATATATGTGTTCCTATTTTCTTGACAAATAAGGTGTGATAAGAAGGAAACCTCTCAAAACCCATGTGTCGCAAAATAACCTTCAATAAAGTTGTACCGGATTCATGGTGTCTGCTTTAGTTCATAGAGAGCCTTCTTTAATTTGTAGACTTTACTTTCCTCAGCATCGACCACAAAGCGTTGTGGTTGCTTTGCATAAACTTCTTAAGCCAACTCGACATCCAAAAATGTAATTTTTTACATCAATTTCAAATCCACTCAGACCATCAGAAGCATTAAGATTAGGAAAGGTTATGATAGTATCCCATCTGACTACTAGAGCAAACACATCAGTGTAGTTTATCCCTTGAGAGTATTCCTTAGCAACCAATCTTATTTTAAACGTATTAACTAAGTCATCTTCCTTGAGTTTAGTTCTGACTGCCCACTTGAATCTAATAGCTTTTGTTCCAGTAGGTATTATTTGATTTTGCAGTTAGGAACCAGGTATTATTTGATTTTTGCAGTTATCTTGTCTTCAATGTCCTTGAAACATTTTCTTGAATTTACAGAGTCTACAAGTTTGTTTTCACCTTTTTTTTTTTTTTTTGATGAATAGTTGTTTTCACCTTTACAATGCCCTTCCCTTATACCTCCAGCTTTGTATCATTTCCAAGCTTGACAACTCCAGTTCCGGAACTCTCCAAAGTTGTAAACCAACAGTGAACCAACAGTGAACTCTAAAGAGCATATATATATAAAGGTACAAATTCATTTAGTACCATAAAAAATTTGTATCTTTATGTTATGGTACATCTCAGTGTGCACCATAACATAAAGGTACAAATTCAGTTTGAAGCATGAAGAAATTTGTACTAAATAGTATTAGGTACAAATTGAATTTGTACTATAATGTTAAATGTAAAATTTCAATTTGTACCATATATAATAGATTTTTTTAAGCAAAAAATTCTCGTCCAACTCTTTATAACAAGCTTGTCAATCCGACCCTTTGAAATAGGCCCGAACAAAGTCGGTGCCGAAAATGGCCCCATAAAGCTAGTTTGCCTCCAAATCGGTCAAAATCGCAAAAACCAGTGGTCTGGCTGGATTGATATAATATATAGGGTTAATATAATATGTATTAGTTGTTAAATTACTATACATTTCAAATTACATTCTTGTTATTCAAATCTTAAATTATTACCGTATATTTCTATAACACGAATAAAATGATTTGAATGGATTGGATCTCGATTTCGATCATTAAACCCCAAACCATTTGCTTGATCGGCTCAACCACAATTAATATTGATTAGGAAGTCTTTTCATCCAATGGCAGTCGACAGTGTGACCAATTTGTCCTCACGCACACACGTTTACGAGTTGGGCCGTCGTCTGGCCCTCCTCTCCACTCATAGAATCTGGGCCCGCCCGGCCAAATTTACAGCCAATCCTCGCTTGTCGCACAATACGCCGCCGTATCACGCATGTCGACGACATTTGCTCTCCGGTGATTCCTAAGCGCGGCAAGCGCTTTACCGCCACCACGCGCTGCTCACCCGTTTTACCTGTCCTCTGTCGGCAACGAAGGCAATTATTCCCCCAACAACGCCTATAAACTTTAAAAAAAAAAAAAGTTCAAAATCCCCACTTCATCATCTCACCGTTCAATCCTACACCACACTTCCACGTCATCACCATCAACGGTTTTGGGTGACCGCCAAAACGCCTTGGATCCTTCACTGTGAGCGGCCGCGCATTATATATCTCCATAAATGAACCCAATTTTCGGTTCAATTTGAAGAGGAGATTATTACAACGAGAAACGAAAGGGACTACTGAAAGATAGACAAAAAAGGGTTTTGGGTTGTTTCCGTTGGTCTGTAGGCAAAGGGCAAAGCCGAGGTTTTTGGACGATTCTATGGCGGAGCAGGAGGTGAAGAAACCGGAAGCTGAATCCCCAGTTGTAGCTGAAGCGCCGGCGCCGCCGGCTGCCGTGGAGGAGAAGTCCATGGTTCCCACGCCGGAAGAAGCCAAACCGGAGAAGACCCATGAAGAATCCCATGCTCTGGCTGTGGTAGAAGCAAGTAAGCTTCCTTGGGGTTTCTAAAGCTAATGGCTTTCCCCCCCTCTTCTGTGTGATGACTCCCAATTGGGCAATAATTGAATTCTCCATGTTTTGCTTTGCTGCTACAATCTGGAAACCTGCAGAAGCTGCTTCATTTATGGTGCTGTCATGTTTTTTTTCTTTTCTTTTTCAATTACCATATGGTGGCCATTTTTAGGCTTTGCTGTCCTTTTTTCACTTCCCTGGAATATTGCCAGTGTGGCAAGCAGCAGCTTAGCTTTGATTCTTGCTTTTTTTCTTCTTGGGGAAGTTGGTTAATTTTCCAGGCAAGGCGATTACTTTTAGTTACAGATATTTGTGGAGATGATTGTAGAGTGAGTTTCAGCAGTAGCAAACTGGCACAATTGCCTTTTGTTTTTCCCTTTTGCTTGAATGATTTGTTTAGTTGTAAATTAGGGGGTGGGGTGGGGGGGATTTGTCCTCCCTGTCTCCCCACATCCACATGCACCTTTAGATTTTCAGAAGGGAAAAAAAGCTTCATGTGCAGCACTGGCAATGATCATAAATGTGTATGGTCGTTAATGGAATCGTCAATTATGCCAGCTCTCCCAAGCTTGACTTTAATGGCATCTCAAAAAGGACTGTTGTTGGGTCCTACTTCTTTGGATGCCATGGCATGGGATATAATGGAGATTGATCAAAAGGAGAAAAGATATCATAATTGTAGGGGAGTGGGCTTTAATAATTTCAGGGTCTCCCGCAATTTCAACAATTTTATGTGTTCTAATGTGTTGATTATTGTTAGTAGTGCTGGAAAGCTTTGATGTGTGGATTATCCATCCTGTTACTCACCGCTTTTTGTAAAATACCAACTAAGCAAGTTTTTGTCACTAGTTAGTTGCAACCTGGATTTTATGTGTAAAGAATGCTACCACTTGATGCTGGCTTCGAATCTGTTTTTACAAAGAGAAAGGGAACCTCTCTGCTTTCCCATGTTTTTCTTTTATGAGGATAAATCCCTTATAAGGAAGGGACTTGATTTATCTGTGACTCAATTGTGGTTCCAAGTTGCTTAGGAAGACTGCAAGTATCTTAATTCACCTCTACATAGCTATGGGAATTAAAAGTATGCTCTTTCGCGCTTCTTCTTTGCTTGGATTAGTCAGCGTTCGTATTAGATAGATGGCGGGCATGCAAACAATATTACTATTCTCTGTTGTATGTATTAACCTAACTGTTCCCTTTATTTGATGTGAATCACTACAGAGGCTCCAGAGCCGGTTCCGAAGAAGATATCGGGTGGATCGCACGATAGAGGCAAGTTGTGTGTTGTTGATAGCCACCAATATTTCCCACCTTCTATTAAAAGTGTTCTTGAATTCGGTTTTGTGTGGGATTGAGTTGTTTCTCTCATGGTTTGGTCATTCCTGGGTTGGCATTGAGAGCCTCTATCAACATCTCTTTACTGGGTTTTTTTATATTTCATCACTCCAATGCTCTCACCTGGGACCATCATGTTATGTATGCTGTGAGGCGACTTTCTAACCAAGTGGTCTTCTTTTCTATATTGTTGTTACTTTCCTCAGATGTTGCTCTTGCTGATATTGTGAAAGAGAAGCAGACGTGCTTCATTAAGGCATGGGAAGACACTGAGAAATCCAAAGTGAACAACAAGTAAGGGCCAGTCCACATCTTACATCTTTTTCTTTATATTTGTGTACTATAGCCCTCTCAAATTCAGTTGCACTGATGTTAGTCACCTCCAAACAAAGGGAAAAGTCCGTGTTAGGAGCGACCTGACCAGATTTATGTTATCGAACGTGAATTGGAGCTACTCACCATGTCTGCTCGCTTTCTTTCATGTCACGCATTTTAAGCAGAAACTGCACTTGTATCCTATCTGCAATTTATTTAAACAACGGGGGGTAAAACTATTGTACAGGGCTCAGAAAGAAATCTCTGCTATTTCTGCATGGGAGAACACCAAGAAGTCAGCTGTGGAAGCTAAACTGAAAAAGCTCGAGGTAATAATCAACTGGTGCTCAGTTTAGCAGACTGTGGAACGATGAAGAAACGAAATGGTTTCTTGGTAACGAAAGCAGGAGTTAGTAGTAAGGTTAACAATGAATGGATACATTTGCAGGAGCAATTGGAGAAGAAGAAGGCTGAATATGGGGAGAAGATGAAGAACAAAGTGGCTCAAATCCACAAAGAAGCTGAAGAGAAAAGAGCTATGGTGGAAGCCAAGCGCGGGGAGGAGTTTCTGAAAGCAGAGGAAATGGCTGCCAAATACCGTGCCACTGGCCAAGTTCCAAAGAAGCTGCTCGGTTGCTTCTGAAAAACAAGAAGGCCATGGATACAATGCAACTATAAGATTGAGAGCTCCTCCTTCTGTGTGTTTTACCTTCAAAACTTTTTTCACTTTTCCACCTCTATATACCCCCATTTTGTGTTCCTTTCTGCCACTGAATGACTGAACTTTGGCTATATATGTTTTGTGAACGAAGAAGGTCAACCATGTGAGCAACTGTACTTTTCTGTAAGATCTCATGTGTCCATATGTACAAAAAACGAATGAATCCAAGTCTGGTATTTTACTATTTTTCACTCATTTACTCTTTGCAACCTATTTCCCCTTCAATGCTGAATTCATATGTACAAGGAGTCTTGCGAGCTCATATGTCAAACAGGAAAATGTCTTATAAGTTTAATCCTTTAAACGAATCATTAAAGGTGTACCAATAGCACTCAATTGTGACAAAAGAAATCTCCCTTGGGAATTGCTCAGATGAACAAAGCCAGCAAGCAATTATGTACACATTTTAACATTTGTTTTTTTTTTATGACTTTCACATTAGTACTTTCAACTCTTGAATCTCTATCTCATCCTCTTTTTAATCCGAATACCTTTTTGAAGTTTTCAAAGATTTTTCTTTTAGTGAATTTCATGTTTTAGCAGGATGGACAAAATTAGGTTTCTCTAAACTCAAATTCATTTGAACGAGTACATCTATTAAAAAAATTAGGTAAAATACTTCATTGGATTTTAGAAGTAAAAACTCAACCTAATCCAATGGATACCACGGGTGTATGGGTACTCACGTGCATGCACATAACCATCTATCATTTTATTTTAATACCCACATCGTAATATCATCAGGATAATAATGGATATAACAGTTTTCTTGTATTGACTAGAGACAAAACCTAATGGAACCAACATGTGTTCCTTTTTCTAATAATTTGTATTGTTCATAATTTAATGAATTAAACTTCGGTTTTCTAATGTCTGTAAAAGTGAGTTGCATTGATTGTAGTTTACACAATGATATCCATTATGATATATTTCAAATTTAAAAATTAATTATTTTTTATGCCACAATGGCATGAATAGACACTATTATTGAGTGAATAATACAGATGAAACGAATTCATTGTGATCTATGAAATAATATACATTTCTATATATTTCAAGAAAATGTTTTTTTACCACCGATTACCTCTTTTGTTTTCAACTCAAGTTTTGAAAAAATCTGCACATAATCTAACGCGATTTCAGCGTGATCTATTGCGCTGAAAGAGTTTTATGGGATGGCTCTTCACGAAACAAAAAAATGTAAAGAAAGTTTTGAGACATTAGTCGACCAAGCCAAGCAAAGGTCACTCCTAGAGACAAGCTTCTTACTTGGTTAATAATTATCAACCACATCCATCCTGCTATTTGCTGAATAACTTTTTACCATTGCATGAATATGCCACAAATGAAGTGAATAAACATAAATTGTGTGAATGAAGAGCAAAACACATAAATTAGGCGTTAACAACATGAATTAAGCACCTTTTAACTTCAGTTGCTGGTACCCAGCCAGCCGCACCCATAAAAGGAGCACTGTGATAAAGCCAACCACAAGGTAATAAGCAAACACAAGATTTTGGTCCTCTCTTTCTACCACCCTACTAGCTTTACAAATGGTTTGCGCCTACAGATAACAATAACTAGAATGACAGCCAAAAACACAGAGCTTTAAATCTCTTCAGAGATGGCAAATGAGGGAGCTTCCGTAAGAGTTAGCATAGTTATCATTCAAGTCCCCTTCCAAGAAACTCATGTCGTTGTTGATAGGAAAATCCAGCAGCAGCTGCAGCGCAGTGTCCGACGAATCCTCCATATCACTAGAGCTCGAAGATTCAGCCGAAGATTTCCTACTCTTACATTCCATCTCATCATTTTGACAGCTTGTGGTCGCTGAAGACATCCCCGCCAAGCTGTTGTTAGCCCCACATTTGGTGGATGAAGATGCCTGAGAAGCCGGGCTCGGACAAACAGCAGTGCTCGTAGTCGTCGTAGCAGTAGTACAGGGCTTGTCAGTTTCTCCGCCATTGTTGTTGAAGCTGCGGAAGGACTCGCCCACTTCCGAGTTCCATATGCGAAGGAAGTAATCAGCTTCTGCTTTCCCTGAAGATGGTGTTGGGTTGTTGAAGAGCGAGGATTCCCGGCCGAGGCGGGCCTCGGCTTCGAGCCTGGCGCTCTCCCACTGAGTCATGTGGCGAGTTGCAGGGGAGGCTGGTGCCTTCTTCAGGGAGCCGCCGCAGGGGCTGCTGAGTGGCTTGTGAGTTTGTGGGTCGAGCCCCATACAGAGCAGCCGTTTCTTCAAGTGGGTGTTCCATAGATTCTTGATCTCGTTGTCTGTTCTTCCCGGAAGCTGAGAAGCAATTGCAGCCCACCTGAGATAGAGAGAAAAGAAAAAAAAAACAGTTGTAAATTTCACAGAGGCAAATCAACAAACAACTTGAATGCATTGCAAGAAGAGAAAAATCCCCCACGAATTTGCTAACTATACCTGTTGCCGAGAATGCCATGGAGCTGAATGACGAGCTTCTCTTCCTCAGGGGAGAAGGGACCTCTTTTGATATCTGGGCGGAGATAGTTGGTCCATCGAAGCCGGCAACTCTTTCCGCACCGGAGTAGACCTGCGGAGACATCAATCAATCCCCTCAACCGTAAGCTCCAAGGAAGAAAGAAGAAAGATTAATAGAACCCATTTCCGATTTCGAGAAACCCAGTAAAACCCATGAATCAATTAGCCGCAACGTCTCCATCCCAGAAAGTGATTGATGTAATAATACAGTACTAACCAGAAAGCTTAGGGACAGAGCGCCAGCTGCCATGGCCGTTCTTCTGGATGTAGGAAACGAGAATCTCGTCCTCTTCAGCCGTCCAGGGACCTCGCTTCAACCCTTTCTTATCGCAACAAGGCGTCCTCCCCATTCTTCTGCGATCTTCGCACTTTCCAGAGAGCGAGCGAGTGAGAAACTCAAAAAAAAAAAACAGAGGAAAGAAAGACACGGCCGCTTGCTGCCAAGTGAAAAATCAAACATGTAACAGCAAAAGACAAGAGAGAGAAGAAGAAGAAGAAGAAGAGCTCAGGAGGAGCAGAGCAGAGCAATAAATGAAGGCTGAAGGGAAAGGGAGTTCGAGCTCGAGCAGTGTTTATCTAGGGTGAGCCGAAAGCGAGCGAGATATTCAATTTTCGTGGGGATGCATTGCAGCAGCAGCAGCAGCCAGCAGTAGCAGGAAGGAACCAAAAGGACGATCTCTCTCAGCGAGTTTCAAGCTGTCACAGCAATAAATTTTGAAATCTGGTATTTAATATGGGCACAAGAATTCCAGAACCAATAATACGACGTCGTTTCTTGTGTCTGGTGTCTACATTGATTGATTTTAATAATAGTTTATTTTTTTACTGATGAATAGATTTCACCACATGTACTTTCTCGGCCGAGACCAAACAATTTCACATGCACTTCCATGTGGAATTTAATATTTGCTGAAATCTAAATTGTTTGCCTCGATTCTTTGTGATTTTATAGCATACTATTCAACCTATATACTACTTAGCAATATCTTTAAGCACAAGCCAAAATCTTCGAACTTGGGATTTTTTTTCCCAAAGTGTCGAAGTTCATTAAAAAAAAATTCACACAATACTTATAACAAAAATTCTCAATCTATACAAGTTTGGGTTAGATAGATCGATGTAGTGTTCGGCGATTTAGTATGTTAATCTCGGACGACAACACCGATCGAGGTAATATGCATCATACAACAGCGATGAACAAATTGTTCGCTTAAAGATGCAGTGTTTCCCATAAATTGTGTTGGTAAGTCGTGATTAAAAATTATCAAGCTGGTGGCAGGCAATTCATCCATACTAGAGGACTCATATCGCATCTAGCCCACGCGATGAACATTGTGTGGTTCTTGATTGCACGACCCGGAAGTGGTGTTAGATGGAGCTCGAGATGGCAATGAGGGGGGTTTGTCTAAACCAATCCCAACACCATCCTCATTTTCAAATACCCAAACTCATATCCGCCTCATATCAATGCGGTGGAAGGTTTTACAAACCCAACCCATACCCGCGGTTTTCAGATTCACATGGTTAATACCCTCCCCATCAACTACTCACCATTAATAAAAGAATATGCTGACAAATATGGATACGACCCGCCCAAAATTCTGGAACTAATACATAAGAGGATAAAATTATGGTTTGGTTGCCATCAATTACATTTTAACACTTTATTTTTTCTTTTAATTACCCTTCATTCCCTTGATAAGTTACAATAGACTCATTATATTTTATGTATATAACATAATATCCTTAGTGGCCGCGGGTTTGGGTATGGTTATGAGTATAGGGCGGGGGGTCCAAAACTATACCCGCCCCATAACCATCAACCTTTTTGCGGGTTTTACTCATACCCAGTCAAAGCGGGGATTTCCGCGTTGACTGGGTCGGAGGCGGTCGGGTACCCGCGGTCATGGGTTTAGTTGCCATCCCTAAATGGAGCAATCTAATTGGTTTGTTCCTAAGGACACATATTACGATGGCTAGGCCCTTAGATGCGATTTAAGCTCATCCACCCAAACCCTAATAATAACCCTTCCCCAATTCTTTCTTCACTCACACCACCATCAATCCTTTCACCACTCAAAGAATTCTTAGTATGCTCTGTGATTACGACTAAACTCGATCTCCCATATCAAAATATTTACTTCCTTCCCTCAAAATTTTCGAAGAACCTTTACTTCCACCACTCAAGGTATTCTCAATAAATCATAATGAACTAAGCAATATCTTCATCTCAAGTGCACCAATGCTGACTAGGTTTCCTGTCTTATCATGGTAATTTATGCTAGCACGAATAAGTTTGAAAGAGGTGAACTATGGGGTGTGGTTAGAAGAATTAACAGGAGCTGCAATTTGTCGTGCCTGCTGATTGGCGACTTCAACTCCATCTCAGAACCCATAGAGAAACAAGGAGGGGGCCCTCTCAATATAGCAAAAGTGAGAGCTTTTAATAGCTATATTGAGAATAGTGGTATGATGTCTTTGAAATTGAAACTGGTTGAAAAATTTTGCACAGTCAACCAACCAGCATCTCACCAAGCTGAAATTGGACCATGGGCCTACCATGTTGGGCTATGATATTCAACAAGAGAAGAACAAGTTGGAAAGGAGGTTTAAGTTCTTGGCTCCCTGGTTGGCTCACGAGGATTTCACGCCGTTTGTGTCTTCTTCCTGAGACAAAGATTCAGAACTTGTTAGTGAAGGTAATGGGGCGGGGCGGGTACCTCAATATCCATATCCCACCCCATGCTACTACGGACCGGGCGGGTAATAATTGCGTGAGTATGAGGTGGGGTGAGTCGACCCACTCTTACATATTATTTGAAAATGATGCACACAAACTTTTACTTTTTACGATTAGATGAAGGAGAAAACACTTTATGAATGAAAAATTGTGATAATAGAATGAGTAATTGAGTCTAACTAATTGAAAGATCAAGTCTAACTAGTTGAAAAAAAAACCAAAATAGGAGAAATATGAATAGATATTATAAGAAATTGCGATACAGTGGGACAACAACGGGGCGGAACGGAGCAGGGCGGGTCGAAAGTAGATACCCATATCCCGCCCCATGTTACTACAGATCAGGTAATACCCGCCCCATTGCGGGTCAGGTTGGATAATACCCGACGGGGTGGGTTCAAATTGTCATCCCTGGAGCTTGTTGACGCTCTGAAAAATATATCTTGCAAGCTTCAACTATGGAACAAGAAGGTTTTTGGCAATATCTTCCATAGGAAGAAGATGCTTTGGAAAAAATTGCAATCTCTAGAATTCAATAATGAAAGATCTTCAACATGGAAATCTCTCATTCAGGAAAAGGAGGTCAAGGAATAATTGGAAGATATCCTTTGGCAAGAGGAGATCATGTGGTTTTAGAGATCGAGAGCCAACTGGTTCATTCAATCTGGTAGAAACATGAAGTTTTTTCACAACAACACCATCAGTATAAGGAGAAGAAATGGACAATGCTCTTTAAAATTTACCTTGCTAAAGCATACGACAGACTGGACTGGGATTCCTCGGAAGACACCCTAAAGTTGGTTGGCATACCTGAGAACAACATCAGAATCATCATGAAGTGTGACACTATCACTTAAATGCAGATCCTCTAGAAAGGTGTAGAAATAGAATATTTCAAGCCGAGCACAGGCTTACGGCAGGGATGTCCCCATTTCCCTTCCTTTTTACTTTAGGTATTGCATGTTTGAGTCGTTGCATTTTTAAAAAGATGAGGGAGAAGCGTTGGAAACCTGTGAGACTCTCACTTGATCAGGTCCACCATTTTCCCACTTATTTTTCGCAGATGACTTAATTTTGTTTGTTGAAGCTTGTCCTAGACAAGCTGACCTCAACATGAAATGCATGAATAGTTTTTGTAATGCCTCAATGGAGCATATCAGTAAAGATAAGTCTAGAGTCTTCTTCTTTAAGAACATCAAAACCATTAATAGAGTGGATATTTGCTCTAGACTTGGTATTCAAGCAACACTTAATTTAGGTTGGTACCTAGGTAACCATGTCCTTCTTAGTAGGGTAAATAAAAACACTTATAGGTATATCTTGGAAAAATGAATAAAAACTAACTAGTTGGAAGGTGAATACCTGCCGTTAATAGGTAGCCACCTCTCTGCTAAATGTAATTTTGGTGTATGCCATGCAAACTTCCTTGCTTCCTATGTCTATCTGCGATGAAATCTTAGAATTTTTGTTTAACTCTATATAACACATCGATAAAGCACGGGAGAGATCCATGGTTCATAAGTAAGAAACTGACTTTAACTGACAAGACGCGTTTTGGGGTGAAATGGAAGAGTTCTTGTGAGAACTCCGAAGTTAAACGTGCTTAGTGTGGAGTACAATAAGGATAAGTGACCTTATGAAAAGTCACATTGAATTGTACTCCAAGTCAAAAACTGTGAGAGTCGAGGCCTAAAGCGGACAATATCTTCGTCGGGAAAAAGTTTCATTACATACTTACATGTATTTCTACCATTAAAAAAAACCTATGTATTTCTACCATAAAAAAAAACCTAAATTTACATTGGTTGTGATATAGAGCTAGCAAAAGAAAAAGGTTCGATTTTGAAACTAACTGCAACGCGTAAAGTAAATGCTGGGGAACTCTTTTTAATGATTTATTACGCGATGAAAGAATGAAACGAATGAACGAATGAATGAGAACAATTATTTATCCTGAATCATCACATCATTGAGGAGAAGGAAGTGGGAAAGAAAGAGTAAAAAAGAAAACAAGAAAGAAAGAAAGAGCTGAGGTTCTCTGTTGCGCAAACAGTGAAAAGAGTTAATGCTGGCTGGGCGAGTTTCTTGTTTCGACATCTTTCTTCTTGTCACAGGACTGGCAAAGGAGGGGGGAAATGGCACAGCAGCTGCAGGAAGAAGAAAAGAGGGTGAAAGCGAAACCGCATTAAAAGCAGATTCGTTCGCGATCAGAGACTTTCACTAGTTATGGCGCCACAGACAGAGATGGAAACAGAAACAGGGGTAAACAAAAACAGAGTGTCATAAGTGGAGAGAGACAGAGAGAGAGGCAGCCCACACAGCAAGCAAAACCCTCCTCTCTCTCAATTCTAACCTCTAATATCCAGTCAATGATGTGGACCTCGGAAGTCCAAAAATCGTATGGAGGAAACAGCTTCCTTGCAAATGGGCGAATTACGCCTCCTCGGCCGACTTTTAATGGTGAAGATTGAAGACGACGCGTTCTTGAGAGACCGTCACAGGATTTGTTTGGTTTGTTGGAAAATGGGATAAAAGAACTAGAACGCTAAACACCATGCAGACTACACTTTTATACCCCACAACTTTCACGTTTATGATAATAATAGCTAGTTTCGGGAAAATACCAGATGTAGCTACTTTCTTTTAAACTTGTTTGACTAATTTAACCATTTCCGTCCAATACTTTAACACGTTCAACAATTCCGTCAGTTAAATGGACGTTAAACTGATGTGGATGCCACTAGGACAACACGTCATGTCCACCCAGACTTATCACATGCCCGCGTGGATGTTACGTCACATTTTCAATTAAACGAAAAAGAAAAATCTTATGTACCACCGTCTCTCTCATCAGATCTAGCTTAACCTTTGTCCCTGCCTTCTTCCTCCGCTATCCACACAGCAACCACCGCCACCTGCTGCAATACCACCTCTGGTAGCACTTCCAAGTCACCGTCGTCGTCAACATCGCCTTCCTCTCGTGCGGTGGTGACGAAAGGGTTCCTCGCTGTTTCGATTGAAAGAGAGAAGGGTATGCATTTTGGATTCATAGCTATTCCGAGCTCTCACAAAAGCATCCCGACGGCAAGAGATAGTCTGCCGGGCTTCGTCACCCTTTCCAGAATCCCAAACCAGGAGCTATCTTCCTCAATGTTCATCACCTATTCACCACTGTAAAAGGGAATCCCACAATACCAATCACCGTCAAGGAGAAGTGGATTCTGAGATTGAGGATTTGGCAAAGGGGCTCGACTTCGAGATTTGGGATCGTAGGAGCTTCTCTCCTTTGATTGAGAATACACGAAGGAGTTCCAGGTTAATGTGACCCGCCACTACCGTCGTCGAAGCATCTCATTCTGCGGCTGGACTATCGTATTTGGCGAGGCCAGTGGTTCTTCATCACCACCGCCGTCATCCTCCTAAGCACACACACATCTAACCTGCAATTATACATCCAACCTAAGCACACACATCTACCAAGAAAGCGGAGCAAAACAGAGGAAACTCGCGACTTCAAAGTCCAGAGAACACTTTATTACTGGCACTGAAACCAGAGGATAGTTGAAACGAGGAAACGAAGCGATCGTCTTCTTTTGTCTTGGCCTACTACCAAAGCCAAGAGTTCACCACAAGAAGCAGCAAATACTGTACCAAACCAGACTCGGAGGAAAAGGAAGAGGTCAAATAACAAAACGCACACATAGAACATGGACTCACTAGACCATCCATGCATCATCATTATCTAAGTTCGGCTCTCAGAGAGAAACCACTAAACTCCTGGACCTACTACCATCCTGTTTACCCGTTCAGGGCATCAAGTACTTGGAAAAACTCTCAATAGGAAGCAATGCCAGGTTAAGACAAACAACGCCCACATGGAATTCAAATGCCTTCTACCACCAATTCTTCCATCTTTTCAGAATTCAAATGTCCCAGCTTCAATCCTGCATAAATAACATCACCAAAAATAATGCACAATTGGCACATAAGCTGCTACCAGTAGAAGTCACAAAAAGAAAGGGACTTATCAGCTCAGTTTACCAAGTAATAGAACCCTAAAGAAAAATGCTTTAAGAGTATGGGCCATCGACATAGGTACAATAACTCACCATTGCCCGTCCTGTTGCTGCCCACGATCGTTGACTACAGGGAATAACATCTAACACATGCTACCGGCAATAGATTGCCTGATCAATATGTGGAGGAATCTGCTTTATTTCAGTGCCAAGTTCTTGCTCAATCCTATACCTGTAATGGCATTTTAGTATTCAGCATGCATATTTATCCCCTCCAGAATCCACAATAATAGCATCCATCAAACAGAAGAAATGGTAAAATAATACATACAAATTGAAACGGTCCTCGTAGGTGATCAAATTCACAGCCAAACCGAGGTGTCCAAACCTCCCAGATCGACCAACCTGCAAACAACAAAATCTAGCTAAGTACATAAAACAGATGGTTTAGATATTAATAAACATAAAAAGCAACATACATACCCTGTGTAGATATGTTTCCGCGTTCTTGGGGAAATCAAAGTTAATAACAACGTTCACTGCCTGAATATCTATACCTCTGGTAAATAAATCTGCAGAAAATTTCATCTGAAACATTAGTAGGATGATTAAAGGATATCTCATTTAAAATATCAGCATTTTCTAATAATGACACAAAACAAAAATCCCTCCCATTTTAACCAAAATTTAGTCCTCTGGGCATACTTAAAAGGTATAAGTTTTTTCTTTAATAATTGGGATGTATATTCAATCAATGAGAATCCCGGAGAGGGAACATGTCATATGCATGGGAATCTACAGAAAGAACACATAACAGAGAAGACTGGAAGAATGAAGAAACCAAAATATCCTCATTAGTTGTGCCATCAACTTGACCAGGCATGGCCATATTCTCCTATCCGATGATAGCCACTATAGCATATACCTTATGACTCTTTTAATCTTACAATGCCATCAAGAAATATTATTTATTATTATTAGAGCTATCACTACGACTACTATTGTTGTTGTTGTTGCTCAGGTGGCAGTTTAGAGGTTGAATGTTACTTGAACTCCTTACTTCCTCACCAATCCTCCAACAAAGAGTAACATCTTGAATTCAAATTTTCGTAACTGAGTTTTAAAACCAGCACTAAATAACAACTTATCATTTTACAGTGAAATGAATTGGGTCACTACTCATTCATTCCTCTTGCCAGTTAGTGTTCAGTTTTACAAACATTCTCACGTGAAGGAAGAAAATGAGTAAATCCCAGAACATAATTTTTCTACCACAGAGATGTTTGGCAAGAGCAAATAACATAAACATGCAAAAACCAAGAAGAAATGAATCACATACCAGTGCAAACAAGATTCCTGCATGCACCATTGCGGAAGTCATGGAACACTCTATTACGGTGATCTTGCAGCATTTTTGCGTGAATATAGAAACACGAATAGCCAAGTTCTGTAATCTTCTTGGCCAGCAGTTCTACACGATTTACTGAGTTGCAGAAGATGATAGACTGGTTTATTTGCAGCTGCAGGTAGAACCACTATTCATGAGACCAAAAGTTTGAGATACAAGGAAGACCAAACCAACTAATTTTTTGTATCATACCTTAGAAAAGAGAGTATTCAGACAGTGGACTTTCTGTCGTTCCTCAACAAAAGCATAGAACTGGGTAATACCCTTAAGCGTTAACTCGTCCATAAGGTTGATGACATAAGGCTTGTGAAGATAACGACCTTTGAAGTCCTTTACAGTAACAGGAAATGTAGCAGAGAACATTAAAATCTGCCGGCTTCCGGGAAGAAAACGAATCAACTGCTCAATTGAAGGTTGAAACTCCGGAGACAATAGTTTATCAGCCTGAGACAGGAAATGAGGTAAGATCATACACACAGTAGTTATATGTCAAGATGAGGAGAATGATTCACTCCCTGAGCAATAACAAACAAAGTGCACAAGCAATGCCCTATTTCAGGCTTTCAGCCAGGCACCGACAACTGTTTCAGTTTCTCATGGAATCCTAGCGAGCCGGTTATTCCATGTTTGATTTAGCAGACAGTAAACCCTGTGTTACCAACACAAGTTTTCAAAACCACAGGCCACATACAATCAATACCGCACTGCCAAATGCCAATTAAAAGTGTCCATAAGAAGTCTGCAACTAAGACCAGCTTTTACAGACGGCGGTTGACAACACAAGGTTGCCCAAGATTTAAATATAGCAGTGATGGAAAAAAATTACACAATTAGGACTTGCATTGCTTTTAAATGCACGCATTAACAGAAATACCGAATAAATGAAGAAGCCAATTGACACCAACCTCATCCATAACAAGCATTGAGCAGTCTTTCAAAATGCAGACACCCTTTTTTGCAAGATCTAGAATTCTTCCAGGAGTCCCAACAAGCAGATGGACAGGTTGATACAGACGCATGATGTCATCCTTCAAACTTGTACCACCAGTAGTAACCATTACTTGAATTTTCAAATGTTTTCCAAGCTCTTTACAAACTTGAGAAGTCTGAAGAGCTAACTCACGAGTTGGCACCAAGATAACAACTGCAAGAAATGCACAGGAAAGAACTGAGAGAAGAACTTGTAGTAATAAAAGCAGTCTCGGACTACCTAGTCAATCTGGTAGAGTAAGTATATAGTATCTATACTAACTACCAAGTGCTAATTTCCATTTTAATCATCACGTCTCTCAAACTAAGTCCCAAGTTTCCACATACTCACGAAAACCCAAAACCAACCAATAATGATTCAAGAAACAACAATGCAAAACAAAACCTTTTTATACAATCAAGAATCAGCATCACATGGTTAGCTCACACAACAGGAGCTACAAGACAAACCTTGAATAACATTGTTATCCTGGTCAATTTTTTCCAGAGCTGGGATGCAAAATGCAGCTGTTTTCCCGGTTCCATTTTTAGCTCTAGCCAGAATATCACTGCCAGTAAGTGCAATAGGTATACTCTCTTCTTGAATTGGAGATGGTCTTTCAAACCCTTTCTCATATATTCCCATCAAAAGTTCACGCTTCAGAAAATAGTCCTCGAACTCGTTCCCTTTAGTAGCAGTGACATCCTGCAAACCGTAAGAAGATGAGGAAGTTTGAGAAACAAAAGGATACTGGCAAAATCTAGTTCACCTCCCCAAACTGTATGACCGTGGTCCTTCACAGAAGTTTACACAAAGGACAATTAACATTTGCAAATAAAAACAAACTAGGGCAAACACATCTAAGCACAACAATCTGCACCTTTTCAAAAACTGGGAATCTAGGGAAAAGGCAGTTTATGTATCCAATAAAGAGAGCAGCTGTAGGCATAATTGATCTCATTACTCATACATGGAAGACATAACGTAGTAGCTTCAGTTACAAATTATTTTCTTAAAATAGCTCCAAGAACTAGAGCGCAACTCCATATGAACGAAAACAAATGGATCTAAAAACGGAACAAAATGGCATGTCATTCAAAAGCAGAATGGAATAGCCTGATAACCACAAACCATAGCTATCTCGCTGAGGACCCTACCTCTGTCCTGTAACGTGTATCTGCTGCAGGTATCTTTAGCCTTGCCTTCCAATCTTGCGAACTAAAACTCCAAAAGACAAATTAAGTATATAAGCAAGATAACCAACAGCGACAGCTGAGATAAATGCTGTACACATAAGCAAGAACATGCCAACAGAAACAGCAAATATATATCAACAAACTTAAAAGAAAAAAGGTATTGGATTAAGGAGCTATCTGTGATTCATCAAAGGTAAAACAAAATAAAGGACCATGTGATTTGAAAATAAGCTCCTGACATCCCAGCTTCAGTAAAAAAATAAAACAAAACTCTTTGTTACACTCCCTTTATATGTGACCCTTATATAAAATGAGAACTTTTGGTGAGCCAAAAAAAGTTATATAGACTCCTTTTTCCCCGAGAATCTTCATAATCAGCAGTTAACTGGCCTACTCCTTTCCTAACGGAGTAGCAGTTCAGGATTAGTATGGAATATCTTTAGCTCTAATTTTACCTAGGCCCCTATATATGCAGGTTTCCTCCCAAATCAGTCCACTCAACTTTGCTGACATAATTTTCATCCTAAATGTAGAAAAAGAGGGGAAATGCCTTCTTTGTCTGCATACATGATATCAAGGAGCAGCACAGAAAGCAGTAATCAATTCGAGAAATCCACCCATATCCAGACCTCCGGTATGCAGCACGTGTACTAGCTGGATGTCGTAAATTTACATGAGACAATCAGCAAGCGTAGCGACAGACCTTATATTTTGAGAGAAGATATGTACCCCGTGCAGTAGCCAGAGCTTTAGATGTTAACAGAAAGAAACTCACATGCGACAGCCAAATGTTACATACTAAAGCCAAAAAAAAAAACCCTGATTCCAGTTATCTAATGACCACGGGAAGACTTATGTTGCAAATTGTCCACTTGTGAGAGATGCTAAGGCTACTCAGAGAATGTATCAAAACGTCCCAGAAAATTTTAGTCCAATGGCAGCTATTGCTCCGTGCCTCACAGCACAAACAACAATAAGTCCTACTCCGACAATCTGGATTCAACTTAAGATAGATATTCCTAAAACAGAAACTACAGGCATTCCACGCTAGCCTTCCATCCCAGCTTTTCCTCACCATCTTACCCCCTCCCTCTTTTAACCTACTCAATACAAAAACTTAACAAAGATTTATGAGTTCCATTACTTGCTCTTTCTTTCATACATCAGGCAATAAACATTGATAGATGCATTATATGCACAAACAGAATAGTAATGGAACCTAGAACCTGGATTGGACACACCAAAAACAAAGGGAAAACTGAGCAGCATATACCCAATAAACAACTCAACGAAGCACATCTAAAGTAGTATAAGAGTACCTGGAGTCAACGGCCTCAGATTGAACTGTCTTCTCCACCTCATCGACACTGGAATCCCCAGCAGGTAGCTGATTCCTCCTCAACCACTGCTGCTGTTGGTGATGCTGTTGCTGTTGCTGCTGTTGCTGTTGCTGCTGGGGATTTTGAAACTGCTGATGGTTCTGCATCAAACCCCTCTGCACGTACTGCTGATGCGGAACCCTTGACTGAAAATTAGGGTTCGCATTCATTCCTCCGCCTCTCCCGACCCCAAGACCAGGAGGATACCTTGCTCGATTGTTGTTCATCGCTAACTAAACCAACTCCCTAAAGTTAAAGCTAACCGAGATGATTCAAAACCCCCAGATTTTGTACAAGCAAGCTAAACAAAAGGGGGAAAGAAACTAGGAAGAAAGATGCAGAAACTAGCCTAGGGTTTTCTCGAGAAAAAGGACTACAACCAGACAGAGGCTACAAAACCGACTGAGGAATTAAACCCAGCTCTGCAGAAGGGAGCAGCACAGAAAGGACCGGAAGGGAGCAGGGAAAAAAAAAATACAAAGGAGAAAGAGGGGAATAAACTGCAAGCCTTAGGTTCAGTCGAAGCAGAGAAAGCGAGAGCGTTGATGGAGCTCCAAGAGAGATAAAGGGTTTTCTTCTTGTGGGAGGGGAGAGAGAGGATCGTGAAATCCAAGGCCGAAAATGCAGCGGATCTGAAGGAAGGAAGGAAGGAAGGAAGGAAGGAAGGAAGAGAGAAAGACTGGTTTAAACCTTTGTGGTGAGTTGCTGCTGCGGGCGGAATCGGGGGGACGATTTTGATTTTGATTTCGATTTCGAGGGTTTACAAGGGGAAGGAGAAGAAGGCAAGAGAAGTGGTTGCGAGATGGTTCATGGCGTTTTCTTCTGTGCTTTTGATGATTGATGGGTGAGTGGTTTCTGCGAGCGAGCGAGCGAAAGGGAGAGAAAGAACGCCTTTTCTGCGGGACTTGTGATAATTCGGAAGGTGCCAAAAAAAACTACAACGACGACGAAACGGAAACTACTTCTTCTAGGGCTTCAACATTCTATCCGATTACCATGCCGATTGCGCTTTCCCACCATGTCCTCACTCACCGTTGAGATTAGATCCAATGGTCATATTGATGTCGAGATGGTAATTTTGTCAAAAAATCATGAGTATTTAATTCTGTTTTTCTATTTTGACCCACTAAATATTTATATTTATTACCATAAATTTTTACCGTTACGAGTGTTTCTACGGATCGGGAAATCAAGAAAAAACGAACTCTCCAGTCTACCTCCCCCCCCCCCTCCTCCCCGCAGCTCCTTACCACCGATCTTGCCTGCCACCACTTGGATTCCTCCTCCAGAAGGTTTTTTGAAGATCAACGTCGACGCAGCCGTCAGTGCCTCCGGGTGTTCGTCTGGGCTTGTTATCCGCGGGTCAGACGGGCATGTATTGTTGGCGTTCGGGTTGCAGCATCAAGGTATAGTCAACCCTTATCTGGCTGAGCTGCTAGCGCTCAGGGATGCTATATCTTTTGTGGCCTCAAGATCCTTGACCCATGTGATAGTCGAAGGTGATTCCGAAGTGGTCGTCAAGCAAGTCCGTCAAGGTGTCTCAGAAGACTCGATTGGTGGTCCGGTGCTTCGAGAGTGTCTTCAGATCCTTAGCTCCTTGTCTGCTTGTATAGAGTTTAGGGCGGTACCTAGATCCGCCAACAGTGCTGCCCATAGAGTGGCGCGTAAAGCACTGATTTTGTCTCTTGTAGAGCTAGAATCTTTTGATTTTTTGGGGTGGCTTCTTTAGAGTCTATTAGGGGTCCTGGGTAGAATTGTAAGTTTAACTATTATTTCTCCTTGATATCACTCAGGAAAAAAAAATCAAGAAAAAACGAAAGCGATAAACAAGCACGACACACGAATTTACGTGGTTCACTAAGACAATGTATGTTAGCTAGTCCACGAGCAGGAGAGAGCCAGTTTCATTATACTCACAGGAGATACCGATTGCAGAAGAGTATGGCAAGTATTTATTGTACCTCTCCATGTGGTCTAACCCTAATCCAATATGTTAAAAGACGAGACCTCCGTGACTTCCAGTCAGCAGGGCTGACCAATGAATTCTAGAGGCCCTGTGGGTGGTCATTTTGGGGTATAAGCTACTTATTTGAGGTTGAAGAGGTATTTCCTTGTAGCCTAGTCTTAAATTGCACGTCAAGGAGTTTGTGAAGTTGTGTCATGTATGGAAGAGGTCTAAATCTGAGAATGTCCCCTACAGTGGCATGTTACAGTCTTTACATGTTCCAAAAAGAGCATGTCAACATATCTTGATGAATTTCATTGATGGACTACCTAAATTCGTAGGGAAGGAAGTGGTGTTTGTTGTAACAGACAAATTCTCAAAATATATATAGTTCTTCAGCTTAACAAGACCCTATAGTGTTGTAAGAGTCGCCCAGGTGTCCTTCGAAGGGATATTTAAGTTACATGGGATGCCTCAGACCATAGTATCATACAGAGTTTTTGTTTTTACTAGTGGTTTATGTTTTACGAGTCGTTTGGATGCAGTATTTTGATGAGGTAATTTGGTCGAAATAACTCAGAATGAGGCATTTCAACCAAAATAACTCGTTTGGCAAAAATAAAGTAGAATGTGGTATTTTGTCCATGAGTCATTTGAAATAACTCATTGTGAGTTATTTCAAATACCTACCCACCCCCTAGTTATTTCAAATACCTCATCTCCCAACTTCTTTTTTCACTTCATCCCTTCTTTAAGTGGTGAAATACCACAATATTTGAATGTTTTATCCAAACAAGACAATTACACCAATTACCACATTTCAAAATGAAATACCACATGAAATGCCACATAGCAAAATAATGCATCATTTTGATTCGAAATACCATAGAACCAAAATGATGCATCCAAACGACCCTTAAGTTATTTGGGTTACAAGGGGTAGAGCTCCATTACTCCACAACAATCATCCTCAAGCTGATGGTCAAACTGTGAGACAAACATATATCTGGAGGATTATCTGGGAGCTATGCTTCATCATTTACCACAAAATTGGAGATCACCTATAGTAGAGTAGTGGTACAACCCCAATTATCACAGCAACTTGCAAACTCCCCTTTGAAGCACTTTATGGATATCCACCATCCCATTTCGAAGTGAGAAATCCCTTGTCCAATTCCATAGAAGCAATTGCAGACAAACTGTAGTATGAGCATAAACTAATCAAAATCATCAAGGAGAATTTGGCAATGGCTTAGAACAAGCAGAAGCAAATGGCTGACCAAACACAGGACAAAAGAGAGAATTTGTAGTTGGAGAATTGATGTATTTGAGACTAAGATCATATAGACAAGTGCCAGTGGCAACTAGAATAATCAAAGCTTGCTCCAAAATATTAGGGACTATTTCTCATCACAAAGAAGATTGGAGCAGTTGCATATGAGTTGCATATCCGTTGGCAGCGGCCAAATTTTCCTCGGAGGAAGAAGGACTGAAGTATATGGATCAGGATTCAGGATCGAAGGAGAAGTTGACGTAGGGCCAAAAAGAAGACGATTCTTGGAAGGGAAAGAGAGTTGTAGAATTTAGGAGACTCGCTTGGGAGAGGGAGAAAGAGTCTCTTCTAAATTCGTGCCCAACAAGGTCGTCGTCGAGCGAATAAAAAATGACATGTTGCGGTGGTCGTAAGTCCTCACGACCATCGCTCTGGATTTTTAATTCCTTTCCCTGTGTAGTTACTCTGTCTTCAACTCGAGGAAAGTTGTCGTAGAGGGCTAGCTGAGTTTCGAGGGTGTTTTCGGATATAGAGCAAAATATGCCTCCTCTTCGATTAGTAATCTAGTCCCAACATTCACCTACGAAGAACAATAACTGGCGAGCGTAATCAAAAGTATGGATCCCTTCCGAATCGCGGTTGTAGTTAGCAATATTGCATGTTTTGCGGTTTAACCGGAACTGCAACCATTTAACAGGTAACCGCAATTTAACCGATTATTAACACGGTTAACCATGATGAGGTGGCCCTTGATTAGTGATGGCAATTTGAATCCGCCCCCGTGGGTATTACCCGACCTGACCCGCGATGGGACGGAGCGTGGATATTTTCTTTTGATTGCTTGTATGGTATGGAGAGAGCGATGTGCTCGATTGTATGGTGATGTGGCTGCTAAATCTCCGGAAGTTATATGCAGACAGATTTGTAGTGATATTTGCTTCCGTGTCAAAGGAATCCAGGATCTCCAGAACTGTATGCATAGCCTAAGATTGAGATGGTATACACGGTCATCCTCTTAGTGGGAGAGGGTGATAGAGCTTTTTGTTTTGGTTTTCTTTGTGAGCAAGCATAGGGATGTAAACTGTTAGTACTGTTTGAGAGGCGGCTAGGAAATTTTTTCAAAGTCTGCTCGTTCTTAATGCAATTTTTTGATTTAACCATCAAAAAAAAAAAAAAATCATTTTTTCAACCTATTAGACTCAATTGCACATTCAATTATCACTATTTTTCATTTTTAAAGTGGTTTCTCCTTCGTTTTATATTTAAAAATAAAATATGCGTATATTTTTTTCAAATAACATGTTAGAGGTCGACCTACCTCGGCCTGTATCCGCGCGGGTTAACCCGCCCGCCTCATTACACTGCAAAGCAGCTCAGAAGAACGAGCGAATACATTTCATTTCACAGCAATGGAGGTTGAAGATGGCGGTGGCGTTTCGAATTGTGTGATTCAACTGGTGAGTTTCCAATCATTCCTCAAGGGCCTCCTCCTTAAAATCTTCTTCTCCGGTTTCGGCCGGCGAAGCCGGTGAAGTAATTCAACTAATCTGTAACCTCATTTTGCGCAGAGGGACGGTCCCCAGAGGCTGAGGGAGAAGGTCTACGTTGGCTGCGGGGCAGGGTTCGGATGCGATAGGCCATCTGCGGCACTGAAGTTGCTGCAGAGAGTTCCCGAGTTGAACTATCTCGTCCTTGAATGCTTAGCGGAACGAACTCTTGCTGATCGCTTCCAAGCTATGGTCTCTGGCGGCGATGGCTATGATCCTCGTAGTGGGTGTTTTTTATCTTCTCTCTTGTTTCTACTTTGCTGAGAGGGAGGCTTCCATCTATGATAGGCCTTACGCTTTTCCAATTTTATCGCGCTGCAGTTTCTGTTTGGATGTCTATGCTACTCCCTTTAGCAGTGGAGAGAGGGACTTGCATTATAACAAACATGGGTGCAAGTATGATCATTCTGAATCAGAAATTTGATTAATTTTGTTCTAGGAATCTAGATGATTGAATTCGCTTCATTCTCATACACTTTGTTTGGCGGGGGACTTGGAATTTTGTTCTTAGTGGATCCTATTGGGGCGCAGGAGAAAGTTCTGGCGATTGCTAGAGAATTGGGGCTTGGTGTTTCCGTTGCTGTTGCCCATGAGGTTTCCTACACTGGATCAGGTATAATATGTTGCTTCTGGTTGTGCCGATTCAGTCCTTTCCGTTGAATGAAAGGGCATTAGGAAATGAACTTTATCAATACATTTGCTTTGTCTCAACTTAACCTTCTGGAACTTGGACCGGGAGCTAATTGTTTCTTGTTCTTCTGTAGGGTACTCACTAGGGAAGACATCGTTGGAAGGTGTAAGAATCTGTTTCTCAGTACTTTTCATATGTGATGAATGATGGTATCTGAAATTTAAACATTATGCTAGACTAAGATTGACTGTTAACTTGATCCATGCAACCATTTACTCCTGTAGGTGAATGTGTTTACATGTTTTGTTAATTGTTTGGATGAATACTCATCTTTCTCTGCAAATCTATGCTGTCATCTAGACTCCCTGATTCATGCCAGTGAGTACCATCTAACCATAATTTTTGGATCCAAATTCTGAAGGGTATTAGCACCTATCTTGGAGCCTCTCCCATCGTCCAATGTCTTGAGAAGTACCATCCAGATGTTGTAATTACTTCACGGGTTGCGGATGCTTCCTTGTTCTTAGCACCAATGGTGAGTAAGCTTCTTGTTCTTGGCAGTTTGCCTGTCAGTTATGGTTTTAGCGGAATTCATTTCTATGGTAAAATCTGATAGGCATAAAGTTTCTTTAGGCTGTTTGATGGAGTAGCCAAAGCGTTAGTGGGGAATATGAAAAGGAAACTTTAGTTTAAATTAAATAGGTGGTTAGTAGAAACATGAATGTGGTATCGCTGCAGGTGCATTGCAGGAGTTTGGGAACCTTTTCCTGTTTGCTATTTGTATTGGTAACTTCATCTCATGACATATGCTATACTGCCTGGAAAAAAATCTATTGTATTGTTGGATACCATGTTTGATTTTTGGTTCATCTCGCAATTGCCAACATTAGGTTTATGAACTAGGCTGGGACTGGGATGACTTAGATAAGCTAGCTCAAGGATCTCTGGCAGGCCATCTCTTAGAATGTGGTTGCCAACTCACTGGGGGATACTTCATGCATCCAGGTGAAAGTTTCATAGATTTACTTGATGGTCACTGAAAAACTTTGTAATAAACATCCAGTTGGTAAAAGATTGATGACATTTCAGTCCAATTATGAAGGCTCATTTGCTTCTAGTTTGGTCAAAATTTATATTGCTTCTCCTAATACTGCAATCGTTTCTTTGCAGGTGATAACTATCGCGACATCTCCGTCACTTCTCTATTAGATGTTTCTCTTCCTTATGCTGAGATATGCCACTCCGGTGAAGTCTGTGTGGCGAAGGCTGTTGATAGTGGGGGGGAATTAAGTTTGAATACTTGTGCCCAACAACTCCTTTATGAGGTTGGAGATCCATCTGCTTATGTCACCCCCGATGTGGTAAGTTCCATGGAAGTTTGTCATTTCAAGAACTTGCAAGAGCTGGTGGGTGAAAATTGCTGAACCAATTGCCCTGAGAATGCAGGTAATTGATCTTCAGGACGTTTCATTTCACTCATTATCAAGTAGTAGAGTTCTTTGTACTGGAGCTAAACCCTCGACCACATTGGGACCTGAAATGCTCCTGCGTTTGATTCCCAGGGTACTGGCCAATTTACAATACATGAAATTTCTGCCATAGAATTGAATATCTGGGTTCGTTTAACATGTGATTTTTTTTCTTCTCTGGTCTGTTTTCTCGTAGGATTGTGGATGGAAAGCATGGGGGGAGATATCCTATGGGGGATACAAGTGCGTGGAACGTGCTAAAGCTGCTGAGTATCTGGTGAGGACGCTCTATAAGAACCAATGACGTCATCCGATATAACGAGCCTGCTAGTTGATCTTCCTCTTGAATAGTTGTTCAGCCTTGTGAAGGGTTATTCATTTATTATATTATTTTCTTGAATTTTTATGTCAAGCTTTTATTGATGTTAGGTCCGTTCTTGGATGCAAGAGGCATGCCCTGATGTTGATTGCAAAATAGCATCGTATATTATTGGGCTTGACAGTCTCAAGGCAACCTCCATCCATGCTGATGCTTCAGCACTGAACAGTGAAGACATCCGGTTGCGCATGGATGGACTATTTGAGTCGAAAGATCACGCAATCCAATTCACACATGAGTTCACTGCTTTGTATACAAATGGACCTGCTGGAGGCGGTGGCATTAGGTTAGTTCTTGTCCTTCTTCTGCTTTACATCAATTGACCAGATCAGCATGACCTCATTTGAAGTGTTCTGTGAGTCTGAATCCGGGATAGTAAATTACAGTTTGACAACATTGTGGCTGGGGACTTCCTTGTAATGTCCTTAAAATTTTCAAGGAGGCTGGATGACTGTCATGATGTCCTCTTTCAGATTTTCTCTCATTCCCATTCTCGGCCTTTTGTGCTTAATTTTCCATTTCTCTGATGCAGCACTGGACACAAGAAAGATATAATTCTCGGAAAGGAACTGGTACAACTCTACTCCGTCTCTCTCGAACACTCTCTCTGCATTTGTTGTAATGAAAATTTGGCCCAAGACAGATATTTCTCAGATGCAAATCATATTGTATTCTTTCAGGTGGCCCGTGAAAATGTCTTCTGGCGCACTGGAATTAAGCACACCAAACGAACGGCCTCAAGTGATGAAGAAGAAGTAGCACCAAGAAATGTGGCAAGAACTGGAGATCACGACGAGGCCTTATCCCAACAACGAAGTAGCACCCCTGGAAACAGTCGAGCATTTGCTTCACCAACCCCGAGACCTGCTCCTGCGGGCCAGAAGATCCCATTATACGAGGTGGCACATAGCAGAGCTGGGGATAAAGGAAACGACTCGAACCTCTCTCTCATACCGCACTTTCCTGGAGACGTTGAGAGGTTGAAGCTGATCATAACGCCAGAGTGGGTGGCCAAAGTTCTGTCCCCTCTCCTGAACGACTCATCGTTTCTGGACGCTGAAGGTGTCCTGGAGAGAGATACAAGAGTCGGCGAACAAGTAGGCGTGGAGATATATGAAGCGAGGGGGATCCGTGCTCTGAACATCGTGGTGCGGAACATTCTAGATGGTGGAGTCAACTGCTCTAGGAGGATCGACAGGCATGGTAAGACCATGTCGGATGTCTTGCTTTGTCAGCAGGTTGTGTTGCCTCCAGAGAAAAATGGGCTTTAAGTTTTAAGTTTTCTGCCGCAAAAATGGGCGTAAAACGTCGATGGATGTGAGGTTTCAGATATCAGTTTGTGTCCAGAACTTATCAGGAAAATTTGGGATGTCTTCGTGACGTCTCCTTCTGTTATAGGTCGATATCTTCCTTGGATCATGCTATAAGGAAGTCGAGATGGAGCAACGCGTCTGAATTTGAACTTCACTTGGCTGTGAAATACAAGATTTGTAGTTACTACTGAGTGAGCAGTGAGCACTATATTATTATTATTATTATTATTATTATTATTATTATTATTATTATTATTATTATTATTAGTTCAAATTTGTAGTGAATTTGAACTTCACGCGTCTAATAATAATAATTATTATTATTATAATAAAGCAATGCCAAATCACTAGTCACTGGAATAAATGGTGTGCGATATTTTTGTCAAATATGAATTCTAGCATGATTTTTTTCTGTGAAGAAGATGGCAACATCAATACACAAATGTTAGCATATGTTTCCTCTTTCTTGCCAGACTTGGTCTCGTTTTGGTTTTTGTTTGGCTTTGTTTGTAGTGGTTTCTGGACAATTGTTCTGCTGCTGCATTCCTTGGTTACTTTTGCTTGCTGTCTCTTTTTTCCTCTTTGCTTTTTTATGTAAACTTTCTCCTTGTTTTATTAAAACTATTTCATCCTTATAAAAAAAAATGTTAGCATATTTTTACAAAAAGTTTGACACTATGTCCCAGAGTAGAGAAAGCTCTACTTTTGTGAAATATTGGAAGGGAACAGTGTATGACATCCTTATGAATCAATAAGCTATACTTTGTTGGGTGAAGAAGAAATACTTACTTTAAAAAAAAAAAACTCTCTATATCGTATTATACAAATGGAGCATATAATTAGTTTGTGGTGTAATTCTGTTGGTTGTGTGAGGAAAAAGTCAGAGAAATAATGAAGGAGCTCATTTTACTCTAAACCAAGGGAAGGAGAGCATCCAAAACAATCGGATCTCCATTAAATATGTCTGTCACACGACAACCAAAGAACAAACGAGGGGTGAAATGTCAAAATTCTAAATAATTATTGGTATTATTTCGTCTTTCATGACACAAAGACTAATCTATTTTTATTTTATTAATTTTAAAAAGTGGTATCCGAAGCATTAAACATACCCTAGCCAGACAACCGATTAGCCCCAAATCTTTAACAGCCTCAAACATACATAACCCTAACCCCCCTTATAATATACTTTACCTTTGGATTGTACAAATAGTTTACAAGAGAAAGGAAAAAAGAAAAAACACAAAAAGAAAACAGAAAACAGAAAGGAAGATAGAAGAAGATGTCATTCACTGGAACTCTTGATAAGTGCAAGGCATGTGACAAGACTGTTTATGTTGTTGATCTCTTGTCTTTGGAAGGGGTGCCATACCACAAGTCATGCTTCAAATGTAGCCATTGCAAAGGCACTTTGCAGGTGATATCCAACTTCACCACCTTTTTTTGTATTTGTTTCTTGCTCTCTCTTAAATTACCAACAATAATGTGAATATGTTTTGCATATGTATCTTTTTGGCTAGATGAGCAATTACTCTTCTATGGATGGAGTGCTCTTCTGCAAAACTCATTTTGAGCAACTCTTCAAGGAATCTGGAAATTTCAGCAAGAATTTTCAAAGTGGTGAGCCTCTTGTTTCCTTTCATCTAAGACATGAGAGCTAATATTGTGTTTTTTTTTTAAATATATTTTTTGACTCTTTTGTTTTATTTCATTTTCCCTTGTATATAGCTGGCAAAACTGAAAAGCAGAATGACCTGGTACATCTAACGAACCCTGTTCATTTTATTATTCCCCTTTTCAATTAGTTTCTCTATTCACAAAAATCAATCTTGAGCTTGACTAGCTTTATGGTTCTTTATAATATTTCCATTTGTCCTCTAATTGGATGCCAATATTTTAGTTTTTGATAAGAAAATTGAAACTTTTTATTGGATATGCTTGAACTAACAGTCGAGGACACCTAGCAAACTGTCTTCCATGTTCACTGGAACTTTGGACAAATGCTCGGCCTGTACCAAAACTGTTTACCCACTTGAGAAGGTCTGTCTTTCTATTTTTTTCCACTATATAAACTCGGTTCTTCAATCCTTAACATAGATAATTGAATTAAACCATCTTTGTTCCTCAAGGTGACAATGGAAGGAGAGTGTTACCACAATACATGCTTTAGGTGTGCTATAGGAGGGTGTCACTTGACACACTCAAACTATGCTGCCCTTGATGGTGTCCTCTATTGCAAGCACCATTTTGCTCAGCTGTTCATGGAGAAGGGTAATTACAACCATGTCCTTCAAGCTGCTTCCCACAAGAGGTCTGCCTCCACTCCTCCACCGGAAGCCGTTGAGGGCGAAGCTGAGGCCGCCACCGGCGAGGGAGATGGAACAGCTCACCAAGAAGAAGACAAATGAGAAACAAACCATTAGTTTTTTATACTACACACATATAATACACACATATTCTTATACTACAAAAGATTAAAACTCATATACACACATGCAAGGTTCCTATATTCTATACTAAGATCTTATGAAGAGTTCTTTCAACCCTTTATATTACCCCTGGATTCACTCATCATCACCTTCTTCAACCTTCAATTTCATTATGCTTAAACCTCTTTGTTTTCATATTCTTTTTTCTTGTTATGCATCCCCCCCCCCCTATTCTTTTCATCATTCAAAATTTTATTTTGGTCTGGGTTGCTTTCCCAATTTACACAATTAAGTTGTCCTTCACAATTTTGTGCAATGTAACAAAAATCTTATGAGAAATGAATATTGTTTTTCTCTATTAGAAAAAGTTTGCCAAGCTTGTATGTGATGTGAATACTATTTTGTTTTATGTTGTGTTTTCAATGACTAGAAGTATGTTGGTAAACATAAAGAACATGGTTGATTGCTTCTTTTTTTCTACTTTCACATAACCAAGATTCAGAGTCAGCTAGAACTTAATTGACCACTAAACTTTAGTGCAATGGATGTTCATCGTCATCGGTAGAATTCTCCTGCTACTGACATTAATCGTCGCAACATCTTCTTGTTTTCCCACCTTTCTCTCTCATATCATCTCCCCCTTTTTTCAATTCAATCTTGGGTTTCCATCCCCTTCCATGGCACTGTCTGATGAAATTTGAAACTCTTAGGAACTAATACTTCTCCATTGGCTTAATGAGTTAGCAACATCTGGAAAATGTTTTTACGATTGGATCGTCAATGGAGCTAGCTAGCAAATTCTCGATCGAGTTGCTAGAACTTAATTTACAGGGAAATGTAGAAAATAAGCTTGGGGTGATCAGGTGTTAGTAACTGATTTGGTGTTTGGCATAACCAGAGACTCGACTTCAGAGTGTAAATAGGTTAATCGAATCCCTTTTGTTATTGTTTGTAACTGCTTCAAGTGATGTTTGCTTCTTTACTAGGATGGCAAACAACAATGAGATTGAACTCATGGGAGTTTCAAAGCTCCCACTAACCAGCATGACTGCATTGGACGAGCATACTCATGACTCTAACTCAGATGATGAGATCACAGAAGTGGCAGATTGGCTTATGATTTTATCTCGGATGCGAAGTCACTAATTAAAAGTGGTTCCCTAGAAGGCACAAGTGACGCTTCACTACAACAAATGCACACTCCTCGATGACATAGATGCATGCATAAATCTCTCTTTGATAAATAAGTTTTCATCAATTTCTCTTCAATTATAGGTCTGAACAAAATTGTTATATATGCACAATATCTTCACGACTATCTAGAATATTCTGACCAACCTCATTTTCACTTCCTGTTAGGTGGAATTCTCTCGACATGGATAACTTTTTGAAAATATTTTATCCCTCATGTTATGAGGACAAAATGTATAAGAAAACAAACAACTATTGTTCGTACGTAAACACAAGGATTCAAATATATATGGCAACTTCACCAACAATAGTTGTTTTTAGTATACCATGAAACTTTTCTTTAGTGCGAAATGGGGGAAGAAAATCATTTTCTTCAGCACAACTATTTTAAGCATGTTGGAAGTTATGATTCTTCAGTACACCTCGTACGTCAAGTTTAAATTTGAATTAGCAAACCACTGTTTTCATTTGATGTCTGCCTCTCGATTTTTTACCATGCCACGATGCACAATTAATTCTCCTCACAAACTAATGATGATCAGTTCTCTCTCATATAAGTTTGGTGAATATCTAACATTTCGCTTACATTGACAAAGTATTAGGGGGTAATACTTTGGCTTTGTATTAGATTTCTCTTGCATTTAGAGTATTCTATGATTTAGAGTTGCATTTTGTGGTAGAAAACTTGTGTTATACAAGGAGAACATATGTTGGGTAGGCAAAAGATCTTAGTTATATAACCTTGCAAATGCATGCATAGTATGTTAAGGTTTAAATTAATTAAAATTTCTACTGATCTAATTACCCTCAACAACTAATAAATCACTAACATTTATTAATTATCTAAATTTCTATCAGCCAATAGGAAGTCTTTAAGGATTTGCTTTATATCATAGCCTTATGCATAGAAACTCAAGCCTTCAATCTAATGATCAATCGGTTCTACCATGCGTTTACACGAAAAAATAAAAAAAAATTGTGTTTACGATTGTTATATCTTATTCACTATACTAGGAAAATTGCTATTTTTATTTTTGGTAGGCGATGCCAACATTAGTAATGGAACTGGCACACGAGAGCATGAAGGAGAGATTGGCATTGTTATTCTCCTGCTCATTGACACTAGGCTCAGATACAACAACATGAGTGATTTGGGGTGTTTGTTAGCTATGGATCTTTGCTTCTCCAATCCTCTGGACTCATGCTTCCAAATGACTCTTACATAGTGACTTTTGTTGTCTCCGTTGCCATTTTGGTCGTCCCATCCATCCAACCGCTAATCCTTTCAAAGCTCATACGAAGGGTACCATTTCTCTTTTCATGTTTGGTCCTGATGAACGCAATGGTATGTTTTCATGTCTATACTTCTCAATATGTATGTACGTAATAGCATTATAGATAAGAAGAACAAGCTAGTAATCATGTTTTGCTGTGAATACAGATTTCATCATGGAGCATTTTCGGGATGGATGTGACAGACTATACGTACCTCAGAGAATACAAAATCCCTTTAATTGGCAGTGTTTTCAAAGTGTATATGTTATGTCAAGTACTCCTCTTCGACCGACTTGATCACTCCAGTTCTCTCCCCTTGACTCTAGACTTTTGATTTTCTTTTCATGTGTTTGACTTTGAACTACTTAGTTCGTTTTTCATTTTTGTTAAGAACTATAAATATTGTGCTTGTGTAATAACCTCAAATTTGGTGAGTTCGTGTTAGTGTGTGTATGTTTGTTTCTCATAATAGCTCTCTCTCTCCCAAAACTGGTCCAATCTCCAATCCGACTTTCACTCGCGAATGATTCGGTAACTTTGTTCCACCCTTATTCTTTCTCTATTGGGGACAATGGTGTGCTTAAGTGTGGGGGGTGTTTTATGTGTATGTGAATGGCGAGTGAATCCAAATTGTATGAATGGCATTTATATTGAATGCTTTGGAGCCTTTTTATTGCCAAATTCCTACAATTTGAGAGCTCCAAACACTTGTGGATGAATGATTGAATGTTGGCATATATTATGAGTGTTTTGGAACCTAGGTTGAATGCTCAAATTTTAAAATTTTAGGGGTTCCAAACACCTTGTCCCATGTATGATTCCTACTCACCATGCTTTGAAAATTTTAATGTTGTGATGGCGTGCATTATAGGGAGTATTGTGGCGCTACGGAGGTTATTGGTCATGAGTGGTTTTACTTCCATTTTCTCTTGGTTGTGCTGATACTGTTTTCTATCAAGGTTATGACAAGTGTATAGGACAATCCCCAATATTGTACTCCAATTTCTTTTTGCAAAAAGGTGCTCCATTTTGAAAAAAGTTTTGGAAAAATGAATGTTCTCACGTGAGAGGCAACCAATCATAATGTTTAAGTCATCAAAGGGATTTTCTTTTGGACCAGATTGCCATTTGAAGATGTATATGGGATCAGATAGCTTTTTAGCGTCGAACCACCATCATTTTCTACCTTTCATCACCCTTACACCTCTCCTCCTCATGAGACTTGTATGAAAGAAGATTGTGTGCCTCTGCACAAGTCGGGAGACCTCGCTTCTCATTAATACTTCCCCTCTGCACGGGACTTGTATTTGAGGGATAGAACCTTGTTTGCTCTTAGCCACGAGGGATAGAACCTTGTTCGCAAATGTGGCATCATGTTCCGCAAAGTTAAGTCGAGGCTCGAGAGTTTGAGTGCTCTTTTGAAAAATAGGATCACTATGATGGAGTCCATTTCTCTTGACACTTTTTCTTGAGAGTGCTCCATTGCACACGTGAAGTGTCTAAATCTCTTTAGTTGGCAAGGTCCTTATTCGAGAGCATGTTGTCTCATAGAGATGGAAGTAATGTTTTCTCATCTCCTATTGTCTTTGAAAGTGCTACCAACAACGTATATGCATACCATTTTGAGTTTCTTGCATGTTGCACTAGTGTGACTTAGGTTTGCATAGGGACAATCAAACAAATAAGTGTGGGAGTTTGATTTGAGCCATTCTATTCATGTTTTTACCCCTTTGACTTTGTCGTTTGACTTGTATAACACCATCCTTGGAGTCATTTTACACTATGTTTTGGAAATTTTTATTATGTTTTAGGTTATGTCAGGTGAAATGGGAGAAATGGAGCAAAAACGAGACAAAGAGCTGGAAATTGCATGGATCATGGTTCAGGGCAGATTGTCACAAGCAGGAGACCTTGAAGATTACAACAAGACCATGAAGAATGCAAAGACCCAGGGGCTTTTGGACTTCTCACAGGAAGTGCATGGATCACGGGTGCAAGGCGTGAAGAATACAACTAAACCGGGAGTGTGTAAGTGAAAGGGTACATTTTGCGTTGAGATCACGATTTCACTGCACACATCACGAGCGTGACGGCAGTTCATGATTTCAAGAGGAGAAGAGTTTGAGAATGAGAATGAGTTCTTCTTCTACATTCTAGAGAGAAAGCGACGAACTAAAGAAGATTGGAGAGGAATTTGACCTACCATAGACCAAAGGAGGCCAAATTTCATCTTCAACACCACGTCAAGCAACTAGGAAGAATGAGATTCATCTTTTCATGGGTTTTTTTCTTTTCTTTAGTTGTAGTTCTTTCTACATGCATGAAGTAGATTTTCCTTTCACTTGGATTATGTGAACCCTATACTAGGATGTTGTAGTTTGATGATTGTGAACTCTATGTTGTTAATTGAGAGATATTGAATGAGGATTATTGGTTTCTCTATGTCATTTCAGGTCATCGCCCGAGGAAGTGGATTTGGTTTCCCTCATTGCCTTTCCGGTAGTTCGGTACGCCACTCTTATTAGACCAATTAGGCGTGTTAGGAAAATTCGAATAGTGACTCCTAACTAGCTTTTATCTCCTAACAATATATATAATATGCAAATCACACTAGAGTATCATGTTATAGACTCAACACAGAACTAGGTGGATAATCATCCGAGTGAAGCTTTCTCACTTGAATTCAACCTCGTATTATTTGCTTGTTTGTTTAGTTCAACAACTTAAATAACCGTTTCTACTGGTAGCTAATTTATAGTTTCTCTATAAATTAAGGATACATAAACCGCTCGGATTTGATAATTCGAAATATACTTGCTCTATACTACACCCGATCGTAGGTTAACTTGGCCTTCGGTTGGGAGTGTATAATTAGGTGTAGATCACACACTTCCACAACAATGGATCCATGGTTGAAACATAAGACCGGACAACCGAGACGCGAGCAATGAAGAAGAGTAGAAGACAAGATGATAAGTTGATTTAACATAAAAAAACACACCATATAACTCATAATGTCACACATGTATATAGGAACAGGGCTAGCGAGCAAAGAAATATAAGAAATTAATCGGAATGAAGCTAGGATAGCCACACATTTTTTTTTCTTTTTTCACTCCAGTTCTTTCATGGGCTAAAAAAGTTGACTAAAAATTGAAAGTGAGCTAATTAATGGGGTCGGACATTTCATCTAATTTCACTAATGAACTTGTATTAAATGGGATTCTAGGGCAAGAATTTCAAACCAGTTTAAGCCCTTGGATTGGTGAAACAAATGGTTTGAGTTTCATTGGTTGGATCGGGGTTTAAGTCATTTTATATATAAATATATACGTATCTATGATAATAATTTGAGATTTTAATAATTTGAATGTATTTGATAGGTAACATACAATAATTTAATTTAACATTTAATATATTATATGACACTAAAAACTGTGTATATGTGGTTTGTTTTCCAGAATGTGTTTGAAAGAGGACCAAAACGCAACATTCTGTTAAAGAGCCAAGAATTGCTCAATTCGATCAGATAGTCAATTTTTTGCTGTTTTGACCGATTAACGCTTTGGAGGCAAAATGACTTTCTTGAGACCGTTTTTCATCACTGGCTCTGATTTGGCCCGGTCCAACCGGTCGGCTTGCCTAGGGCTTGACAACTGTGGACTAGAGACTGGAGGGAGATTAGTTTAGTCTGTTATGGATGGACATTTTTTTTTGTCGAAATCGATACTTGCATTATCAAGACATAGAAGTTACATCAAACCAATTTTCGAGCACAACCACGCCCGAAAATCAAAACCAACACTTCCTGTAGGAGACAAATCGAGGGCTTTTTTGGCCACCAAATAGACCACCCTATTGTTCTGTCTACCTACAAACACCACACTAAACCCAACATTAGCTCCCAGTGGCCGGCAGATTTCCCGAAAGATGGACATTCATTTCATACATTGTCAAATATATATTGACATCCTGCCAAGAAGATTTCTCTTTGCATTTGTACAACAAGTCCATTTCTTTAGTTAACGAGAGTTACTTTAATCATCCCACCAAAAAAAGGGGGAAAAAGAGAGTTACTCTTTAATTAAACCTGAAACTCACGTAGCTGCAGTTTTTTTTTTCCTGGTAATGCACATACATATAACTCATGAAAACTGTTGAAGGATTTTGGTACGTTTTCAGAAATCTCAAGCACAAGCAGGGCTCTTTCTTCCTTATGAAAACACAGAAACAAGCCTCTCTCATCTTATTATCCCCCTCCCACTCTTATTCTTATGAAAACATGGAAGGAAATATGAGCAAAGCAACCCTTGAAATTTTACTTGTGAATGCCAGTGGCATCAGACGCACAAATCTCATCGGTATTCATTCTTTCCCCCCTTTGATCTACCTAACCTACCTTCCTCACATTGTGATTCATAGCATTTTATGAATATGGATGTGGCAACAGGGAAAGCATACTACTATGTCATCATCGAATGTGGGGATCAACAACGCATCACCAAACTGTCATCTTCAGGCAAAGATCACAAGACATGCTGGAACCAGAAGTTCAGGTTCGAAGCGCCCCTAATCGATTGGAAGCGGAGAACCCATCTCAAGCTCACCATCTTGGACACGGAGCTGTTCAAAGATGGAGAATTTGTTGGTGAAACCATGTAAATTTCAACTGCAAAAAAAAAAAAAGAAACAAAATCCCACATCTTCTTTTTCTGTTCTGTTCTGTGTTTTGGTTTTAATATGTTTGGTGGTTCTGTTTGTGGTGAGAGCAGAATCTACCTTGGAGGGATAGTGGCAGAGGGGAAAGACAGAGAGGTTGTGGAGATGAAACCAGCTCCATACAATGTTGTCCTCCATGATGGTACTTTCAAAGGACAGATCAAGCTTGGGATCAAATTCATGACTGTCACTCATGTAAAGTCAACAACAACAACAAAACTTTGATGCTAGTTTGTTAAGCAAAATTGGGTACCTCTCTATCTTTGAATAGATGTTGAAAAATGCGCAGGAAGAGGAAGAGGAGGAGGCGGCTAGGGAGATCGTTGCCGCGCAGCTGCCCAGTAGCACTGCTACTGCTGCACAGAAGGCAGCAAGGCGATCTTCGTCTTCATCAGCAGCAGTATGGGAAGCCATAAGCAGTGTGTGGAAATCTTCGTGGTGGAAGTTTTGGAGTTATTGCAGTCCTAAAAGTGGCAAGAGCAAGCCAAAGTCAAATTAACTAACTTAGCTAGATAGGGAGACTCCAATCATATGTTACAATAAATACATAGATGAGATAGCAGTGTTATGGAAATGTCGATCTCTACTTGTCACTTCTTTGTTATATCAGAAATTTTCAGAACCACCATTTTCTTTTTTTTTTCCCCATGGCATATATAAGCTAAATTTTGGCGTTTCGAGCCTCTCCGCTGTTCTTTCTTTCGCTCCTGCTTTCTTTTGGATTGCCCAACAGGCAACAGCAGCGGCAGGAAGCTAGCTTTTAGAAGAAGGAGGGATGGTGACAAGTACAAACAGAGGAACTCTGTACTTCTCCCTGTAAATTTATTTCTCTCTACAATTTGCACCTCCTTGTTGGCAAACATAACGTTTGTAACCCGAATTGTGGTTGGTTGAGAACTTTTCATTGGGCTAACCATGGGTAGGGGTGGGTGGGCCAACATCTTATTATTGGCCAGATCGAAAGCTTTCCTTTGCTTGAATATGAAGACTCAGATCGTTAAAACGGATTAAGTCATTAAGACAGTTTGACAAGTCATTAATCTGGTTAAGTGGCTGATTAGGTCATTATTTTTTTATGTTTGTTATTAGTCAGTCGTAGTGGCGGATTTAGGGGTGGTCATCCCAGGCCACAGCCCAACCCTCTTCTAGGTTCAAAACTAGTATAGCACTTATGAATTTTTTCGATTTTAGGTATCCGATTTAGTGTTATTGAAATATGGTCCGATGTTATTTTATATTCAAATGCACTCCAGTTCTCTACTATGTCCTAGACCCGCCACTGGTCGGTCGCTTTAATGATAAAACCGTCTCTCTAGACTCTCGGTTTGTGTAACAGAACTCTATAAAGAGCACTATCTCGTGTTTTCACTCTTTGAATTTGTGTTTTTAAAGGGTTTGGGAGGCATGCGATTATAGGAGCAGAACCCCCAGAGTTAATTATCCCCTTGTTCGTGACAATTTCATTTTAATTATCCCTTTTAATTGTGTATATAGACGAAAACTAGATAACTAATTTGAAATTTATCCAAAAAATCATTGTATCAAACCGACCAACTCAACCCTTCATCCATTCACTCGAACGGACGACATATGTGTGTGTGGTTTGAAGGTCGTTTAGGTTATCTTTGGACAAAAGTGGGTAACTCCAAGGGCTACATCCTTGAACAGAGAATCATATATTTACTAATTTTTGGGTAAATACAACTTATTAGCCAAAAAATTTGAAAGACAAAATATTAGCAAAATCTTTTGTAACGCACATCAAACCATTTGTTTGTTACCATTACTAATTTTGTAACTCTTTTCTTAGTTAAAATACTAAAATTTTAAAATGTTGAACTCTACATGTCTCTTCAAACTCAGTATCATGTTACCAAGTCAATATTACTAACAAAACTGTTAACAAACAAAATTATCATGGGCTAATATTTTATATTTTAAAAAATTTAACTGATAATTTAAAATGTTTGAATAATAAATTGTATTTACCCTCATTTGTTTTGCAAGGTTTCATTTGAGAATTCAGTATAACTTTTAGTAGCTATTCATTGATGAATATTTAAAGAAATGAATTAGGGATAACTTTGAATTTGTGATACCTACCTAACACACTCCCCTGCTTAAGAAAAAAAAAATTATATATATATAACAACAACACCCTTAATAATTAATAATTAGTTTCTAGCTTCTACGTGCCCTTTGAATTATTATTTTTGTTTGGCAGGTTGAGAAAATTCAATTGTGTCTAATGTTCATGCACTGCCTTAACAACTATAAACAAGTATTTGACCACCTGATTAAGAGCTTTAATTGTTCTGAACCCTGAAAGTGGAATGCACGTTTATGGTTCTAGATAGAGAACCAATATGTATATAATATATGCTGATATATATGCTTCATCTCTTGTTCCTAACTAGAAAAGATTATCACCAAATTCTAAGAAGAAATGAAAAACCAACCAACCAACCAACCAGCATCCATCAGTTTATTATTTTTGAGGTTGTCAAGTTGAGAATTGGGTTAGGCCATCCAGTAAGAATTGGAAAGACATTAGACATGCATCCAATATCTCCATGTCCCCCTTTCTAATTTAGTTAATTAATTAGTGCCTTCCCCTGTACAACAAAAATCAAAGCCTCAAACTAAGTAGTTTACCAAAAAAAATAAAAATACATATATAGATAGTTTCAAAAACAAACAACACATACGTAAATTTGTAGGAATATATTGATAATTAGAATTTTTTCGATTTTAGATAACCGATTTAGTGTTATTTAAATGTGGTCCAGTATTATTTTCTATTCAAATGCACTCCAGTGCTCTACTATGTCCTAGACCCGCCACTGATCGATCGCTTTTTAACGATAAAACCGTCAGACTCTCGATTTGTGCAACAAAACTCTATAAAGAGTTTGGCCGAGCATAGTTGCTGCAGCGCAAAAAGGTTGGAGTATGCAGAGTTTGAGCAGAGCCCCAAGGAAGAAAAAAAAATCGATCAAAAGAACAGTTCGCGGTCCTTTTTCTAAATAACAGTGGACGAGCTCCAAATGTGTAGATCGTCGTCCATTAATTCATAACTTCATTCGCAGGCGAGTGCAAATTATTGCGAACCTCTCACACACAACATCTTAGTGATTTTTTCTTGCCGTTCTTGAAGTTATATCGTGTGAGTTAAATTTTACTGATTCTTTCGATACGTCACAATTACGGCGCTATTTTCCGCTCGTCACGAAACGCAATCGAGCGGGCGTTGTAAGATGTGAAATAAGATATTACTACAAAAATGAATCGAAATCACATTCCTAACCTTGTTGTCATGTCAACTCATGTGCCTAAACCCAAAATACCCCTTTAATAAAATGGAATGTAGATCAAATCCTCATTCCTTAATTCTGAATCTGAACTATATTTTTTTTTGGTAATACGAATCTGAACTGTATAATCCACCCATCCAATAACCAACCAAATATCATGTTTAAAATAGACAGACAAAATCAATTTTTTTTTAAAAAAAAGGAAAAATCCAACCAACTTCCTTGCTTCAATCTACCTGTTTATATAAACTCACCCACGACTACCACCAGCAGCAGCAGAGGCAGAGAAGCGAGTTCGTCACAACTCTCAACCAGAGATTTTCCTCCTCTGTTTTTCTTCGTCAATGGCGGCCAGAGATTTACTCCTCCTCTGTTTCTTGAAGCAAAAAGGAAAAGGCTTGTAATAAAAGCGAACCAGCCAGCAGCAGCAGCAGCACAAAGAAGGCGGGAAAGAAGGGACTGTTTTTTTTCAAGTGAGTATAACTGCTCTGCCTTTTGATTATATCCTAAGTTAACGGTAATCTCAATTTCTTCTCAGTTCTCACACATCAAACGGTCCAAATTTGAATTGAATGATTTGTGTTGATAGAAAAGGAAAAGAGGAGAAGGAAGGGATGATAATAGCCTGCCGTTTGCTTTTTATTTTCAAAAAAAAAAAATTTTGATTTACCGTTGCTCTTTTGGTCGGAAGAAACTATGAAATATGTAACTGCCGCTTTCTTTATATTTCCCCGAACTCTGAATTGTGCTGTCAAATTGTTCCGAAACCTTCTTTGAAGAGAATAACAACGACGTATCAGCGACCCTTTTGCTTTTCTTGTCTTTTTTTTCCTTTCCAAGTTCCGCCATTTTCAAAAGCTCCCTTCCCGGGCAAAAGCATCAGATTCCGAACTAGTTCCTGAACACCCTCTTTTTATTGCTCTCAACGTAACCTCCATGGTCACTATCTTTCAGTTGCAGAGTCGATTAGTGAAGAGGTGCAGAAAACAGAGGGTCGGGAAGATGGACAATTCGTCGTCGAGCTACGACGAGAGCTACGATCTGGGCTACCAGCCGTCGCCTTCTTCGTTCGATCAAACGACGCCGACGCTGAGGCGGGATTCCCTCATGTTCGGCCGTACTTTCTCCGAAACCTCGGCTTTCTCTGACATCAGTGCGAGTTATTGCTCCAGCGAGCCTTCCCCTGCTCACTGGATGCACGAAGCCAGACCCAGATCGCTCAATCAGAACAGAGCTCTGCTTGCCAAGCAGGACATGAAGTCGCAAGCTGAGAAGCTCAGCGTTGGCGATGACGGTGACGGCGACGACGATGTTGAATCCATTGATTTAGGTAACTGTTTCCTTTACAGGGGCTCCTCTGTTTTTTTTTTCTTTCTCTCCCATCTCTCTGTTTCTTTTTTCCCTGAGTGGTGAACACGAAGAAATTGTAATAATTGTGCCAATTCTCCATCCCTATAATTCATTTTTGCCAGCAAACATTTAGCATTCAATTGGTTTAATTTCGTCGCGTGCTGACTTTGTTTGGTTTTTCCATATGAAACAGAGCTTGAGATTATGAGAGAGAGATTTTCAAAGCTTCTGCTGGGAGAAGACATGTCAGGTGGTGGGAAAGGTGTCTGCACTGCTGTCACCATCTCCAATTCCATTACCAATCTCTACGGTGAGTCTAAAAAACTTAGCCACACATGTGATTGAACTGTCCTTTTGATCGAATTTTTTCTTCCTTGGGACTCTGCTCAAACTCTGCATACTACTCCAACCTTTTGCGCTACAGCAACTGTGTTCGGCCAAAATCTGAGGCTGGAGCCACTAAAACCAGAGAAGAAGGCAATGTGGAAGAGAGAAATGGACTGCCTTTTATCCGTATGTGATTACATAGTGGAGTTCATCCCCAAATCTCAAAACTTGCGAGATGGAACTGCTCTGGAGGTGATGGAAAGCAGAGTGAGATCAGACATTTACATGAATCTTCCCGCGCTGAGAAAGCTGGACGCAATGCTCCTCGTAAGAAAAACCCCCAACTCGAACAAAGTTTGCCCTTTGCCCATTTTTTTCTTCATCAGAAACAAATCGCATTAATAAAGTTCATTTCTTTATTGTGTTTGTAGGAAATACTGGACAGTTTCGGAGAAGCAGAGTTCTGGTATGCAGAGCAAGGAAGCATGTCATCGAACTCGACCCGATC